GACGTACTGCAACATATCGCACAGTATCAATAAATATAAATTTCATTGTAAATTTTAAAATTATTTCGGTCAATTGACCTAAAAAAAAAATTGACCGATCAATTCCACAACGCTAATAGTGGGTCATTATTACATTTGCACCCCCATTTTCCGTTAAAAGGAATAGGCTAAAATAACAATTGACTATCAAAATCATGATCTATTATTGGGGTCGGATGAAATTACCGACGTTCATTGGTAGAAATGATGTCGAGACATTTGGCAAAAAAGAATCATCCTTTCGCCGAGTTCCTAATACCCACTTTCAAGAATACGGGTTTTGGTTTCCAGATTGATTTTTAAATTTCCCTGGTGAGTAAAATTTTTCGTTTTTCATGGGTATTTACGGAAATAATTATTTTTATTTTGGAGATTTCCAGCGCCGCTCAATTTCAGTGTCGGTCATAGGTGTAGGTGAACTTTGCGCAGCAGAATTATTAAAATATTGCCATTTTTGGGCACTTACCATGTATGTGTAGTCTAACGCATTATAATTTGCTGTTAAGCAGCAAGTTCACATTATTATGCACCACTATCAGTGAGTGAAAAAAATATTATTAATTACAGGAAAGTGTCAGCCGATGTTTTGGGAATGATTGAGATTGAAAAATTTTTAGATTATTGTGGGAGCGAAAGACAGCAGGTCGACTAAAACCTCTCAAGAAAAGTCCAGACTGGGTAGTAAAAGTCGTTCAATACAAGAGAAATAAAAGAAATACCCACCCTAGATGAGGTATTAATGCAGCTTGACAGGATGACATTATATCATTAAGAGGAGTGCCGGTTACTCAGATCAGGATCAGGTGGTACTACCTGTAATAGATATAAAAAGAAAAAATTGCAATGGAATCAATGCGAAACAATAAAAGTAGTTTCAGTATTGGTCGGACCACTCTGTAGTCCATTTGCATATCTGATGAGGTTTTATTACTCTAAACGTTTCTGAGGTAGACTATAGACATTTAATTTCTACTTACTACACTAATTCTTTCAAACAAGTCTGAGTTTGTTGAAATCGGATAGGACATTTTGAAGATATAGTAATATACTGGTGATATCCAGGAGCTTCCCCTACTCACCGGCGGCGGTGATAAATCTTTTGCAGGTTTTCTAACAATACTAGCTGATTTTGAGAAATTTTTTTCTTCCTGACGCTTATGTCTTGTAGTTTATGAAATTAAAGGCAAAACAAGCTAGAAAATAAACCTACTTTAAATATTTCGTAGTTGATGTAAGCAAAACCTTTCTGCAAGCCATCCTTTGCTTAATTTTAATGTTAAATTTAAATTAGTGTTAAATTAATGGTAATGGGTGCTTGCGCGAATCCATCAAGAATTTAGGACACAAGAATTGCGACATTAGTTTATGATGGTACATTAGAAACTGACATTAGAGTTCGACCTTTAAAAACATTCCTTCATAAAATACTATTTTACCACTGAATTTCTTAACCAAGAGTTTAGGCGCCTTTCCTAGAGTCGACATTAGCTATTTGTGGTACTCGTAAAAAGACGCCAGTGACGTAAAGTGGTGTTTCGTTTTTTTAAAGTTATAGTCAATTTAATAACACATAAAGTATTGCCGAATAAATAGATAGCATAATTTTTCTACTCATCATTACATATGATTTTTAAAAAGCTATCGTGAGTCACTTTCGGCGGTTGCCGTACTTTAGTCACGGCTTGGGAGGTTAGACTAGATTTATATTTTAACATTTGTGATTCAGTGACTCAAAACTGACAAACTTCAAAATATCATAACTAGAATTTACCGAAAACATTCTGTAAATGTCCCAGCCATGGGTAAAGAACTTGACCATTCATTGATTTGCATATTTGGGTATTTTATAGAGTAGGGAGTAGAACAAAAAAACACGCAATAAACTAAAAATTTCGTAATTGGTGACAAAATATTAGTTACTGATCTACTTAATTTAGTACTTATTTTTCATTTGCGTTTGCATTTACGTTATTTTTTTAATATAAGTAATCGAAGAGCTATCAAAAATCGTTTAATGACTTTCAAAATTTCGTCGCTGCTAACAAAGTAATTCACGAAAAGATTTACGTTTTATTTTTTTTAAATACCTTCTTTGTCCGGAAAAGCTGACATTTTTATCGAAGGTATATTAAGGTCTCTCCGCAGTGCCTCAAAGTTTCACCTACCCCATCCATTTAGTCGCAATTAATTTGTAACATATACAAGCGCCCATGATTGTAAATAAGCGAGCCGACTTTTCAGCCCAAAAGTGGGTAAAACTTTGCAATGGGGTTTTCGGTGATCATGAATCCGAAATTTCTTGAACATATCGATAAGTTATTTTACCTATACTTTGCTTTTAGCCACAATTTTTTTTGTAATTTTTAACCTCATACATTCCATTCCTAAAGGCGAGCGGTACGATCTATAATTGCTTTTTTGGTACCTTCGGATAGAGGGACCCAATAAATGTCAGCCCCCCTCGACTGCACATAAGTCTCTATTTCTAATATTAGCTCATTGAAGTTAAGTTTTCGGAAATCCTTTCCATCTAATTTTGCCATTTTGGCCCTGTTTTTCTACCCCAACCAAAGTTGTGGGTTAAATACGGTACATATTTAAGTTGCTTTTCATTTTACTCGATTGCGACATATAATAAGTCACATACATGATTAGTGAATCAAACTTGTCACGTATTATACTAATGTTCGATGCATAATTAAGTCGCTTGACGCGTTTTACTTTTTGTACCACGAAGCTCGCGCTACGCCCATTTTTTTCCGTTTTAAAGATCAAGGCTACGCGACCTTCGATTTAAATTCTTTCTAACTGAATTAAACGTTTTCCATGTGACAAGGTACATCGGAAAAGCGCATAAATATTACGCTGTGTTAATTAATTTTGCGTACGCAATAAGAAAATTCATCGAAATCGAATATTACGTGGGTACCTACACGTTTTTTTCCTCAGTAAATTGTTGGATGAGTTTGCAAAATGGTATAAATATGTAGGTATATGTTTATTTTTTATGTCCTAGTCAGTTGGTATTGCAAACTGAGTTAATTTATTTTTAAGATTAAAAAAATACATTACATATATTACATTTATTTTAAATAAATATTGAAAGTTAAAAAAACGTCAAGATAATAATATTACAATTGTGTTAATGAAAAATGGATAAAGCGGTTTCGCGCATTATTTATTATCATTATTAGAACTGTTTTTATTTAAAGCCTTTAAGCTTAATGCATAGGCATTCCATTTAGCGTACCCTCTAGGGTATGTTTTATATTGTAACTCAAATATTATGTATTTTAAATAAAATATCTACGAAATCACGTGTAGACGTTTATATATCGATGTCCAAAATGTATCTGAAAAAGTAAAGATGGAGCCTGGTACTTTCGGGGAAGTTCACTACCTACTTCATGGGGAGTTTTTGGATAGTTCCTCGTTCTCAACGAATTGAACTCGTAGTACCCCCTAGTACTGCGCAGCTAGCTAGGAGATGAATTTTAGTTTCCTCCTAGTCTAAACATAGCCATGTGCTGTTGTGGCCCACCCTATGGAGCTGCTGTCTTAGATGGCAGTGTCCTCTTAGGACGCAATTTTAAAGCCCTGGCGTAGAGAATTAGAACCCTCGACTGTCTCGGTCCCGGTAAAGTCTCCCAGTGCAGAGCGAACTGGGTCTTTTCACTTTCACGCTTAAACCTTCTGAATATTTTGTTCATTGATTGTTGTAACTTTTTTCTTGTAAATTTGTCGTATATAAGAAAAGAAATGTAGTGCAATGCTTAAAAAACTTTTAAAAATTTGCATTTTCTGAATATTTTGTTTAAGTATTATAACTTTTTTGTTGTTAGAAAAAATTTTTTATTCCTTGGTATTGTTTATTTCAACCAGAAATTAGCATACCCTTAAAACCCTTAAAACTTGCATTTTCTAAATATTTTGTTTATGGATTTGGATGGATTAATTTTTTTTTCGTAGATTTGTCTTTAAAAAAAATGTTGCGCCGTGGTCTTCGAAAAAAAAACTTTGGTAATGCTAACTTCATGCGAAAATTATCCTTACCACTATTAAAACTTTCATTTTCTGATTATTTTGTTTATGGATTATGGGTAACTTTTTTTTCGTAAATTTTCCGTAAACGAAAAACAATTCCCGCAATGTTAAATCTAAATGCTAAATGCTAAATCTAACTGCCGCATCAAATCAGCATTACTTGAAACTTACACTTTTGAGTTGTTGTTGAATGGATTAGACGCATAAACTAAATATTCAGTAACTGGTAATGTTAATTTTCGCATGAAATTAGTATTACTAGGGATTAAAAAAAAAAATTTTAAGACAAAAAATCGACAATTGTAGCATAAATAAACCACAACAAATTTGTGGTAATGATAACTTTTTAACTTTTTTTATGAAAATCAATCTCCGTGTAACTTCCAAAGTTGTGAAAATATTCAATAATCATTACAAAGGTTAGAATTGTGTATTGTGTAATAAGTCATGTAACAAAAATTCGAAATCGTAATATTTTCCGAGTTATAGCTTATCAAAAGTCATATTTTAGACACATCCCTGATTGAGTATAAGTCATCGTTACAAAAGAAAAGTGTTTCAGAAATCTGTCACTAGAGGGCACTTTACCTAGAATATATTTTTTTTATTTTCCCTGTATTTCATTTATTTAGACTGATATTGCAAAATAGAACAGAATCACAAATCCTCAAAAAATGTTACTCTTGTTTTAAAATAAAATTTGAAAAAAATGATTTTTGACAAGCTATAACTCGGAAAATATTACGATTTCGAATTTTTGTTGCATGACTTTCCGAAGTTTCCGAACACCCTGTATCACCTATAGGGATCACGAACATAGTAAAATATTTCGTGTTTACGTTACGGGGGGTGTTCGAATGGAATGTGGTACTAAGTTAAAGCAAACGGGAAATATCTGATGGAAATTGATGTTTCAGACGGCGAGTACCTCTTCGCAGAGCCAGATAGCAAGTTATCGAAATACGCCCCAAAAAGTTGGCGATCTTCTCACAGTCATGGCCTCGACGCGAACGGACGTCCGGCTTTGGCCTTCTATTTCCGCGTTCAGTACTACGTGGACAGTCCACTCCTTCTGCGAGACGAAACTACAAGAAACCACTACTACTTGCAGCTGCGAGTCAATGCCGCCTCAGGGGCGGCAGGAGAACACGCCGCCCATCTGGCGGGTCTTTCGTTACAGGCGGATTTGGGAGATTTTAATGAAAATACTAGGTAATTGTTTAAAATTTATATCATAATTGCGAGCAAAATTCACAAGTATAATTGGTTGCATACTACGAGTGGGTACATTATTTTAACCCGATTATAGTAAGATAGCAAGTAGTAAACTCTATTAAAATTGAAATTCTAGCAATATAATATAGATGTGTATAAAAAGTAAGGAGTTTTTTTGCCGTTTAACAAATTGTTTTTTTTTTTGCTAAAAATTATTTTAAACCATGTCGGAAAAATCTTTAGTACGCTCACTTTGATTTTAACCAAGTTAAAATTTTGGTAATTTCTTTCTTTCTTACTTTCGGTACTTCAGTGTATATCGAATGGTCAATTTAGAATTATAGAAAAACTGATTAAAAAGGGCACGTGAAATGTATCTGTTTCATTATGGAGAAACAAACAACATGGTGGAGAAATCATTAACTTTTCGAAAGTCTAAGTCTTAATCCTAAACGATTCTTTATGAACTATAACAATAAAGGTATAATTCGCAAAACAAAAATGCGATTGTATCGAAAAACTATAGCAGTGTGTGGTCAGAAACTAGTCCCAGCCACCGCTGGTATCTGCGCAAATTTTGATGACTCGCCTCGCCGCGTTGCTAAATTGGCGAGCCGTTTTCCTGGAGATCGGTCCTTCTTAGAAATTAAATATTTAGATTTCTTGTCCCGAATATGTTACGAAACAATAAAAATACGTCGACCCAAGTTGTCACGTGGTGAAAATCTCTTGGAAGTTGGACGGTTAAAAATAATATTAAAAGAACAATTAAATCCTGCTCTTGGAGAATTCGAAGATCTCAATTATACAAGGTGTTTTGTAAAAGCGTGGCAATAGAAAGAAATTTTTATGTGACATCGTGATTGTCTTTGAATTGACGCATTAAAATCAAAAAATTCACCTTTCCTGGAGTTGAGTTTTTTATTACTTAGTTAAAGTATTTAAAGAACGAAATGCCATGGAGTCAAACGTCTCTCCGATTACTAACAGCAAGTACTTCATAATCACCATCTACAAAAGTGATTTTAGTTTCAGACCAGAGGATTATGTACCACCTAACATGCGGGGACCAGCTGCTTTACGCGCTATCGAGGCAGCCCATAGATCCCACCGGAAGTTGTCCAAAAATGAAGCCAGGACGCGTTTCATAGCAGAAGCGTGCCAGTTGCAGGAACCGGTTAATGCTCATGTATTTAGGTTGGTTCCCTGTCTGTTATTGTACGTTCCAATATTATAAACGTCCGTATTCCATTCCAGGTTAAAAGCTTCGAAAACTGAATCGCCACCCGGGTCGCTTCTCCTGGCGGTTTGCGCTAAGGGTTTGCGAGTGTGTCCCGACAATAACCCGCCCTCGATATTCCTTTGGAGCAGTATAAGCAAACTCAGTTTCGAACGCAAGAAATTCGAAATTCGCACCAGCCACGAAAAGCTAACCCTCTACACCACCAGTGATGAAAAGAGTCGACTGCTTCTCGCTCTGTGCAAAGCGACGCACCAGTTCAGTATGGCCGTCGCCCCACGTCTCAACGAAGCGCGTCGAGAAGAAGAAGAGCGACAGAGATGGGACTGCGATCAAAGGGTCTCCGTTATCAGTTCGACTTCGTCGAACACCACGTCTGGAATCGTCAGCGACCGATTTCATTCCGAAGATGAATTAGAAATTATGATAACCAGTCCACCTGCGCCGTCTACGGAGAGTCTGGCTCTAGCTCACCTGCTGGACAGTGCCCCAGCTAGTAGCCGGACATCTGCCGCGTCTGCAACTGCCGCTCTCGCAACCATTTCCTTGAAGGAGGAAGAAGAAGAAGAGTCGCCCAAACAAGCTACAAGTGAGAGTTCCGGGAAAACAGCCAGTATCAAATGCGCGGGATCGCAATGCAGCTCTTCCTGTAGCACTGTTGTTGTGACGCCAGTTCAGACAAGTGAGTGGACTTCTAATAAAGTTTTTGGTGATTGCATCTAATATACAATAAAATCTGTCATTTCTAATCTCGCTTTTAACCAAGATCTGTCGACGTTCAACAACTAACATAGTCGCTGACAGTTCCGGCAAAACTACTAAAAAAAAAACTAAGTGTCAAGAAAGCGACACAGTAGGTTAGTGTTAGGGTAGATCATGAAAGTGTTACAGACGCTTCAGATGCATCAATTTTGTTACTGTCTTTAGAGCCCTATTTATCTAGTAGCTTTATGGTAGAGCTGGTAAGCTAATTATTAAAGCAATTTTTATATTATGGGCTTCAGGACAGGACGCATAAAACCAGCAAGAAGTATATAAGGGTTTCCGAATTCTAATTTATATTGTTTTTATTCAAATATGCTTTATTGCGCATTGGTTAACTATATTAAATTTTTCTGTTTTGCATACGAATTTTTAACATTACGATAAAGAAAAAACTAAACCAAATCTTCGGTCCATACCTAACATTCTGTATACGTTTCACGACCGACATCTATCGCTACGTTTTAGCAATAAATCCTTTGATTTTGATTTATATTTGGTTTCGAGATTTTATTATTAGCAATATTTTCTTTGTAAAAGTAAAAAATTAAAGCACAGTTTGGAAGAATATGAAAAATGGATTCCTCAGATGAATATGAATATTCAGTGTCATCCGAAACTGACGACTCTGATTTGACAATTTTTTCAGAAATTGAATCAAAGAACCAGTGATTTTTGGAAGTAAATTCTTGAACGATACAAATAAATTTACGTATATGCGCACAAAATTAAATACATACTAATAAAAGTCATAGAAATTGTCACATTTTTATTAAAATTCAGCGATAATGAGCATGTATATATAAATTATGATTGCAGAACAAAGTAACAACCAATAAAGATAGTTAGATAGACAAAAGAGTTGGTCGACTTTTCTTATTTCTCTATTATTTAAGATTAATCTAATCATTTACATCGTTCAGAAACAAATTTGGGATTTCTCTTGAATTTGATAGGAACGGCTTGAAAATTTAAGAAACCAGTTCGTCATTTGATGTGGAAACATGCCTATTGTCACCTGCGGTCTATTAGCATACTTATTGTTTATTTTAGAGCCAAAAAGACGAAGGCCTTCAACCAGCAGCAGCTTGGAACTCGGTTATTCCCACACCGCTCAGAATTCCGCCGTCAGCGACGCGACTTGTATCGAAATAGATATAAGGGAACCGGTATATGCGTCGGGACCGCCTCCCAGTAGTCACACCAGCGGAGTTTACACGTTAACGTCGAGCGAGCAGTACACCTCGAACTCAACCGAGCACTACGTCAATCCAAGCGAGGCTTTCGGCAACGGAAGGGATTCTGCGTTCCTCACTATGGGCAGCGATCAAATTGACGGACCATATAGGGACAGAACCAATTCCAACGTCAGCAATTCCTCGTTCCACGGAGACGGAAGCGACCCAACTAACAACAAGCAGTCGCTGTTGACGGCGACCCAACTTTCCGACTTGATCGTCGGCAAATATCCGTCTTCCAAAAGCGTCAGTCACACCTTGGATTCGGATTCGGATTACGTAACGTTACCGTCGACTTATCAGGGCTACGCGCCGATTCCGCCGAAAAGAACCGACAGCGCCGAGCCGCGATTCAGACCTCCCCCGCCCCCTTACCCGGAACCGATGAAAATCAAAGAGATGGAAAATTTCGTCATAGACGTCGACACTTCCAGTTGTCTGTCGGAGATGTCTTTAAAAGACCCGCCTCCGTATCCCGACAATATCACACCGGTGCCACCTCCAGTCTATCCTTTCGAAGAAGCGGCCGCTAGATTTATCACAACGAGATCACCAAATATTTTGACGGCCCACGCTAGTGCGGTCAGCGTGTCCTCGTCCCCGAGTTATTCGACGCCCAGTTACGTGCCGCCCATACCCCCGAAAGTGCTCAGACCCCAGCTTAGCGTCACCGGCGGCGGCATCATCAGTCCGAACGGTTACATGGACGTGGCGGCTAGCAAAACCAGCGTCTTGGTGCCGTGCACATTTTTACCGCCACCGCCGCCCGCTCCGAGACAGCCGCCGCCACCGCCACCGCCAACCATCGCCACGGTATATACGAGTCAACTGTCGCGATCTCAGATCGAACAGTATCAACAGCAGATGTACAGCGACGTGGATTTCGTCGTGTTTCCTTTAAAAGAGCCGGCCATAAGTAAGCAGGAGTATTTGGAGGCCAAACAGGGTTCACTACTCGCGGCTCTCGCTCACCAGCCGGTGTTCTATCGCAGCACGCCTTATATCGGTAGATACGCGTCTAGTCAGAACCTATCAGACACGTACGTGCAACTACCAGTCTACGGCGCGGCTAGCATTTCGTCGACCGGCAGTTTGGATCCTCCGCCGCCACCGTTACCGCCGAACCGGCCGTCCAGGTTTATGAGGACCAGGTCGGACGATAACATTTTGAACTCGCTCGAGACGCCGCAACCCCCGAAGTTTCGAAGGCTACCACCGCCACCGCCACCGATCCCGGAAAAGAATACCGCCCTATTGAAGAAACACAACCTTCTCGACCCGAAAAATGCGACCGAGCTGGGCAGCGACCGGGCTACCTCGCTCGATATCCGTACTCTTAGAGAGAAAAGCAAGAAAATGGACTTGCCTCTAATTTCCGCGTTGTGCAATGATCGATCGCTTATCAAGCAAACGAAAGCGTTCGTAATGCCAAAGCATCCGGGCGAAGGTGGTTCGCCGCCGCGTCAGATTCGAAGTTCTGCGCGCGCAAAGTATCCCGTGTCGGGTTTGAGCAGTACAAAAATCAACAAGACCAGTAGGAAACCGCCCACGATCAGTCATCGACATCCCGGCGATAAGTTGCCGGAAATACCGCGAGCCCTCCCGAATAATTACGTGTTGACGGATCCGCGGGTTAAACACAAAACTATGCAATCCCACTCGTGAATTTGACATTCCTGTACTAGTAGGTTAGCGATCAATTTTTTTTTGTACTCAGGGTGCCATCATTGCAATGTTAAATTTAAGAAAGGAAACGGCGACGGTTCCGTAGGTACCGGAGAGCGTTACCGCAGTGTCGATTTTTTTTACGCGTTCTTCCCTGCATGTAAATAGAGGTCTACTTTACTCACGCGCAAAGCAAATGTAAACGTAAGTTCTATTAGCATTAATGTATACACTTGCTCAACTTTTAATTTTAATACTGTCGTGTTATCGTTTAATTACTTTATTTATTTCCCTGTATCAAAATTTCGAGATGCTTCAATATCAAGTGTATGGTGCTGCCATCGTTTTAATAAAGTGACAAGCCTGCGCGCGGGTTTCATTTCCGGTTTCTTCTAAGAACGTTAAATCAGCACTACCCTCCAGTTTTTCTGAGTTTGACCCTGGCTATTAATTGCTATTGCTCTATTATGCTTTATTGTTTATAAGGAAATGGGTTCAATTTAATTCCTATAACAATTGTCTCTAACAAAATAAATACATATTGTTATCGTGGTTACCGTCAGTAACATCTACTGACAACGAAACAATAAGTGAGTATATACAAACCAAAGTTTATAAAAAGAAAATATTATAATAATTTGCTAGAAAACCTTACCTTTTTTAAAGCGGAAGAATGTAAGTTATAGAATAGGCACCAATCCTGTCCAGATATTCACCCCGGATTTAGATGTATCTAGGTGTTCCACAAAGAACTCCACATCTTTAAACACATTAATTCTAACCTCTTTATAAAAAGAACCTCTAAAGTTTCTAACCTCTAAAATGAAGTTTCATTTTCGTGGAGATTACATACAATATTGTATGGTTGCTGCCATTGTGGGAGCCATTTTTATTGGTGGTTACAAAATAAACATGAATGTCTTGTCTGTCTACTGAGAAACAATTCCCTCTCAGCTATTATTAAATTACTTTAATGCGTGACGGGTTTTGACAAATAATTAATATTTGACAGTCTAAATTCTACATTTTGACAACTGGAACTGAAATGGAAGGTGAGAACATTAAAAAGATAAAACAATGTTACCTATTTCAAAAGTAGCCCTCACCTAAAGCTGCAAAATTTTTAAAGGATACACACGCACAAGCGCATTATATCTTGAGCAAAAAAATAATTAAGTAAGTTATTAATGTAGCCAACAATTGCTTATGATTTCATGGACCTATGGCAATACTCTTTTCTCCGTTTTATCTTTCCAAAAATTATTACAAAACATCTACCAATATTTAAAAACAAACGAAGCCATGCCAACAACCATGAGAAGTTTGGTTCCCATAAAACATGCCTTATGACGAATAAAATATGTGGCTTGTCTTTGAATGTCAGATACAATATTCAATATCATCAGTAAAAGAAATATACCAAGGAGTCAATATCGAAGCTCAAGGTGTAATCAGAGAGATGAACTTAGACAGACAGGCTAAAAGCTGACTCTCCCAAACTGCAATCCGTAATCTGGGTTCCCATAAAGCAAGCCTTAGTAAGGGTTCGACTAAACCAAATATTTCAGCCGGTTCGGTAATAAGCAAATCCTCAGTTTTACTACTTATTACGGTAATATCAATCAGCTGAAATATCTAACTGCAAAAAAATTGCATTGCAAACGTTTGAATATTATAAAAACCTTCATAATGTAGGTATGAGACTAGTACATTGATAAAAGTGTACAGATATATACCGATTTTACGCTTGTCAGTTCTATTTATCAAGAAGAGAAGCAAGAAATCCAAAAGATTTGTAAATAGCAATACACCATTCAATCGAACTACTGTCTATCCTCTACTCTCCTCTAAACTACGAAAATGTTTTAACTTTGATTTTTAGCCATGCGCAGGAATATAATTTACACATTTTTTAGTTAAATCTACTACAGATATAACTAATTAATTTAGGAGAAGGGTTTCGTTTGACGTATATGTTGGAGGTTCTCACATTTTAACTTTAACTTGAATTATAAATTAAAAACTAGTAGTTATGTACAACTTTATTTTCTTACAGAGTTAACCTAATCTAACTCGATAACTACAGATTCGCCGGGACAAAGCCTGACCGCCTTGAACGATATAGTTCCAGTGCTAGAACCGGCTTTAGGACCGACCATTACCTTCCCAGTATAGAGCAGCGCCGATAAATCGGCGGAAATTTTTTCGCTGCCCATATTGCTTGCAACCACATACGACTTTCGTCTCGGGTACCACCTCTGAATAACCAAAAAATCTTTTTGCGAGTACTTCACCTCGGCGTTGACTTTATTGACGTTTTCCTTGAACACGGCGTTCATGTAAATAGACGGAGACGCGCTTCTCAACGCTACCATCTGGGATATGACGTCTGTTTGGTCGAACACGTCTTCGGGTTCGTCATTGGCTACCCAAGGTTGGATGTTCGACTCGCGATGATTCCACGGCATCATCCCTAGTTGATGTAGATGGCCGAACTCTGACTTCTCGTCTTGGAGGCCAATTTCGTCTCCATAAAAAATCGAAGGGGTGCCGGGCAACATCATCTGCAGCAAAGTGGCTCCTAACGTGGCGTTTCCGAACGGCAAAATACTCGCTAATCGATTTGAATTAACGTTTGCTAGAGACCAATGGATCCAAGGCATGCTGCGTTCAGAGAATAGGGTGCCGTTTTGGATAGAGTCTATTTGCTTGCTGACCGCCAGCACGCCTTTCTCTATATCCAGCTTGACATCGACTAGGTCTACATTGTTCAGCACGATGTTTACAATTGGCTTAGGCGATAAGTGAATAACATGTTCGCTAACCATTATTATTTTCTCAGGTCCCAGAATCTTTTTCCATCGTCTCAGGTATGACGGAAAGTCGACATCTTCGATGAAACTTTCCAGACCTTTCAGGTAAAACCCGTCGATGCCATTAGCCGACCAAAAGGCGAGAACTTCTTCGACTTGAACGAATACATCATTTTTGGCTTTTAGAAACTCGCCGGCTGGTTGGTGGCTGCTATTTTTAATTATCTGGACTGAGTGGTTTATGGGACCTTGCTTGATTAGTAAGGACGACACCGGAATGTCGAGTAGCAAAGATATATTTCTGGACTTGAAATTTTTCGCCAAGTCCCTCAGATCGTCGTACGTGCCTAAACTAGGATCGATCATCCTAAGATTCGTGGCATTTTCAAAATCTACGGGATAATGCTGGGTCCGGAATATCGAATTTAATCTCACCGCTCTCACACCCAGCCTCTCGATGTAATGCATCTTCATTGAAATACCTCTGAGATCGCCGTGTTTGCCGTGGCTGCTGCTGTAAAAACCCGCGGGGAAAATTTCGTAAAACAAGTGCCCTTGGTACCACTGGGTCGGAGGATTGCACGTTTTCGGTAAATTATAAATCATTGCCACTACTAACGCGAGCATGGCCACCAGTCCCGACATAAATATCCATAACGAAATTTTCCTAATCATCGGCCAATTCCACGACATAAAGAAGTAATCTTCGGGGGGATTTCTAAACGTCAATTGTAGAGGCTGGTTTGCGTCATTGGCTTCCTGGAAAAACGCGTTATATTATTTTCTTGCTGGCATTGACGTCACGAGATAATAATCATGAAAACCAGGTTGCGTTATCAAAACAAACATGAAGGGAAAGAGCAAAAAGGGTACAAGGGTTTAAACATATTTTTCCTTACCTCAGTGGTTGCTTCTTGCTCTTTAGCTATATGATGGTACATGCTATTTCGGTGGTTAAGCAATTGAGTACAGGCTGGTTCTGCAGAAGACGTAGAGGAAGCCGAATCAACGTGATCATCTGAAATAAATTTTATTTGAGAATGTTTTAAGTCGTTAGCTAGCCGCTCATATTAGTTTCTAATAATATTCCGAATATTAAGGTATTATTTATTATAAGCGCACTCTTCTTGTCAGTTGACAATCGAGTTTTCGTTTTAAATTTACCAATTGAGATAGACAATTTTCGAAGCCACCCTATTTACTAAAGCGTAGATGACATTTTAATTTCGGTAAAAACTTGGTTTTAAATTGAAGGAAGTTAACAATATTTACTATATGTAGATAAATATAAATAGCACATACATCGAAAAATGGACGGAGATTCCGGGCGTCAACTGGTTTCCTAGTTTTTTTTACGGTGAATTCTCCATTTATATATTTCATCTTCATAAAAATTGCTTTCAGTTTTTGAGACATCTTATGTTTTAAAAAATAGGTTACGATTTTGTGCGTATAAATTGTGCCAGATAATATACCAATAATTTCGTTTGTCAGAGTGCGATAGAAAAAACATTTGAAAATGTTTTTAATAATTATTTATGTATAAGATTTATCTACTTACTTTCCGGTTTCGGTTTTCTGTCAAGACTTCATGCATATAAGATTAACCTGCTTAATATTATATTGGAAAGCTAATAGCAAATTTTAGCTTTGATATAGGATTGATAGACATCTTCAGCCACTCGTTCATTAAGCACTCGCTCTGTTCGTACCAAAACAATTTTGTGACTAAAGTGTTGTTGCATAATATACTATAAACATGTCAACGTTTTTTGTAAATGGTTAAATGTTGTTGTTTATTTGATGATAATCTGTGATATTTGGAAATTTTAGAAATAAAAAAGGAGGATTTTTTCAAAATGAATAATTTTGAGCTCAGAAACGGGTTGACGAACTTTTCTCAAATATTCAAAACCAAATCTAAATTTGCTCACCCTGTACATTTAAGATTTATTACCTTTCACGTGTTGTAATTTTTCTGCTAGTTCCTCGCCAATGACGAAATTGGACTCGCTTGGTTCCGGCAGAGGGTTAATCAGATCATTTGTTGGCGGCGAAGGTGTGATGAGAGGACATATCGAGGCAACCTCATCCGCCATAAAAGAATTTGAAGGCGACGACGGCAAATTGGAGCCGTGGTCTACCCCCAGAAACCCATCCATCGTTTAAATATTTAAACTACCTTCGAACCATTTTTAAAACCGGAACAACACGTGAATAATTATCGAGGCAACGCGCAAAATTTGTCGAGCAATCAAAACTTCGATCACGCTTTCTCTAAATTTAAACAACAACGTCGTGACAATAGAAATGAACTTGAAATGTAATAAAGAGAGACGAATGCAAAGTGATCAGCTGATCGTTAACTTCAAAAGGTAGCGGCGTCGTGACGCCGAGCGTCAGTTTTCAATGGCACTCTGCGTCTGCGCTGTTCGTCGTCTATGGGAAAGAATCGAAATCTCTGGTCTTGATTTTTTTGGAGTATAACGAATTTCAAAATAATATAATTAAAAATCTTCATTAATATTTTTCAATAAATATTCGAGTGTGCACATTGCGCCATCTCGTGATACACATCGGTAAGTTATCCGCTTCCAGGTATTGGCGAAATAAAGATAGCGAATAGGCAAATTAATTGTCCGTTCCCCTTCCACGAGATGGCGCATGCATTTCCTTATAGTGCCATCTAGTTTTTCAAGGAAATTCTTTGATATTTTTCTGTTTTTATTTAATAAATTAATTTATTATATAAGATGGAAAAAGAAAATATATTAACAAAACGAATTTACTGTCGTTCGCAATAAATAAATTTGTAACACAATTTTTGAATTGGATTTTTCTTGTAAAAGGTGCGCTATTTTATTTGCTTAAAACATTGCAGACTTTTAAATTTTGGAGTCAAATTGTAACAGCTCAACAATTGGTGCAATTTTTTCCCATAAATACACATATTTAATTTCATTCATAAGAGGGTAAAAGGTTTCGAAAATATTTACAAAAATCGCTATCAGTTTTACCAAACGAATTTATGTATGCAAATTTATAAGATGTCTGTCATGTAGAGAAATTAAAATAAAGAGCATTCTACCACCAACCTTCATAATAACAAAAAAACTAAGAACAAGAACAATGTTTAAAAATCACTGATTTTTCTATGATTTTGACAAATTTCATATTTCTGTTAATGCAGGTAGACACGATGCAATTTCTAGATGCATCCCTTCATGCATTTTTAATAGATAATAATTGCTATAAAAAATGCATTTTGACCCGGTAATTTTTTGAGCAAAGGAGACTTAATTATTTTGCTTTAATTTTGTTTTTAAAGGTTGTCTCCTCACCTCGACCTATGTCTAGTGGACAAGCCTATTTTCCTTCTTCCAAACCTAATCTACTAACACGGGTGGTGGTGTGCTGAGTTCATATTAACGCTCTTCCATGCCCCACGACGACTTCTAGTCATCACTGTTCTGTCTTGTTGGCAGATATACAGGAAGAAAGATCAAGTTCCTCAACTTCCAACTACTCACTCAAACGTCCACCAGCCTAGGTAAGGTTGGATCTAAATTGGGGCTGACATTTCCTAACTGCTACTTTTATATATATTTATACTAATTTATGTATTCTGTAAAACTAATCTCTGTGCACTTTTAGGAGTAATCTTGCGCAATTTCGATTCTATTTACATTTTTTATAAAGGTTTTTCAAATACAAATTCGGAAAAAAATAACTGGTAATTTGCAATATATGTATCAACAAATACGTGCAGAAATTCATGTAGAAATTGTCCCTTGCCTATCACGCTTTAAAAGTAAAAACATCAGTGGTGTTCCTATCTATGTCATAGTCACTGTACCTAGGCGATAACTTACTAGATATATTAGAGTTTTGGTATTCTCTCCTTTCTGCCAAAATTTGAAATATTTTGCGTGGACAATAAACTTACAATATTCACCCTAGTTTGTAAGAATTTTCAACACAAAATCTTGTCTTCTTCAATACAGTCATATACCACCTCATATTAATTTGTGAATTGTTGACATTGTTTTTTTTTTTTCATCTCTATTTGAGAATTGTCGATATGTCATATTCCTTTTATACGATTTGCTGATTCGTGAGGAATAATAAATTGATTTTTTATTTACGCAATTTAACGCTAGTCTATTACTAGATGAAAAACCGCAAATGAAAAAAACCAAACTGACCTCTAGTATATTGAAAATTGTTTTAACAGTATTTAGAAATTTCCATTTTTGGTCTATTGTAAAGACCTCTCGGTATATAATTAAAATTTTAATCTAAAATAATATTGATTGATACACCGTATATTTTGATGTCAAAATAACATTTCGTCATCATCGAACCGATAAAGCCCCATTAGTTCTTGTTTTTATGTTTTGTCCATTCTTTAAATGAAACTACAATCATGTTTTTCGCGGAACCTAAACACACAATCTCTTCATGCCGAATCAGTGCACGGTAGAACATTGACATTATGGTAAATACTTGTTGCATGTGTTTTTTTTACATTTAAGTAATTGTTGGGGGTTCATTCATTGCTCTGTGTTGGAATAAGGGTTAGAAACACATTCTCTTAATCGGGACCGGCAGGTGAAAGAAATATGAATAATTCTGTAGAATATGTTTTGCTTGCGTCAAGCTTGTGGAAATTTTGTGAATTTTATTAAACAAAATGTTGGTTCTCTGTATTTACAAAAAAAAGGGAATTAAAATTTAACGTCATAGCAACTTCATGATGACCGTTCGAATGCGCGGAAAAAGAAACAAAAAATTGGGATGGTGGATATATGGAGAACTGAAAACTGGCATCATCGAAAATATTTGCAAATCCGTCACTGCTGATAACCCTCGCATACCAAATTTCATAACTTTCTGTTAAATCGTTGCTGACATTTTTTTTGTTAAGGCGGTATAGACTTCAAATTTGAAAAATTGAAAGTTTATGGATTTAAACACCAATAAGGCAATTAATCAACAAATTATAAATAAAATATATAATTAACGCAAAAGTCCGGTAATCTTAGTTGTTTGTTTATTTATTAGTGTGCCATATAATCTTCGAATACATATTTTTCAAAAAGCCAATTTCGTATAAATCTTAAGTTACAAGTTTCTTGGCATGGTTATGGTCAGTAGTACTCATCCGTAGTCGTATAATATCGCCATTGACATTTATACTGCAAAATTTAAAAAATATGCACTATGCTAATGAATCTTAATCACTAAATGTTGCGACCTTTGTAAATCGTTATATTTTGTGTACTGATATTTTATCCTCTTATCAGCGTAATGTTTTGAAACAACTTTGGGCAATCCGTGCAGTGCTGGGGGTAAAATTGCTAGCGGGAGAAGAAGTCTCAAAAAATTGATGAAATTTTAATAAAATTTTTCTCGAAAATTGCAATTACAACCGATTCTATGATGGTGAGAATAAATCTGTCTTGAAATCCTGGGAAAAAATAACCCCAGAGTTCTTTTTTAAACACATGCACTCCTCAGAATTGGTTTGGTTAGTTTAGTCGTCGCCTACTAATAGTAAAGCAAAATAGTTTATATTAATAAAAAAGATGTAATTAATTTTCTAGAACAGAATCTCAAGCTTGAATAAAATAAATAATGTTTTATTCTTTTTGTGGAAATAAACAATGGAATTTACCCATTCATTGCGTACGTCCGTGGCGCAGAGATTAAGAAATTTTAATGTGTATTCTTGTAATCATAATCAGTTATTGAGTATCTTTAACACACTCCGTTGACCACATAATATATGGAAGTGACAGAAATTGATGCGCGACTCTTTTTTAATATAGGGTGAGTTAAATTTTTACTAAGTATTCGGCGTGTTTTTCAATGACCAAACAAAAAGCCTTTTGGAAAATGTGTTTTGTAAGGTTTAACTTTTATTTAGTGATTATTTTGCGTGTTTTTATTTTTTATTGGATTTATTTATACTGAACTTTGAGAAACTTATCTTTTAAAGAAAATTTCTTTCATAAAATAGTTTTATCTTTTTATAAACTATTTCACCTAAATTTTCCTTGGAATTAAGCACTTGATTCCTACAAGAAATCTCCTAGTAAATTTTGACTCAATTGTATCAATTTGAGAAAGCAGTTTTAGTCAAGTCAACTCAAGTAGATACTAACAGAACATACTAAGGCTAGTAACAATAACATTTTACAAATTGCGAAATATTTGGTCTAATTACATTTTGATTTGCGTACTAAGAAATGGCTAAATAAATTATATGTCGGAATGTGACAAACAGGCAAATATAATCTATCTACGCACATCCGTTAATTGATAAATTGAATATTGAGCTGTTAAATAAACTTTTTCAAATAATTATTTGAATATTACTACTATCGACAATGTTGTCAATTTTTTAAACTTTTATGTGAGTTTGACCCCAGTATCTATTGCAAAATTGCCACTATTAAGCAATACTACACGAGAATGCTTACATAGCATGACATTTTTTAGAATCTTCTGAACTAGTACATGGAGCCGGAACCATCGCCACAAAGGACATCCGTAATTTTTGGAGACCACTTTTTAGGGCAACTTTTTAAATCCGTTGTTTTGAAGATCGTTACTTTTGTAGACGTCTACCATATTGAGAGTCCAGGGAATGGCCCTTGATTTTGTTGCTGGGTGTCTTGGCGGTAAGCGGCATACACATAAATATTAAGCGGCATAATTAAGACACCGTGCGTGACTCTTTATTTCCAGCTAGATTTTTTCAAATATGTGCGTGACTCTTTATTTCCAGCTAGATTTTTTCAAATATCTCACGGACGGAGACCGTAAATACAAAAATTGTAGTTCTCTAGCCCATAAAACAATGCTTTAAACAAATTGCCCTCAGCACTCTTGACTAATTTAAACTCATACTAAAGCATATTAAATTGTCTTCCAAATTGCATGTTTATTTTTTGGGTCAGAAAAAAAAAACTAAAATCAAAAATTTACAGTGGGCCGATTTCTATGCACGCAAGTTTACTATACGAGAAAGTATTTTTTTCTGAAATAACCGAAAAAATGTTGTAAATGCGATTGAGATTGCGCCCAGAATTTATAATGGGTTATATGGATACCCTCCCAATGGTAATATCAAGACGATAGTGTTAAATTTTGAACACTGCCAACTTCGTATTCTTTAACATACCTTTAACATAACATGCGAAAAAATTAATTTAATTTAATTAAAAAATTAAATACATACATACATACATCGATACAATCTAAGTGAAGGAAATTTACAATTTAAATATGGTGTTTTCTTATGACCGTTCTCATTGCAACTTCTAAATAAAATAAACATATTTAAACGAAAAGCGTTTGTTTTATTTTGACAAAAACAATTTCTTTCTATTTTGATATCCTGAATAAACTACATAAATAATCAAATAAAATAAAATAATAATAAAATAAAATAAAACGAGTTATTTCATATTAGCTAACTTATCAAAACATGCTGACTAGGATATAGTTCGCAATTCCCAGCTTAGTATTTGATCTATCCTCTTAACATAGTTTTAAATAAATTTAATTTCAAAGTATCTCAAAGTATATTGTAATATAATAAATAATTCATTCATACTCGAGTGACAAGGCAGGTATGGACCAGGAATCTCTTGTGTGATAAGCTTTAGGATTATCAATATGTCGGCCGATAGGGTTTCATTTCTTCCTTTGTACTGCCATATGTTTCATTGCATATGATCAGAAAATGTTAGTCTAGCTTTTAGCTCCAGCGTTATAAATTTCATTAAAAATAAAAAATTCAGTACAGAACATTATCAAACTTGAGGACATTTACGATTTTTATACAAAATACCATAAATGACCACTCTGGCAGTCATACAGGATTGAATGTAGATATTTATAATACAGATTTATTAAACTTTTTATATATTTAATGTGGTTTTTGTTTCTTAATTTAATTAATAAACAATATTTTTATTATTACAAAACCTTCCGTCCATCGTAATGTTCTGGCCATTGAGTTTTATTGGCGCTAACTTGGATAAATTCAGGCGTTTGAATGTTACTCAGAAAATTATTTCAGGTTGTGCAGGTGTAATTGTGGGTCATCCACTAGACACTGTAAAAATTTGCCTTCAAACTCAAGATGCACGCAATCCGAGATATAAAGGAACGGTCGATTGTATCCGGTCCATATTAGCCAGAGATGGTGTTAAAGGTGTCTACAGGGGAGTCTCCAGTCCACTCGCAGGCGTCGCTGGTATCAACGCCATAGTGTTCGGCATTTATGGAAACACGCAACGATGCATGTCAGACCCAGATTCCTTGAAAACTATAACTCTTGCGGGAACGATAGCAGGGCTTTGTCAGTCTTTCGTGTGCTGTCCGATGGAGCTGGTAAAGTCGAGACTACAACTTGGCAGCAGATCCACGACTTCTGTAGACTGTTTTAAAAATATTTATAACGAAAAAGGTATCCGAGGTTTATATAAAGGCCTCGGATTGACAATTGCGAGGGAGGTTCCCGCGTTTGGAAGTTACTTTTTCACCTACGAGATCTTGACACGGAAAATTGACGATTCTCCTGTATCTACTATTAATATGTTACTGGCAGGTGGAATGGCAGGTATGGTTCCGAGTTTTTTACTTGTCTTCCTATTATTATCGTATTTTTATTCTAGGAGTGGTCTCATGGACGTTGTCTTATCCGATAGATGTTATCAAAACTAGAATCCAAGTAGATACAGCATCAAGGTATCTTAATGGTTTGGATTGCTTTCAACAGAGCGTGAAATCTGAAGGCGTCGCGTGTCTATTTAGGGGGTTATCACCAACACTTTTACGAGCTTTTCCCGTAAACGCTGTAACGTTTACGGTCGTCACGTGGACGATGAAGTTGTGGCATGAGATCGATGTCAGCAAGAAAGTGAGAAACGCAGATATCGTGGTTGCAAATTATGCCGACGCCGTCTACCGTTCGTTCAGTTTGGCCGAATGTTCCCTGGCCTAGTTCTTCAAATATTTATTTATTTTCATTTTTTGTACAATATTTGTGTGAAAGTTTGGCGATATATGATAACGAGAAGAAAATTGCATTTCTTTTTTTAAATTTAGTATTTCAAATTATACTCGAATATTAAAAGCAGAAATTTCAAAATTGTATATCGAGTGTGCTAGTAAGGTCAACAAGGTACAGTATTAGGGAAATGGTCGGTCCGAGAAATTTTAGAAAAAATTAAGTAAATCGACAAAAAGAAATGTGCATTTTTACACTAGATAGTGAAATATTCGCAACACCCCATCTAACCTAAAATATGATTAAAAGAATTTAGCGCCCAAAAAAATATTTTTAGAAAAAAAATCACTTTACAGGTTGTTATTTATGTCTAATTATCCAGAATATACCAAATAAAACGCAAATTTATTTAAAATCAAAATAAAATTTTGTTTTTAACATTTTCTAGAGTGCCTACCCAGTAGCTGACATTAATATATGTCGATATACTTGCTAGATTTTAATTAATTTATTATAACATTTTTTTATTAACAATTAGGCTTAGTCATCTAAAGTAAAATAATTAAAACGGTTGGAGACTTTCTCAACAATCAAATAACTACATGAAATTTGTTTTCATGGAAATCTTCATAATTAGAGATAAATTATTTTAAATACTTTAATTTAATTAGTTAGTTGCCGATACCGATTAGTGATCAAAAAACTGAAAAAATGGCATACGTCAATGCAATAACATGTTTAATTTTAGTATAATAAATACATTTAACATTTTCAAAAATAAAAAATTCATAATAATCGGGAATTAAACAGTATACATTTCTAAACATTTCTTATACATTTCAAAAAATGCTGTCAAACTCGAAAAAATACGCCTAGCCTATTTTTGATTTCGCAACCGTTTATTATTTTTTGTCGTAGATCATTGATATCTGTTATAGGTCTTTCATACACTAAAGACTTCAAGTGCCCCCAAAAAAAGAACTTCATCGGATCAAGGTCTGGTGAGGGAAGTGGCCAAGCTAGAGGTCCGCCCCGACCTATGCATCGATGTTCAAATGCCTGATTTAAATACCTTCGTACAGCTAATTCAAAATGGGCGCGCCATCTTGCATCAACCATATGTTTTGTTTTCACTGCACGGGTAGCTCTCCTCTTGGAGAAATTGCAAATACATTTCTTCATTAAGCGATCCGTTAAAGAAATGCATATTTCGAAAATTTACAATGCCATCACGACTGAATGCAGCCTCGTCAGTGAACAAAATGACATTTAAGAATTGAGGATAATTTTGAATTTTTCCTAAAATTTGATTGCATAAAATTACTCTCAATTGCTCATCAACATTAACATTTTCAAATTGTCAAAAAAAATCCTTTGAATGCAGATTGCGGATAGTCTCTCTAATATTCATTTCAAAGCGCAATCTGCTGACTTTTATAAAAAATGTGTAGCTGTTATAAACTTTAGACAAGATTAACAATATAAACAATAATAATTAATTTAAAAATCTATGGCATAGAATGACATTTTCAGAACACCCTTTACCATTTATCGTTATCATAATATCTCAAAGGATTTGCTAAAATATTGGTAAATTGTGTTTAGGCCGTAAATCTCTATAACTAATATAACAAAACAAATTATTGCCAGATCAATTACAACATGGGCAGTTCACAACTCAAACAGAAATGATTCACTCAATCAATCATACAGAAATCCACGTTTTAGAAACATATGCTACATTTTAAATCTAATTGCACCATTCATGCAGCGAATTTCAATTACGTTTGAACAGAAAAATCTAGTTCTTATGGCAACCTCTATGATAATAGGGTGTTTTAATTCCATTCCGCACAATTAATTTTTTATTGCGAAATTAATTGATTTTCTGTTGGAACGTGAGACAGTTTTCTGAAGAAAATTATTCGACGCGTCTCGTAAAAATGTTATGCAAATCGTTACAGAGACATTACAAAAACCTTATTTAGCGTGAAACGCTTGAAATTTTCTCCGAGCAATTACATTCTAGTCAATTCATTTTTGCGTACGTCACCAAAATTATCGATCTACTTTCTACAAAAGTTTCATAACAATGAAGCAAAATAAAACTAATACAGCTTTTACCATCCTCTAATATCTATCTATATCTATACCTATTTAGATGAGAATATAACAACGACTCAATTTTCCGAATTTCTATTTTGATTTGATGATAAACAGGGTACTGCATCAATGAATATAAAGTTTCACAACGTGTATGAAACCACCAAAATTCTGCGTCGAGTTAGCTATCAGAGTTTGAACAAGTATAGTCCGGCACACGATTAATGGTCATGACTTGCCTGGCCTATCATCATCATTTATTATAGTGGACACCTTAGAAACCTTAAAATTAGATTTAAAAATATTGAAAAGCATAGTTGCATTAAAGAGACCCAACGATTGGTGGAATCGAAACAAAAACATTTAACTCAAATTCATCAATTTTTCGTGGAAAAACGTTTATTATTTAGACGAAACTTGGTTTGACATCCGTGACACTATAAAGAAAGGGTGCTAAAATTCTTCATTGAACTGCATTTGGAATTTACCTGCATGTAGAGGAATAAGAATATCCATTTTACATTGCTCATTAGACTACCATTAGAACATGACAAGTGAACTTTTTGAAAATTTCCTAACAACTTCTCTTCTTCCAAATATCCAAATATCATCATAGCACTTTAGCTAAAAAAGTACCAACGCTTAGCAGCAAGAAATAGTATTGCTGGAGTCCCTTAGTGAGCATGACCTTTATTTCGAAAATAATCTAATCAAAAAAACAATTTGTTAGTTTTAAGAACCAAATCCTGTGATAAAACTTATTTCGTACTCGATAATATACCCGTTTACCACCCGATTACCACCTTATAAATACAATCCTATAGTTTTTGTTTAGTTTGATTTATTTGCCCAAAAATGCCTTGGAGCAGACAAAAACTTTGATAGCATTATTACAGTCATGACCATTTATTTATTTAAATTCTTCTAATTAGGCATCATAAGTCAATTATAAAACAAATAGTTCATACACTAATAAAAAAAATGTAAAAAATATTTAGACAAAAAACTTGGTCATATTTAGTCAAAATTGGTCATATTTTAACTTAATTTAATGAGCTACACCCTTAACCTACTATTTACTATATTACGAATCAATGATTAGTCATAAGTTTAATAGACATGGCTTTTAGGGAGAATCGTCTATCTAGAGCTCTACTAACTACATCTAGGCTGAATGTGCGAAGAGATGACGTTTTAAAATATCAATGAAGTTATAGAAATTGAGCAACAGTGCATAAGTTACCTTTTAGAGTTAAATAGGTATCTGAAATTGATAGCTACTCCGAAATATAGAAAGCTGGATGCATCCCTATAAGTAGTTGCAGATATGAACTGCGATGATTACCTGCTATCTTGTTCGCAACAAAAGTAGCTGGTTCAATTCGATCACAACCTTAGTTGCGTGTTCTCAACAAATAACCAAGTATTTGTCAATTTTGACGGATTGTATAATAATCTTAAATGAGTAAAGAGGATACTAAATTTGTAGTATTCAGTATAGCCATTGACCGGAAGAGTAGCCCGAGGATGCAATGGATGAAAGAGTTAGTTATAAATATCCGCCTTGGCTACATCCTCCACAGCGTCCAAGAATGGTTCGCGAATCGGATTTTGTGGAAATAGGTAAGTTATTTCACTCCGTATTCCACATTTGCATACAAAACACTTCTTCAGAATTTGCAATGTTTTTTTAAATATTTCTACAAGGTTTGCGTCTTTCTACCTTTAATAGTGGCAGAGGTTACAAAATTTTTTGTGTTTTTTTTAATGGAAAAAAACCAAAATTGTTTAATTATATAGCGAATTGATACACATTTTACAACAGTAATCTTTAATTTTGAAAATATTGCACGGTTCAGTTTAGATAATAACTAAGCGACCACATGTAGGTAACAATGTTGCAAATGGCAATCATTTTTGACATTTCATTTTCGTTTAATTGAAATTCCTTACAAAACCTTTAGTTCAAATTTTTCGTGACTTTTACTCTCCTACACCAAACTCGAAAAACCTGGCTCAACAAAATGAAATGGGGGAGTCGAATATACCCGGGACCAAGACGTCCGAAACCATCAGGGGACGTAGCATGAGTCTCGAGGCTATGCAGGCCCTTTTTGAACTCAAAGAAAACAATCAACTCTGCGATGCGACTATAGTGCTCGACGACGGCTCGGAGATACCCGTCCACAGAGCACTGCTTTGTGCTTGCAGTGCCTATTTTAGGTAAAAGTCCATTAAATCTCAACCCAATTCCATATTTTTCATTGTGTCAATTGATATTAGAGCCCTATTCATGACCACTCTTCATAATAAAGAAAAGACGAGAGTACATCTTCCCGGCTTATCTTCGGAGATGCTTCAAACCCTCCTGGTCTACGTTTACCTGAGAAAGTTGAATTTGAACGACGAAAATGTGTATTCCATCCTCATAGCAGCCGACTACTTGAGTTTACTCGGAGCGTTAGAGTTGTGCTGCGATTATCTAGAAACCATACTAAGACCGTCCAATTGTCTAAGTATTCTTCAGTTCGCCAAAGATCATTTTTGCGGTAAACTGCAAAAAAACACATGGAAGTACATTTTACGGAATTTTACGCAAATTGCCAGCCAGAGTCTGGAAATTTTAAACTTAAATTTAGTTCAACTACAAGAAATCATTAACTCCGATGATCTGAACGTAAAAAGCGAAGAGACAGTTTGGGAAGTTATTTTAAAATGGATCGAATATGAGCCAGATCAAAGAAGAGAGCATATAGTACAGCTTATGAAATGCATCCGCTTGGGCCTTCTGGATACTCAGTTTTTCTTAGAACGAGTAAAGGACCACCCGTACGTCGCCAGCAGCGAAGCTAGCAGACCAATGATCATCGAGACCCTTAAGTTCCTGTACGATTTGGAAATGATAACTCACAGGTACCTAGACGACTTATTGAAGCGACGAAACCATGATTAAATTACTATATCAGAGAAAATTAACCACAACACGATTTGACTTTTAGTCAAACTTTGCGAGGTTCTGAATTCTTATTAATTTGGTCTGACAGAGATGGGGAAGTAATTACGCCAGAAATTGCTCGCCCAAGAGTGCCTCACGAGATACTTTTTGCCATAGGAGGGTGGAGCGGTGGTTCACCGACCAACTTTATAGAAACTTACGACACCCGGGCCGACAGATGGGTTAAAGTTGAGGAGGTGGATCCAATCGGACCTAGAGCATATCACGGCACTGCCGTGGTAGGCTTTAACATATATGTCATCGGAGGTTTCGATGGTGATTCGTTAATTACTGGATAAAGCTGAGGTTCTAAATTTTCATATCGCCTAGGCATGGACTATTTTAATTCTTGCCGTTGCTTTGACGCTGTCAATAAAACTTGGAGGGAGATAGCGCCAATGCATGCGCGACGTTGTTACGTCAGCACCACGGTCATGGACGAAATCATTTACGCCATGGGCGGTTACGATGGTCATCATCGGCAAAACACGGCTGAGAGGTACGACTTCAAAACCAATCAGTGGACCCTCACAGCCCCGATGAATATGCAACGCTCCGATGCTAGTGCCTGCACATTGAACGGTTAGTTGCTTAACTTAGCACATCGGGATATTAGTAAGTATTAAGGTGAATTGGGCTTAAGTAACTAACTGGATGGGAACTTCATTCTGTTAAAACATTAATAATCGCAAACATATCAAACAAACTTATTTGAAGACACCTGGCGATTATTGGATTGCGTATGTTTCACGCAGATAATAATGTTTGAATTTTTAGGGAAAATTTATATAACGGGTGGTTTTAATGGTCAAGAATGCATGCACTCGGCGGAAGTTTACGATCCGGAAGCGAACCAATGGACCTTGATCGCTCCGATGAGGTCCAGGCGATCCGGAGTCTCGTGCATTGCGTACCACGAACAAGTTTATGTCGTTGGAGGGTTCAATGGCATCTCTAGGATGTGTAGCGGCGAAAAATATAATCCGCAGACCAACACATGGGCCACTATACCTGATATGTACAATCCCAGGAGCAATTTTGCAATAGAAGTGATCGACGATATGATTTTTGCCATTGGTGGATTTAACGGTGAGTGTAAGGAGAATAAATGTACATTTAAGGACGTTTCTTGCTCCCGCTGTTCCAGGGGTTACAACAATCTATCACGTAGAGTGCTATGATGAGAAAACGAACGAATGGTACGAGGCTACTGATATGAATATTTATCGCTCGGCTTTATCCGCCTGCGTGGTAGACGGACTCCCAAACGTTCAAGATTATATACATAAGCACCGGGATCGATTGATGGAGGAGAAAAGACAAAAAATGATCGCCATAGAAAATCAGCGGAACGCGGCTGGGATTGGTAATCACGACAATGATAACCAACAGGTAATAAATATTCTCAAAGTTTCGAAAGATATTTAAGTTTCCGGAGTTTTAGGAGAATATTGCTGCTGCTGTTAATGCTAATATGCAGCAGCTTAATATACTTCAACAGCTAAACGCCAATCTAAATCCGGCTTTGCCTCCGGCACCGGTACCAAACCCCGAGCCAATGGACGTTGACGAGGAAGACAACTTGAGATGAAATGTTTTAAGTAAAACATTTTTAATAAATATGATTGATCTGCGTTCGTGGAAGAAATTGCTAGCCTGGACGATGATGAGATTTTTAAAGTATTTTTTACAAATGTAAGTTGACGGTTTTCCGGAGCGACTTTCCCATCGGCCAGGAAGCAGGACACTAGACCGTTTTGGCAATAAATATGGAAACCTTAAATTTTTGTTTAATATGATCCAAACGAATTAGTATTAGGGCCCCTTGTTATGCCATTGAATTGGTATCCAATGTTTCGGCTTGAAAGTTGGGCAACTATTTGTTTATTAACAATTAATGTGTGACGAAAACAGCTTTTTGTAGCTGAAATTATGATTTATTGTTAAAAAAAAAAGTTTCATTAGAAGATATGCGTCTTGAAAAAATCTGTGGTTTGAATGACAAGTAGAATATTCATTATTTTCCGCATAATTACTTTGTTAATATTTTTTAAAGCTTTTTTTAAATAATTTATTTCCGAAAATTATGCAACATCGATTTTAAATTGTTTAAATCATTTTTCAAACTTCATCTCTCCGCACGTGCCAAAACAAACTAGATCCTACAATTTTGACGTCTCGCTTAAGTTTAAGGCGAGAATAAAATTTTTAAGAAATAAATTATGCCTAACACTTGCATTAAAATGGCACGAGACATACTAAACTATACTAGCTTTTTTAAAATTATCTATACCGAACTAAACTAATACCTGAGAAAAAAATATGGCCAATTGACAATTCTTAATAATAAACATTAATTATTCCTATTTTTTTACTTTTCTTTTTTTTTAAATTTAATTCTCAACAATTTCTTTAATGGCACTTGCATGTATTTTTCATGACCAAATTTTTTTATAGCTACAAGTTCTATTTTAGTGCAAAAGGATGAAACTTAATGTAAGTACTACACCGTATATTTGTGTTGCCACACAAGATATTGTATATTCAAAACTAGTTAGTTAAACGTAGATATTGTCTGGATGGTGTATGTCGGCGCATCTTGCAAAATACGCATCCGCTTTTGCCATACCTACTGTGGGAGCGAATATCAACTTTCCATAATGAGAAATCCTCGTCATATCCCGCAAAACATCGTCCTCCTCCAGACGGCTAGAAAACTGCGCCAGAGCGTTCTCGGGAAACAACAGGTAGGTGGGAGTTTCTCCGAAACTAATTGACTTTTTACGTGTCGACGGTTAAATTTACTTTTTGTTAAAAGGGCATTATGAAACGCGGAGGGGTCATAAACGTTTTAATTGCCACTTATTTCAAATGTGTGTATCATTTATTTTGTCTCTATGTTGGTGATATTTTCAGAAATTTTAAACTGTGTAACCTTTTTTTTGTTTATTCCGTCAATTTTATTTTATTTTGAATAATGCTATTTACCTTGTTTAAGAATTAGCATCGCAGTCTTAATTTTCAAAAATATAGAGTGCTTGAATTTGCCAAACCATTGCCTGAGTAATTTAATAAATATAAAAAATATACATACAATAGCTAAATTTAGAAAATTTGTTTATATGACAATATATACTATTCGTAAGGCACTGTCAGGAAGTCAGGTTATACAGGATGACGATATAGAAGACGTTTTTTAAAATTGTGATAGCCTGTATTTTTTCCATATTAATAGTGCATCTTGGCGAACTTCATCAATTAACAAAATTGTACTTCATTCGTTAATCACTAGAAATAAAGTTGAAACAAATTAAATTCCATACTAGAATTTTTTTAAAGTATGCATTAAATCGGAAAAACTCATCAAGGTGTTCAAAATTATGGAAACCAATGACGATTTCAATACAATCGCTATATTCGCTATTACAAAAATAGTTTTTTAATTCTGCATCAACTTGATTTGCATATTAAGTACTTTTTCTGATTTCCCAGGATGCTTCTGACAATTTTATGGATTTTCGTCGCTGTACATGTAGCTGTCAGATGCCAGCAAATCATAGATATTGGACCCATATATGATGATGAAGATACCGACGAGAATCTGACACTTAAATGTCATAAACGAACTTATACCTACAAGGTGTCCCAGACCGACGAAAATGGAAAGGAATGTTGGGACATACTGAGCGTAATGGCCTGTTGGGGACGTTGTGACTCAAACGAGGTACCTATGCAACGTGTTTTTTTTTTTAAATTTGTGCAATGATGGATAGAATATTTTGTCAAAAAATTAATACAGTTTTCACTTAAAAAATAACTATGATGATTAGAAAATTATATTATTATTAATTACTTGCTGAAAGTAACTAGTTTGACAAAAAGTGCTGTTTCCAGATGTTTTGCATTTTATGTTTAATATATACGATATAAAGACATAAAATGGTTACCTATGACTGAAATAAATTTTTTCAGATAGCAGATTTTCGTTTTCCATTCAAAAAATCGAATCATCCAGTCTGCGTCCATTACGGTCGAAACAAAGCCTTCGTTATTCTGCGAAACTGCGAAGAGGGCGCTCTGCCATCTGCAGCCAGGTACGAGTACTATGAGGCGGCTGATTGCAAATGTCAACTATGTTCATCTTTGGACACGAGTTGCGAAGGGCTGCGGTACAGGTCGCAGCGATCTCAGCCACTCTCTGGCGGATTCAAAAGAATTTTCCAGAATGTTATGTAATCTACCAAAGTGAATGTAAAACATATTATTAATTTACTGTATATTTAAAAACGATTTTTTAAAATTTGTTTACGATTAAACTCTTCGAAATTGTAGTACTTTGAAACACATTTTTGATCAGAAATATATATTACATTTCTGGATTTGTTTTCTTGGAAATAGTTTCTTATTATTATTTATCACTTCCTTTCTTTAGTCATCTCGTAATCTCGCAATTCCTTAATAATACTTCAGGATATTTTAAAATTATGCACAGCTCAATCTTGGAGATATAGCAAAGGGACTATGGAAAATGTGCTAAAGTTAAATGAAAGCAGTAAAAATACATTTCACTTCACAATAACATCACTGGAGGGTAATGCAGTCCTCCTACCCTATATAAAATGAAATCCAAATTTTATCATATAGCGTATCATAATGTACCGTAGAAATCTCAATGTTTTATCAAAATAAAATGAAAGCACAACGCAGTAACCATAAAAATATATATATATAAGGTATTTTCAGAAACTTGGTAGGTAGACAAAATTAAAACGAGGTGTATCATTATTATCTTGAATATTAATAAGGATTTGTGTTAAGCAGGAAGAATATTCATGAACAGCTAAAATGTGTCGCCGAAGCTGTGCGACCCAAATGGGATGCATTTTATAAGGCCGTTTTTGTTTTTTAATAAACATTAAAATAAAGTGTTCAAAGGATAACTGCATTACCGGCGAAGGCGTTTTTAAGTTTCACAAATTTTTATTTCGATGTTTGCATTTTTTTTTCATTATAGGAAATTTTGAATGTTAAACGTCATAGGAAACAAGTACAGGTAAGAAAATATGCGGCTAGGTATTAGAAATTTAGAAACGTTGGTTTTGTTAGATCCTCAGAACTATTAATGAGACACTCAATCACCCTACTTAAGGCATAAATAATATTTGACTACGCAAACATGTGGGTCGGTTTTTACAAAAGCCCTTCATATAGTTTCAACCGACGGGGTATAATTTAGTTCCCTCCAAACTTTAATCTGTTCTTAAAGTTCAGTAGAACAAATTTCAGTTTGCGGTCCCAACTTAATTTCAATCAAAAACTTGTTAACTCGCATTGGGAAACTTTTCGGTTTCAGAGAATTATCATGAAGCAATTGTCTAGTAACTCATGATTATTTTAGTACAAAAAGAACGTAAATCTTTACTTAGTTATCGCAAATACGAAATTAAAAATGGAAATAACGGTAAGCAGAGCAAAATGCATGAGTTTATTGTGGGATTTAATGCGCTTACTCATGGAATAAAAGATCATAATTAATGAAAGCAACATAAATCCATTTAAGTGCGAGCGACATTGGTTGTATATTTGATTTATTACCCTAGCTTTAATTGCTCAGTTCTAATGTAACCAACGGAAGCTGAGTTTTATGGGAAACAATTCGACTCCATATTTAGATTTTGCCTTTGGCCAGATTTAAAAATGATTCAGCGGAAAACCCGCTTAAATATCAAAATCAAAATGAAGAGGGACTATGTACAGTGTCAAATATTAGATAATTAACCTGCATTTGTACTCTTTTTGTAATATAGGGATCGGCTCACATTTAACCCTTTGAATCCCAATAGGCTAGACAACTATAAAATTGTATAAGAATAGTCAAAATACATAATGACATTTCAAAAATCAATAGACTCGCCAGTTTGAAAATTTTGTCCTGGGCAAATAAACCCCTACAAGATGTAAACTTTATCGGCATTTACAAATGCTCCCCACAAATTGATCTCACAAAGTAATCGGGACTCCACCTTCGCATAGTATAAATTTAGCTACTGTTGCCTAGTTAAAATCTCACTAAGATTTATAAAAAGATAATTTACACTATTTAGAGTTAAAATAAGAGTATCACAATGAGACTTAGAGCTTAAACATTTATCCAAACTGTCGAGCTTGAAATGGTCCTATAGAAGGCTAATATTTTTGTTATTTAGTATTTCTGTATCATACAGAGAGAAGCTACAACTATATAAATCATAATGTGGTAAAAATACGTCGTTTGCTTTTATATTTCTTTATATTCAAGGAACACACGTTTTCAGTATGCATCCCCACATCACAAAAAGGAACGATTATCACGCAATAAGGAAATAACTCGACGCAGAACAATAAATAAACTCGCCATTGTTAAAGAATTTAGGTAAAAAATTGCAGGCTTGAACAAAAGACAGATACAAAGAGAAGAAAAGAAAAAAAAAGGCTATTCGAGACGGAAAGATATCAATTATAATGAGCAAATAAACATCAAGTTTTCTGTAAAGTATGTCTGTAAAATAATTTTCCGTTTCGATAATGCAGCTGATAAAAAAATTCGTTTAAAACTTCTCAGAATCAAACTGATCATTTTTTAGACCGCATGACATTTTAAACATCCCTAGACGTTACCGTGAAATTTGCGAAAACAACTTTGCTATATTCCCTAAATGTGAAATAAAAATCATCTTTAAATGCTATTGGTTATAACCAGCCATTTAGAACCAAATTTATTAAAATAATTTGTATAAGTTATCTTCAACAACCAAGGCAATTCATCACACTGCCACCAACTTTTCATTAGTTTTAAATATTATTATAGTTATTAAGGGACACATAACCTTCACGGACAGGGTTCATTTTTATATAAAACATAGACAAAATGCAGACTTTCAAGTTTGGCCATTCAAGTAACAAAACGAACATTAGAAGGCACGAAAACAATAATAATAATGATAAAAGAAAAATAAAGTACCACACTTTTGGATCATCTAATACTTGCTTGAAGCTGATTCCTAAATCTAAATGTCCATAATTGCCATAATTGCTTCTGACATGATGCAAAAAATATATTAATTAGATTAATTACTCGTAATGGTCCCAAAAACCTCACAAACACAACTGGATTTTAATTAATTTATATAGAAAAAAAAAACAAAACGACAGACATTATTTAAAATTAATTCTTTGATCGGGGCGGTTACTAGTTGGGCTATCCAGATAATTACGGAATGAGCACTTTTGAATCCAAAATCAATAATTAAAAAATAGAAAAACATAAATATGTAATAATACGTACGTACCTACACATTAATATCATATAAATAATATTGCAATGGTAATACTTTTTATAAAACTTCTGGGTTCCTTTAATTAAATTAAATCTTTCCAAAAGTAATAACTGCTCAGTGCAACTCAGTGAACACGCCCCATCGATTTTAAAACTATGAAACTTAATAAATTTTCTCTGTATACCCTCAATATATATTTAACGCAAATCCGGGCACAAATTATTGCACAGTACTAGAGCTTAGATCTAGACATTGCGGTGTCCAACAACAACATTCAGTTTGGACGTGGCATTTTTTTCGGCAATATTGTAAGTAATGTAAGTTAAGTATGTGGAGATCCCAATTTTGGAAGAAAATAGTGCTGCTTATTTTGTGAAATTTAAGGTCGTGCGCGAAAGAGCATTCGCTTCTGTACGAAAATGTCATCGTCGCCTAATCAATGAATTTTGTGGTATTTAGGCTACTTTTTGAATCACCGTTAGGGATATTAAGTTTTCGGTAACACGACTCATTCTAAGGGCACTTTTAATGCAATGAACCCCTTAACATATTTTTAAATTATTTTATTTTTTGGATTTTTTTTTCTGGGAGGTGTGGGTGTTTTAAAAAATTCCTAACCAAAATTAAAAGAACACTTTCCAATCTCGCAATTCCCTCACAATTCTTCGCAATAGCATTCAATTCCGTTATTTCATTCGGAATAAAAAGACAATGTTAAACAACGTTTTGTTCTAATAACCCGAAGCAAATCTAAAATTGGCAAAAGACGCTCCACGAGGTGGGATTTATATCGTTTTCCAATTGATTTTTCCGCATGCCCATGTCGTGTGTGACGGTGTTCTCTCATTCCATAATATCACCCTGGAGAAATCAAAAATTGGTTCCCATTTTATTATTTGCATGACGCGCAAAAATTGTCACGTTGCCCACGCCTTAGCAATGTTTAAAAGGGTGTTAATTCTACTTAAAAATTATTCATCGCCATATTCGAAACGAGTAAAGGGATTTCCAGCTTAGTCGTCCATTCGAAGAAAACGTAATTTTCAAACTTTTAAAATTGCGATTTGGTAAGTAGCGGAACTTAACAAAGTGAAACTCCGAACTAGAAACAATGCGACGTAAAGTTTCGATTGAGATTGTCGTAAAATTTCAACAAGTGCGAGCAAAAATTTAGTTTTGGTATTTGAGTTCCTCACCAACAGCTAGCCACACGCCTTGGTAACTTTAATTTTGTAAAATCTCAATTTAATGACGGGCATTTTTGATAACCCGCACGGCACAATCATTTTTGAGAAAGTTTGCATTACATGTTTTGTCCTATATTTCTTATGTCGTTAATTATTAATGATTTGTTTTTTTGGATTTCTTATTGTTATTTATTTCAGAGCTTCAATCAGTAGGATATATACTTGCACCGAGGCCTAAATAAAAAAAGGTAATAGAAATTAAGTCATAATTATATAAGCCTTTACGAGTTTATTTCGTATTTTATTTAACTTCAGCTTTTCCCAAAGTCTAGTGGAAAGTAATATAAAGCAGATATAGTTTTCATTGCCTTATATTCCATTCTTTGTAGAGTCTTTATCAAATTGGTAATCGCATTTCCATGGCATACCATTAAATACGTTTTATGGGGGTCTACCAGACCCATGTAAAGTTAAATTCTGGTCTTATTATTTAACATTTAATTGCACCCAGAATTGACGCCACTTTATCACATACAACATATGTAAAGTCCATGTTAACTCACTATTAAACCGAAATATTTCTACTCAACCTGTTAATACTTTGTCATTTAACTTTATCACAGGATTTCTATTACCCTAGAATAAATGAATAAATGGGAATAAATTAATCGTATAGTATGCTCCGCTCGTGTCAAATAAAACACGTGACTAAATGATCAAATGGCTATTATTAAAGTTGTTGCATAATACTATCACAAAGAGCCTAAAAATTTTTCGTGAATTCTTGACAATTTGCTGCTTTTGTTTTCAAAATTGTTAAACTAAGTTCACCCAAAACTCTTGGAATTTTAAACGGAGATGAAAAAGTGTCTTTTACTAACACGTGATCTTGTCAGTTCCATTCATGGTGGCGACTGGGATGAGCTAAAAGCTAACTACTCAAAGCATATAAAAATTGGTCACGCGAGCCCCGACCACTCCGCATCTGATGCTAGGTATTGCTCTTAATATCATAGCAGGCGATGATCACGAGACCAAGCACATAGTTTTCAAATTTATCAGAAAGATAAATATGTATGCGATCAGGTTGCGGGCCAATCTTTTGATGAGATCGAACACGGATATTCAATTTATTGCCATTCAAGTCGTTAGTGGGCCACTACTACTGTTTGCTGTGTTATTCAAACCTTATGTCTACAGATAAAACACACAATGAGAAAGTGCAGATATCCGAAATTTATTTATTTACCATTTAGGCGAAATTGGTTTAACAGGTAATAAGAGTGAAGCGATTTTACCCGCCTTGAGTTGTCAAAGGTTGTGCAACTTATATATAACTAAAGAACAAGCGCACTTTAGTGTATATTTGCAATTCAGTGCCATACTCCATTCGCCTTGCAATTATTATTGGGACGGACCTAATCAAATTTCTAACCATCCTTATTTCTGTTGCAACATTTTATCTATCTTTGTTTTTTATAATCTTTTGGGTGGTGATGATGAGTTTGGCGTTCAATAATTCGTTCAATTGTAACAAAATATTAACATATAAGGTGTGAAACCAATAATTCTCTGGTATACTAGCTATCCCATAAAAACTGACTACCACCAAACCGGGTTTCTCAGACCATTTTGTTAATATCACGTCACTATGTACTAATGTAATTGTTTGCGACAAACGTTATTATAACTAAATGAATAGTTGGTTTGCCTACCGATCGTTGATGTTCATCAAGATACTTGTGTTGGGGAGTTACGAGGTTAGCGCCAAAATTTCCCGGCCTGACATAGATGCAGTTCCAGTATCACGATAAAACTTTGTCTTTTTTAAATATATATCTTAGTACGCTGCGAAAAAAATATTGAAGTCTTGCGTCAAATAGTTTTTTATTGACAGCATTTTAAACAAGACGTGTGAGTGTGAGTATAGAGCAGTCATAAAGTTTTTGACAAAAGAAGGGTTAGCACCTAAAATTATTAAAGAAAGGCTGGATGGTGTGTACGGCCAAAGTTTTCCTTCGTATTCTGTTGTGAAAGAATGGGCAAAATGTTTTCGAGTGGGGCAGGAGTCCCTTGAAGATGATTCAAGAACTGGTCGACCAGTGGAGGTCATAACGAAAGATATTGTTGCGATTGTGGAAGAGGCGGTAGTGAATGATCGACGTTTAAAGGTCACGGAAATCTCAGAAATTACTAAGTTTTCTGATACAAGTGTTCGTCGAATCCTGCATGATCATTTAGGTATGCATAAGGTTAGTACAAGATGGGTTCCTAAAAACCTTTCGGCTATTCAAAAACAACGCCGTGTCGACTGTGCGCGGCCTTTTTTGGAACTCTGTGGGTCGGAACCGAAGCCTGTGATAGAAACTATAGTCACGGGAGATGAAACTATGGTTCTCTATTATGACCCTCTATCGAAAAAAGAATCAATGGGGTGGCGTCGCAAGGATGAAGAACCTCCAAGAAAATTCAGAGTCTGTAAGTCAACAAACACGATCCACGATCACGATCTTTTTTGATTGTTTGGATTTTGATAGATTTTAAAGAAACTAATACCACTGTCAATGGTAAATATTACGCAACATTATTACATAAATTGTGACTGCATACGTGTAAAACGTCAAGGAAAACTGACCAGAGGCGTGCGTCTTTTCCACGATAATGCACCTGTCCATACTGCTGGTGTTGCACAAGCACCCATTTTAGAGTGTGGGTTCCAACAGATAGATCGCGCTCCTTATAGTCCAGATATGGCCCCAGCGACTATTATTTGTTTGGATATTTGAAAAAGGACTTACGTGGACGGCGGTTTAACGACGAAGTTGAGTTAAAAGAGGCTGTTTTAGCTCATTTTGCAGACATACCAAAATAATATTTTTTTAAAGAGATTGAGTTGTTAATAAAGGTATGTAATAAGTGAATTGAAGTTAAGGGGGATTATATTGAAAAATAATAAAAATTGTTTCTTTCATATTCAGGCCGGGAAATTTTGGCGCTGCCCTCGTATAAGTGCGATTTTGCCTAAACTTGTGATTCTCACAACTGACATCTCACTTTCGCAGCACACGCGCGTTTCTTAAGTTTTCTTCGGAATATTATTCGTTTAGTTCATTTTTCTACTACCCCCACCAATTATGGGGCGATTAAATGAACAAACGATTGTAGTTTTCCCATGTTCAATATTTTACTTGATTGGTAAAAACTTCTACTGGAGTAATAAAATTGATTTTATTTAATTTACTTTGATACAGAAAATACAACAGAAAATAGTCTGAGTATTGAATAAAATACTTAAAAAAGAAAATGTTAGTTTCGGCTTGCTTACGTGACGAGAACTACGCGTAGTAAAACTCCTCCAAAATATAACGTCTCTATATTAAGCTTAACGATATAATTCAGTCAGTCAGTCAACATCTATTTACACTTTATAAACCTTATTAAATATTAAATACACAACAATCACCTAAATAGCTACGAAGACTACAATATTTTACATTGAGATTTTCGGATTAATACATCAATAAACCTTATATCAAAAGTCGCCTTAATCTTTTTTGCAATGGTAACACGAGCATGTTACTGCCGATTTGAAAACAAAAGTACGGATGCCGTCCTTGCAGCCCACTCTGACTTCCATAGGCTCCGTTTGCATGATGTTGCAACAAGTGCCGATAGACGTGACCGGCTGAGTAATCTGGGAGTTCTTGGGATTGGATGGTACCGCCCAACTCTCGCAGAAACCTCTGCAGGCGTTCGTTGTTATGTCGAACGATACGCAATCTTTTATATCGACTTTTCTTGTATGACCTTGAAAAAAAATATATTAAAAACAGCATGAAACATTTTTTAAATTTATAATGAAAATCAAACGAAACGTTAATTTTCGCGTTGATTTTGATCATAAATGAAAAATAATTTTCATATTGTTGAATTTTTCATGCAATTATATTTTTTTACCAATGACGCGTTATACCAAAATCTACACTTCAGATAAGTCAACTGTTTTTTCTATAAAAAACTATATATGCGGTTGTTTTTGAAGACGACTTAAAGTTAGGAGATCCTTTTCTAAAAAAAAAAAGTTATACATACAGAACATATATCAAAAAAAAATTTTTGTATTAAATTAAAATTGTGGGACGAGCTGAATTTGGTCATACATAAAAACGATGTTTATATTTGTGACCGAAAACGGCAATAGAGCAAGATCCCACATTTACTTAAAATTATATTTTTTATTTTTAGTGATGGGATGAATTTCTTTTAAAAAAGAATAATAAACGACACTTCACTCGACGACTGTTTAAAAACGATTTCTTACCAACTTTGTGGCATCCTGGTTTGTACCATTCGACCGACCGTTCAGACGCCGTGGAAAGCCATATTCCATTGGAAAACGAAACTATCGCAAACAAAAAATATAAAGCCAGCATTCTGAAAGAAAAAAACGACATTGTTTCGGCGATCGAAATTAAAACGACATAAAATTTTGAATTTTTAAGTATTTAAACACTTTTCCGCGAAATTAATCATTATTATGTTATCATTAAACTGTTGGTTCCACAGAGCAAGTTAATAAAAACTTCCAATATAACCGGACCAAACAGAAACGAATTTTGATACTTATGGTTAAAAAAAATAACGGAACGATCATCCGAAAAAAAAATGATAATGACGGAACATACCTAAGCTGATAAAATTGATGTGAAACGTGCCGAACAAGAGTCGACCAGGGTTTGAACGCGAGTTTCCTGTTTCGACGCAAATGTTTCCCTCTTCGCCGTTCGGCAACTATCCCACCTTTAAATTTTTTCCACCCCCAACTTTTATCGTTACACGTCCTGAGATGGGTAAATGAAAACTGTATCATTGGTGGAAAAATTGAGTCAGCGAAAAACGTACATCAGCAAAAGCATACTTACGCATCCAAAATAAAAATGTGCAAAAGATATTTTCGAATCTTTCAAGGGAAAGAATAACACCAACAAAGGAAGTATATATTTGTACTTATTTTACTCAACTGCGAAGGTTAGTTAAAATGATATAAAAAAACCGGACAGCATTATTATTATTTTTTAACATAGGTGTACATCGATTTTTTCGTGAAAGCAAGTTATTTCAACTAATCCTAAAATCCGCTGTAATTCATAGTATCGATTCCGCCACAAAAATCTGGAAAATTAGATTTTCGAAAAAAAATAAGTTGAAATTATGACTCGACTCTTACGATTCAAGTTGTTAATATATACGTGCCATAAATATCTCAAGCTCAAAAAGCTCCCTGCAGCTTTATGTTGTACGTTTTCATTTATTTATTTATTGTTTATGTTTTGTTGGCAAACTGTGGTTTGGTTAGTGCGATACATTTCTAACGGGTAAAGCAAAGTTTTGGATTGTTTTCAAAACTACATCATCTGCCAAATTAAAGTGCATCTGACAATAGCCGAAAACAGTCTTTTACAGCTATTTAAAATATCCCTTAAGACCGCTAATTTGTAAACTATTTACTATTTGGACATGAACTAGTAATATTGAAAGCTAGGTAGTCAAACCTATGACCTAAAATCATTTTTTCATATTTAAAAACCCTTGCTTATCTTATTTTAGAAAAAAAAAATCATGTTTTGTGCTATTTGTTTTACCTACTACATATAAGAATATTTTTAACAAAACACTATCTAGTTTGTTTTTATTTTTAAATAAAAAATTGTTTTAGTAGTGAGTTTGTTTGAAGATAAATAATTTTTTTCGTTTTAATTTATTGGTCGGAACGATAGCAAGATTCTAAGCAAAAACTAGACTCAACGTAGATAACACAGTTGGAACTGAATCTTTTTGTGTTTTAAACGAAAGTATTAACCTGAAATGACTCATACTATATGATCAATATACTAATTCTATTAGAAAACCATTTGAATCAAGAGAAGTAAAACATTCGAAAGTGAGACTTGTAATCTTATATTTGATGCCTCAACTTACCAACTTAAATTTACATTTATGTTGTGAGAAATGTGACGTATAGAAAAAGAGAGTAATATTGATCAGCTGATTCGGATGTTTTGGAAAATTGTATAATTTTGTACACTTAAAAAATAGGCAAAGGCGCAAATTATAACTGAAACAGGTATATATTTTCGTTCTAATAATTAAACTTTACGTAGACAATGATGGATGTATCACTGGAGGAAGACATGCCAGCAGAATTTAGGGGCGGGACGCTGCGTCTTAACAAGACTACAGATACTTCGGGCCAAAATTTGCTAAATTCGAATGAGAACGAAAAGTCAACAAATACACAGTGCAACAGTGGCGACAAAAATAGTTGTTATTGGGGTTCATTGCCGATTCCTTTATCTGCTTTATCAAATAAAAGTAGGTATATCTCCCTATCTGTATAATTACCATAGGCATTGATTTTCCTACTGCTAATTTACATTCGAAAAAGGTTTTGACAATGAAAATTATATTCTTATGTCAATCCACACAGGGTTTTTGTACCCTTCCATTCAAATTTTAAGTAGGTTTTGAAATTGTGTTATGTTCCATAGTGCTAAAAGTTTAAAAAATATTAATTTAGTTACGGAGACTCTATGGGTAAGCCCAAAACCAAAAGCTGTCACTCCCGTGCAAGAAACACCACACCAAAGCCTCCAGCCCAGGGTAAACATCAATCAAGATGCCAATAACTTTTTCACATATCGTGATGGTGTTGCTGAGAGAGCCGCCCAAGAGTGTGTAGAAGAGTTTTTAGATTTAGAAACTGAAGGACCATTAATTGCTACATTTTTACTTACACAGTAAGTGATCCTTCTGTCTATTATTAGTTCTTTGGAAAAAAAAACTATATAAAATTTTTTGATGTATTTAGTTTTTAAAATTAAAAGGGTAAGATGAAGCTTAACTATTTAAATCACAAAAAGCATATTACACCTGCCCTTTCAATTGTACATGTTGGAAAATAATGTAAAGAAAAGCAAATTCAATAAATAACAGAATTTTCTTCTTTTTTATATCTAACTGCTTATTTATCACAATTTGGCTGAACTCCTATATTTTTCCACATTGGAAAAATTATTAATAACTGTAATTACAATACTTCTATCATTTACTTATTAGGCTAACCAATCATAGACTTACATTTTACTCCATCTACAACCAAAAATTTTGTTCATCCCGAGAAGAAAAAGTATTAAATTACAAGCTTATTAATACCTTCGCCACTTGTTTTGTAAATAGCATGATAAATACCGAGTGGTAAGGTCTCCAATATGCAGTGGTCTCTTAGATCTTTGGTCTATGGTTAAATCTGACTAAAGTACATTCATTTTCAGAATAAACCATTGGGACACAGACAAAGAAAGACTTATTTTGCTAACTTCCAAAATACTACTTGTAGTAAAATACGATTTCATCGCTCTTAAAAGGCTTAATTACAAAAAACTACCACTGGAAGACATCGAAGCTATTATAATAGGTGATCTAATTTATCCAAATGGCTCACTGATTCCGTAAGTGTTTTAAACAGTGTTACAAAGTAATTAAGTTGAAAACCCACTTATTTTTTACAAAGTAGACACATTCATTTTTACATTACATTCTTAGTAACGTTAATGTGTAAAGTTTAAGAGTTGTATATTTGTATTATGTAAAGTTTTTATGCACTAAAAATATTGAATGCATTTTTTTTGTAATATGTAGATTTTTTTATTCCATGCAGCAAAATTAACGGATTAGCAGATGGCATTTCCAATATTTTAGAGAATTGCCTGTTTAAGCATATGTCAAGTGAAAATCAGCAGTTTGATAATTTTACTTCGCCTACTAGGTATAAATTGTTAATTACAGTAGTTTAGTATCACCATCCTATGCATGTGTTTTATATACAGTGCGTCCCACTTAAGAACTGTACACTCTTGTAAAATCTTTGTTTATGGTTCGATTTTGATAATTTTGTTTTGTTGGATAGGTCTTTGAAAAATGCCCTAAAACCTTGTTTTGCTTATTGCTTCAACAAGTCATGGCTAACTGAGACTAGTTAACAAAAGTGATAGAAGAGAGAAGTACTATTAGGGATTAAAAAAAAAATTAACAACGAATTTTTATTCAGGAGTACTTAGAACCCAATTATACCAATTTTTATAATGTTTCAATACAGGGTGTTCGAGATATCGCTTAAGGCTGTACAACATCGTTGTAAAATCTTTCATTGGGGTTTGATTTTAATAATTTTCTTTTTGTTGAATAGATCTCTCAAAAACGCACTCAATCATGGTTAACTGGGACTAATTTTTGATATCAAATATCGAGAAGGGCTATTAGGGATTTCTTTAAGAATAAAGTGTCAGCAAATTGTTATTCTGCATAAAACCTAACTATACTAATTTCCGGGAAGTTTGAATTTTGATAATTATTTTTGTTGGATAGATTTCACTAAAAGACACCAACGATTTTCTTAAAATTAAATATGATTAGAGAGGATTAGATATGAATTAAACAGACTTTACAACGGTGTTAAAATTAAAAAGGATTTTTAATTCTCATCTATTAATGAAAATAACAGAAAATTGATGGAAGTCGGCACACTGTTTCCTTTGTAAACCTAAGTTTGCCATGGAAGAGCTAATATTCGACAGTCAAATTTACTCGCTAATTTATATTTCAATTTTGTTTACATCTTTCGAATGCTAAGATTTATTAATGCTGTTGTTTAAAATAATACTAAAAAATAAATGTCCCTTAAAAAGTCTATTTTATCATATTTGTGAAATTTGTATAATTAAAATTTGTAAGATCTTAAGATCACATACAAATTAATCATTATTTACGAGGTTTACAATATTTATTTGTTTAAAACATTAAAGACTTTGGTCATGGGTCTAGTTACTTTTAGCTAATTATATTTTAATTTTGTTTACAACTTTCGAATACTAAGATTTATTAATGCTGTTGTTTAAAATGATAGTCAAAAATAAATGTCCCTTAAAAAGTCTTTTTTATCATTATTTTTGAAATTTGTATAATTAAAATTAAAATCGCATACAATAATTAAAATCACATACAAAATAATCGCTATTTACAAGGTTTGTTTTTTTTTAAACATCAAAAAGTTTGGTCATTGGTCTAGTTACTTTTAGGTAGTCCTGAGCACGAATCTGTTGTCATTTTCAATTTGAAAAAATCTCTAAAACTAATTACTTTTTCAAAACTTCTGGATTCCTCATGCGTCGGTTTTTGCTGAGTCGCACTTGCTAACGTTCCGCCAATCATCCTGTTGGCTTCTTCAGAGCTTGACTGACACTGGTTCGCATTTTACTCTGTACCTGCTTATATATTATCTTGGATGACTAATTCCCATATTGGCGACGGAACCTGAGTCGCGGTTAAGATTGTTAGGTTGTATATAGATTTATTTCTATAGACTCGGATTTTTCATTGGTAAAAGCATTGATTACATGCATGGACTTGTTTTATCGAATAAAATTTTATGTCTGGTTTCGTGATTCTGTTCGGCAACTGCTGATGAGTTTATTTGTCTCATTCTTAAGGCTCTTTCATGTTCAAAAATCATGTTTACAGAGCTATAACACTACCTCAGTCCGAGTCACTGAACCCAGAATTAAAACACCCTAACTTCTGTTTTTCTTTCTAATTATTTCCAATAGCAATAAAGCCGAAAGCCATCCTACACTTGCCACTGTGATCGTTCCTTACATTCAAAACATCACTGACCACATATCAAAAATTCTAGAGAAATATAATGTCAAAACCAGATTTACCAATTGTCCAAAAATTTCTCAACATCTTCGATCCGTTAAAGACAAAATTCCATTTGGGATGCCAGGAGTTTACAGCATTCCATGCATATGCGGCAAAGAATACATTGGAGAGACCGGACAAACAATACCAACTGGGCTCAAAGAACATGAAAGAGCCTCAAGACTAAGACAAATAAACTCATCAGCAGATGCCGAACACAATCACGAAACCGGACAGAAAATTGTATTGTACTCCTCATCAAATAATATATAAGCAGGTACAAAGCAAAATGCGAGCCAGTTTCAGTTAAGCTCTGAAGAAGCCAACAGGATGATTGGCGAAACGTTAGCAAGTTCGACTCAGCAGAAACGACGCAGGAGGAATTCAGAAGTTTTGTAAAAAAATGTAAAAAGTAGCCCGTTGCAGTTTCTTTGAAAAATCTAAAACTACTTCTCGATTTTCTGGTTCAAAAATCTGTTAGTTAGCCATGGCTTTAGTCGACGCTATACGAAAAAACCGTTTCATTTATCTGTAGTAAGATCTATTCAGTAAAAAAGAATTATAAAAATTGAGCCAGAAACAAAAATTCTACAGGAGTAATGTTTAAACAAGGCGCCTGCGAAATTTCGAGCATCCAGTATTTGAACTTCATGGAAATTAGTATAGTCAGGTTTTATAAGAATGAGAATTCATTGATACTTTATTCTTAAAGAAATCCCTAATAGTCAACAACATAAAAAACAAAAAAAATACAAAAATCAAACATGATCAAAGATTTTACAACGGTGAACAACCTTAAGCGGGGCCCAAACGATATTTCAAACACCCTGTATTGAAACATTACAAAAATTGGTATAGTCGGTTTCTAAGTAATAAGAATTCGTTGCTAATTTATTTCGTAAAAATCCATAATAGTACTTCTCTCTTCTCTCTCTTTTGGTGCATTTTTCAGAGAAGTATCCGACAAAAAAAAATCAAAATCGAACCAACAGATTTTACAAGGGTGTATAGAGTTCTTAAGTGGGACACACTGTACAATTTAATATTTTTTTATGCAAAAGGTAGATCTATTTACAATTCTTCTGGATTGCATTAAGTGAAAACTGCAGAAGTTTTCATTCAAGCTCTGAAGAAGCCAACAGGATGATTGGCCGACGCAGGAGGAACTCCGAAGATTTGTAAATAGTATTACAGTAGCCTGTCGAACTTTCTTTTCAAACAAAACGATTTTTTTTTTGCAAAAATATATTACACCTATTTTTTTGCGCTAGGAATCGTAACATGAAAGGGATCCGTATTTTATTTGGCAAAGGAAAGCCGGTGCATTTTGCTTCTAAATGGAATCCATTTAAGGAAGATATACCTATCTGGACTTTTACATTTCATCCTCTATATTTTCATAAAGGTAAATAATGCACGTCAATATCTAGGATCAGAGAACTTTTTGCTATTTGAAAATAGACATTTAAAAATTGGAGATGCAGAAAACACTGTATTTTCGTTTTGCAGATTGTACTGATGAAAATCTCAGAAAACTTTATGATTCGGAATTTTTTACTGATGAACTATGCAGAACCATGATAATCCTCAACAAGACCAACGAAAACCGAATTTTACATTCTAACATCCTATTGGAGAGCTACGTCGGGTTGGGCGCCATTATTCACAATCGAAACGATTTGGGATTTTTTAAAGTGAGAGGCAAGTTTAGTTTTTAAGACGATTACCTCCCCACCAATCTAAATGTGATATGATTTGGTCAATTATGGATATAATTGTAACGGTTCCTGTTTTAATTTATAGTCTTTTTTATGCGTATTATTATATTGCATGATCTACTTACCTGTTATTAATGTGCCAAACCACCTCCCCGAAATAATCATTATTGGATACATATCTTTTTTAGAAGTTGTGTAATGTAATAATCATATTTACACAAATTTTAGAGAATGCACCGTTAAAATGTATAACAAATGTCAAATGTTATAGATGTGGCCTAATGTTTAAATAAATAACTAACGAGAATATGGGTATATATTTTGTGGTGTCTTTCATAACCATCGCCAACTCCGACATATATCATTAAAAAATATTTTTCTACTGAAAAATAAAACAAAATTTATTTATCATCGTAAGAATGATGATTTTTGGATTGTACTAATTACTTTATTTCCTATTGGCGTTTCAATAACGGTAAATTTAGTTATTAGACTGAAAACAAGAGCTCAAAAATTTGATTATATATTTGCGTGTACTAAGCACTCAATAAATAATTAAAATATATTAACATAGTTACATAAAAAATTTTACATATAAATTTAAGAAAAATTTCAACAGAAATGAGTTAGGAGAAAATTAATTAACATCTACGAGCAATAGTTGAAATATTATTCATAGTAAGTGCGCTGTATTTACACCTATAATATCACCAGTAATAATATAAATAGTCTGCTAGTGGTGATCACAGGAATTAACATGTTTTAACAAGTCGCCAAGGTTTGCAAAAAAAAAACCGATTAACATGTACAAAAAAAAATGAAAAACTAAATTTAAGTACACAACAAGAAAAATAAACTGCAATTGCATTGCGCTATAGGAAACAAATTTAGTAAATCAACTATAAAAACAAAAACATGGTTTAATGGAGTCTTTTTAATACTTGTTTATAATTTTTTAAAAATTTGAAAGATCCCGTTCATAGCTTTTCTATTATTATTTAAATTGATCCTTTCCAGCAATTTAGGTGACATTCTAGTTCTGTTTCATCAAAACAATTAAATTTAGGTCAAATGAACAGTTCTAATAAGATTTGCTTCAAGCCAGTTTGATATGCAAGTGGGTTAATTATTTTTGAATCTGGAAAAATTATGAAAATTATATGCAATGTAAGTTAAATATATAAAATGTCAAACATTACTATTTTTTATGTAGTTAGTGCGCAACATACATGTTAAAAGTTTAAGTAAATATTGCACTTTACGCCGGTACTTGCTACTAGATATAAAAAAAAACTATTTGAGAACCATGAGATTTCCAAAGAACCGGTGTTAATTGCATTTTGTTTTAAATAAGGAAAACATTTCTTTGGCTTTTGATTAACTGAAAATTGGGCAATAGAAATATAACTCAGAGAGCTGCCTAACAATAATAAATCCTATTGTAGAATCACAAACTTCAGTCCATTTGTATGCCACTAAGCAGCAAATATCTAAACATCAACACATGACATTTTGGAAATACACAATCATACTGAAAATGGACCTCCTTCAGGCACATTTCAATATTAATAAGAAGGAACGCACATGCCGTCGTTATCCAATTATGTACAGTGCTATTAATGTAAAAAGCATTCAGCTATCTTTAACTGATTCTGTGCTTACTCAAACAAAAAATGTACTGATCATCACAAAATTTCGTGCAAATGGATTTTGAAGATTTTATTTCCTTTTTTTACATTGTTTTTCAATTATTGCTTCAGTGGCTGTATTTTTAGCGAATGAGAAAATAAAACCGCCACCAAAAATGTTTTCCCACCATTCCTTTCAATAAAGATAAATTTTATTGTATCAAATTTGATATGTAACATAGCTTGGATAACCCGCCATGGCATTATTAAACCGCAAAATGGAACATACAGAATTTTATAAAAAATATTCGAAGACATGAAACTCATTGTTCAGAAAGTCATGTTTCACTTAAAATTTCTCTTTCCGCATTTTAGAGCGTCAGACGTCACTATCTGGATCTGTTTCGCTTCGAGGTTGCCCAAAATTTCGCGTAATACTCTCACTCATTGACCTAATGTTCGCTAGATGTACGTCACTCACAGGCACTGAAAAGTAATTAAGTCTTTCCAATTCGGGAACGGCGTTTATATCGTCGTCTGTTCTATAACAATTATCATATTCCGAGTCATAGAGGGCGCTCAACGAATCTAATGACATCATAGCGTCGGAATCGAATATTCGCGACGACGCTCTTGAAGACATGCTAGTGTTGTCGTCCATATCACCGTCGTGGTTGTGATCATTGTAGGCTGAGTTGACGTCACTGAGTGCACCTAACAACATCAAAATGACAAGCTTATTTGTAAAAATAAAGCAAATCAAAAATATTTATTAGCAGTAAACAAAAAAACTTCTATGCACCTTCTGCATCTGTTAATCCAGCTTCGTTAATCATTGAGATGTTTTCCAAAGCTGGATCATCTGTGGTATAGCCCGTAGATTCTCTGTCATTTAACAGTGGTTCAGAAGCTCCGCCGTCTTCATCTTCCGACCACTCTGAAATACTTCCTTCAGGAACAGCGCTGGTACCAGTAGGAGTATGATTCTCAATCACTATGCTGTCAATATTTTTTAATTTCTCTTGTATTTTCTCTTCCAGAAGCCTCTTGACTTCCAGTTCCTATAAACAATCAATATTCAAGGCTACAAAGGGTAAAATGTGAATCGCTAGTACCAGTTCTCTTTCCAATGATGGCTAGAGAAAAACAAATAATTGGATTAAGGTAGGGAAATTGGATACTTATTGTGAAATTTACCTTTGCAGCTTCCTCTTCCATTCTCCTTTCATCTTGTTCAAAGCTTTCTAAATCGGTGTCCTCCTCGCGCTTTTGAATTTCTGGCATATCACAGTCTAAATCCGGTTCTTCTCTAGGTCGTGGGGTCCTATAACTTTCAGAATTATAAACTAAACTATATTATACGTGGCAACAGTTGCTTGTTATTAAGCTTTTTATATTGAGCGACGAGTTGGCAAAGTATGTATTCTGATTTTTGAACTTTATTTTAAAATGAAATTTTGACACCAAAAAATTTATCGGCAAAATAATATGAAAGTACCTGGATATGATAAGTTGAGGGACTGATTTATTTATTATTAATTACAGGTGCCTGAGCAAGCAGCATGGGCTAGTGTTAGTGAAGCATTCAGTTCTACCATATTGGTAACATACAAAGCTAAATGGAAAAATTATTTGGCGCTGAAAATATAACATAAAATAAAATAAAATGTAGGGTACACTATATGTGTCTTTGTATGTTACCAAGTATTAAACTCCATTGTGGTTTTTAGTTTTCTTGATAGTGAATAATGTACCTGTCGAGAGGGGACACCTTCGGTTGTTTATTTGACTCAGAAGGTCCCGGTGACGCACACCTCTTAAGTGATCCCTCTTTGCTGCTTGCTCGCGTGGGGGACATGCACTGAAGGGTAACACTGCCAGTAGGATTTACTCTTAAACCTAGAGCCAGTGCCTGAATCGCTGCTAAACCCACTTGATGGTTGTTATTACTTGGAGCGTACCTTACTAATGGCTCCAATGCTAGATCTTTGTTTTGCTGGTGCAGTTCAAGTTTTGGAGGTATATTTTGAAGTAAATTCTGGTCGTCAAGTAATTTCTGAATTTCTCTCTCAAACGGTCCTATGGAATTATCACAGTGTTCAATATTGGTAACTTTCAGGCTTGGAGATATCTTATCCCTTAATGTAAGAGGCGATATTCTCAATTTTCTCAAATCTTTTTTATCTGTCTGGCAACACCCATCTTTTTTTGAACTTTTCTCGCTATTTATAGTGGTTTTCGTTTCTTCTTCTACAAGCATTTGTCGAATTTCTTCCGCCTCTTTAAAACTTGGAGATCGTTTACAATTAGAAGACAACTTGTTGCACTCTAGTATGGAATCGCTATCCGTCCGAATACGTTTGTTATCCAAACTTCTTTGCTTAAATAATTGCTTGTTAATCCCGCCGCTATTTGTACTTGCGATTCTCGCAGAAGTTGACTTTTGTCTATTTGGATGACCAACAAATTCAAAACTTGCACAGCTTTCTCCACGGTAACTTTCTTCCCCATCCAAAACTGGCGGACTCGTAATTACTGAAGAATCTGCGGTGTTGCAAGTTGCAGCAATAGCTAACACAGCATTTGGAGGTAAGTTATTTCTCTTAACACTTGCTCTATCATTAGAGTTGTTCCTCAAAGAACAGCTGGGTGGTATATAATCTAAGGAAGCCCTTGGGGATACTTCAGGGGAAGAAAGTGGATTGACTTGAATGTCTGAAGGGAATAAAAACTGCTGAGTGTCGGCCGGCAATGGAGGAGACACGCAAGGTGAAGCATCAGCGTCGGTGGTTCTACTATAACTTTCGTCTGAACTACTTATACTGGGCGAGTGATTAAGTGAACTAATTTCGTCTGCCGAAGAATGGATTCTCTGGGGCGCTGAAGAACTGTAAAGTCCCCCGAGACTTTCGTCAGAGTAATGTCTTTGCAAAGGACTATGCCTATGGTGATGAGGACTCTTTCTGTGCAAAGGACTGCTACTATGTCTTGCTTGAATTTTCCCTCTTAATAACTCTGGCGTATGTTCCGGAGTGGCCTTTTGCGCAAAAATGGGTAGTACATTATGTCTGGTCAATGGTGGACTCTGCTGAACATACTGCCGAGAAGAAGGCATTGACACGGGAGCCTGATTTTTACGCTGATGTCTATTAGGAGATTCCTTTCCTGGGGGCCGCGGCAGAGGTTTCAAATAGGGTTTTATGTTGTCCATCGGCACAGGATTTGATGTTATTGAAATATAGGACTGCTGAGGACGCGGCCAAGGAGGGTTATATTTCATATCCGGAATTTGTTGTTTCTGATTTGGCTGAAAGTGATTTTTATGAGGCGGCAACGGCGGCGGGGGTAAATCTCCTTCGTGGGTCATCTTCTTTCCGTTTCGATTACCCCTGCCTACGGGTGCAGGGAGCAAAGGTTCATTTTCGCACCCGGATAATCCCTGATCCCTATGCTGAGTCTCCCTTAATGGCGGTAATCGCACCGCATTTCTACCGCCATTGTAACCATCTTCACGGGAATTGGATCTCCCCTGTAACTGCATACCGTGTTTTGGTCTAATATTATTATCCCCGCGATGCAACAAAGCCAGCGGTGTAGCGACTCCGCCATACATGTTGTTGATATCTGTTAAAGATAATTTACTAATTACGAGTAATCATCTGGAAAACTTTTTGTAAAGTAAAATTATGTAATCATATTAAAAATATTTTTAACACTATTTGTTCATCATTCCAAATTCTCCACTATTAGTGCAAATAATGATAAAATTATATTTACACCAAACCCGTATTTTCATAAGGAAACGGGTATGGTGTGGTGTGGGCATTGTGTAAGATGCAGGAAACGTGAAGGAAACAATTGTTATGCAAGTGTTTTTTTGTTACTTACTGTTGCTGTTATTTGAGTTTAATCGAATGTTGTTTAATTCTTCCACTCTCAGTGTGCCCGGCTGTTTCCTGTCGACTAAAAAGTAGGTGGTCATGTCGCCTTTACCTTTGACCTTGACCTTTCCTCTGCACTGAAACTCGTACGGATGATTCTTAAGTACTTGGTATACTTCTTCCGTCACCTGGGTGTGATTAGGCAAACCGGTGGAGTCCATACGACTAGCCACGTTCACCGTATTTCCCCAAATATCATATTGCGGTTTTCTAGCACCAATAACACCAGCCACCACAGGCCCTATATTAATGCCTGCCAATATTCACAATCAGATAAAAGTAATAAACTAAACCTGAAATTACTCACCTACTCTAAGCATAAAATTATTGTACGAGTTCTCATTAATATTTAAAAGTCTTTCTCTCATCGCAAAAACAAATTCAACTAAAGTCCCCAAATGAATGCCGGCTGATGTTTCGTCATCGTCCGTTATTCTCTGGTCGGGCATCAGCCCCACTGCTGCCATGTAAGTGGAACCCACCGTCTTAATTTTATCGATTGCCTTAAACCTTTCTTCGCTAAGTAAATCGTCGAAATCGGCAATGATTTCGTTCAGCAGACGCAAACATTCGACGCCTTGGTTGTTGCCGTCCAGTTCGGTATAAAATTCGTGGTAGTTTGTGATCGATGCGAAAACAACGCCGACCCGTGAATAGCTTTGATGGTACAATTCCTGTGATAGAGTATTCTGTAAGAGAATGTGCGTAACTTTATAGTTAACGGGCGGGTGCAGCCAACATCTAGACACATCAATTATAAGATATAGTGTGTAACGAAAACTGACCGATCAAATCAAATAAAAAACGAACATCTATGAACGGAAATTATAAATGTTGCCCGCACGTGAATAAAACAGCCTAAGGGTCTTACCATGTTATTCCGAAACTGGTTGTCGAGGAAATGAGTCGCGACGTGGGCGGGCAATAAATTAAATAATATCCTTTTGTTGGAGTGTTGCAGGGCGTCCATTTCTCGCTTCTCTTCGTTCGCCTGGACCTGCCATAAAAAGTCTAAACGGGCCGTCCATTCCACTTGCCTCCCATGGAGGAGGACGGCTAGCACAAATATGAGTACCTCGACAACACAGAGTACGTGGGCAGGTATGACGGAACTATAAATATAAACGATATTCGGCTTTTCCAAACTGAATTGTTACATACCTGACTCTGATATCGTAACAGTCGAATAGTTCCTTGTGAGAAATTTCAATAAGGAGTATGTAAATAGTAGACATAACCATTAGAAGGCTGGTTTTGAGCAAAATGGGTAGTCTTAAAAATATTGCTACAGCTAAATATCCGAGAGCACACGAGAGCACGATATATTGAGGCAAAGGACAGGCTCGGTGGTCACTTTCCATTGGCAAACCGGTATCGAGTGTGACGTTCAGTGTTGAATGGGATATGCATGGTTCGTCTGATATACACGTAAACTAAAAATTCGGTATTAAGCCGACAGAAGAGCAAATATGGATGGACCCGAACTTACGACGTTCACTTGGGCGACGGTGTAAATCAAAACGATCGTAAATACCGTAATGGCCAACCGTAGTACAAAACTATGGGAGATGTCCCACAATATCCACCTCAATCTAACGGCCAGCAAGAGTATTAAAACGGCCGAAATCCATATAAAAGCAACCAGAAACAGTAAGAGTAAAATAATGGTTCTTGGTAGCACCGTGGCTTGCAGTATCCCTAGGAACACCAACAGCACTAAAGCGCACGCCAGAGTTGAGCTGTAACCCACATCTAAATCTTCATGGTACTAGAAACCAAAAGCTTGGATTGTATTAATTAACTTTTTGAAATAGTCGTATGAACTGTTAATGTTAGTCTTAAAGACCGTTACGATATTTTCTTTACTGGTACACTGGTACACATTTTTTCAAATAAAACACCCTGTATGTTATTTAACATTTTGAGATCATTATGAAAAATGAATTAAAATGGAACAATGTAATAAACAAAGTAATAAATTTTAATTATTTTTTAAATTTTAAGCACTGAAAGCGCCAAGTGTCGAAGTGCGAAGACTTGGTGAAACTTTTGCACTGTAGGAAATTCAACGAATTGTACCCCTAATGTGGTTAAAGATTTACGGTAACTATAACATCGTGAATATTTTGCCATACTTCCCCGCATAGCCCAAGCATCTATTCGAACTGCAACAACTCATGATTCCGGCATAAAACTGCTTGCCAAACACACAACAATAATTGAAAAATAATCGTTAAACAATAATTGTACAATTATCGTTAAACAATATGACATTCCATGACTAATATGTCAAATATGCCAAAATAATGTGATTTTTAGTATATGGGCAGCATCCTATATAATTTTGACGCTAATTTAATTTTGTATTTCGAATTTGAAGTAATATATAAGTGCAAACTTCAGCCAAAATTTCAGAAGCAGTGAACCAAGGTAGAGACTCTAAAACCTAAGTAACCAAATTTTTAATATACATTTATATTTTCGGTTCTCTGTAAAATTCTAACTTGTCGATAGAACTTCTATTTTATTTTCAATATACTGAAAAAGGTCAGAAGTGATGAAGAATATTCCTGCTTTGCGAGCATACAAACCGTTAAAATATTCGAAACGTGTAGAGCGAAGCAGTATCGGAAAAGTAAAAGGAATGCCTGGCTCAACTACGTACCTGATTTTCTTTGTTTCTGTCTTTGAAGCACAAGGTAAACAAACTCACGTGCGTGGATTTTTCTCTGTCGATACTTCTGGCTTCAATCGCCTGGGCCAAATATTTGTTGACCCTATTCGACGGCTGATGGTAAACGCTCGAGTGCCGCTTTTTAAAGGGTCTTTTGAACTTTTCCGTTACCTTATTCTAGAAAACGCACAGAAAATTACAATTAAAGGAGACATCGTATCGATCCGAGTGCCATAATACAGAGTCGCAGTCGGTAGGTATATAAAGGTTAAAAATTGCAAACAGCAAGATATAGTTGTGATCGCAATTTTCCTCTATCAAATTTCGGGCAAAAAATCCAATTTCTCTTCTAGAAATATAGAAGATAGATCTCCAAGTTATTAATTTCTCCAACACTATTGGAAAATACCTACAGACCGTCAAGCAAAAGCGTTAAGGAAAAGGGACAGCGTTGCTAGAAAAGCGGAGAAAATAATCAAACATCGCACTTTAAGCATTTCGGGTTCACAACAAAATCAGGTTATCTCGTTAATAGGTAAAAATATTAGTATACATAGATACCTATCGAACGTCACTTCTATATTTTCTCTCTCTTTTTGTAGTTTCGTTAGGACACAGCTTACATTCACACAAAAAGGTCTCGAATTCGGCCGATCAGTTTCAAGACGTCTGTTAACATCGGTTGTTAAAAAATACACTTTAAAAAGTTATATAAATGTATCTACCAAATACTTAACACGTTGTTAATCAAACTAAAATATTTTAGCTTTTAAATAAAAAATATACTGATTATGACTATTATTATATTTGACCATGATTGACAAATACATTTATACCACCTGAAAGAATTAGCAAAAGAGTCGAAGAAGAAAATATCAGGTCAATTCGAAGTATGTTCCGATTGAGTCTCTCCGTCCGTCTATACTTGAAAACAAACAATGATTATATTGTCTTTTTTTCTAGTATAACAATACACTACGAAGGAAGCGACCTATCCCACAAGTATACCGAACTAAAACGTACACCAAGATTCCGGTTTTGTATATTTTGGCTATGTTTCCTAGCGGAGAGCAAAGCAAGCAATTCGCATGCTTCCAATTTCATCTGATAATTTTACACTGCAAATTTCAGAAGGTCAGTGCAAAATTGTCAGTGGCAAACTAATGAATCATTGGCAAAAAGATTTATTGCCGCAATCTATGAGATTTTGGCAGATACTACAAAACTAGGGAATCGTCGGGGCAACTTAGTTCTAATAGTTCCACTTCGAATGACACAGATATGTCTGAGAGATATTTTGACAGCGATCGTTTCGGGCAGAAGAAAAAACAAGTGAAAAAATGCCAAAAAAACGTAACCCAAAGCCAGTGAGTATTGACTCACGTTGCTGTCTGAGGCTGAGGTGGTTCGATTTTGCTCTTGAGAGGGTGAGATTTCTGCGTGGAGCACCCTTTGTAGTTCTAGCACCTACAAGCCACATTAGACTAACTAATACACTTAAGCAACGTCCTGTTAGATACGACACTTACTTTTACGATTCCCATATTAATTTTTGATCTGTTGATAAACCACTCGATGAGTGTTATAAAATTGTATATCGAAGAGCAATTCGTCATCAATTTCGTAAAAAAATGGTATCCAAGAATATGTATGAGTAATAGGAACGTCATTGGGTATTGGTCAGATGTTCCAGAAACATTCTCTAATTTTCTCAAATATTAATTTAGCAAACATCAAATTAGCCTTAAAACCAAAACTAAAAAAGTACCACCATTGTCGATTATTGTTTAGTTTGAACGAAACAGCTAGAATTGTGAACAACCACTGTTATTGTTATGTCCCTTTGCATTTAAAGTGTATGAAGTTTCAACTGCGTTCAATATGTAAAAAACATTTTTTCCTATAATTCTCTTATTTTCATAAAAAAAAAACAATGCCCATTAATTTCGAAAATATTCCTATTAAAATGGGTTCCTTCTCTGTCAACGAATTCACTTTATGTCAACTAATATAGCAAAATGTCACGTTGACGAGTACATGGTGGCTAATCGTTATCTATCGTCAGACCTGAAAATGCACCCCAGAAATGATATCTCTCTCGTATTCTCCTCAGGGAATCGTATTACTGAGACGAATATTATCCATATCCAATAGTTTATCCGCTTACGGATAAGCTTCGTATTTTAGTGGCGGCTACTTCGTTTAAAATGTAGATAGATATAGATAAATATTTCGAGTTAGACCATTTAAGTGGTTTATAAACAGATTTGCTTTAGTCCAATGTTTCGTATATACTTCACCTTGCGAAAAATAAACACGTTTAATTTCGTTAAATGGACAAATTATAAAAAACGGGCAAATAGAAAATTGTAAGCTCGAACCAACTGGAACCATACCAAACGGAAACCACCAACGCTCTACCACCAATAATAACTATAAGGCAACATGTTTTTCTATACTAATCTAATTCGTGGCACTATCACAAATAATGAACAAAAAGCAGCTTAATATTTTTATTTTTGGGTAATTATGCCTCACTCACTTTACTACAAGATTGGTCGGCTTGCGAAGGATCACCTGAGTAAGGGTCTGCGTGTAGTACCCTCTGCAGGTCTAGCACCTATAAGCCACAGATATATCACCAAATTTTACAGTTTATCAATTTTTTATGTAATTATAGTGATAGTGAGTTACTTAACTGTGTGCAATCCGGTGCTTTGCTTCAATCTCCAAATGTTTCAGGTTTTGCAGATAATTTTATTGTATTTTCAAATTGATGAATAACAATTTTTAAATTAAAATATTGGAAGATATAAAAACACAGTAAAAGGTCAAGGAAATATTCGAAAAATGTGCATACCAGTGATGCTGCAAGCCAAGCAATTAGTGAATAATAATGATTCAAAATGAATTGACGAATTTTTTGGATAAGTAATGAACTTAACAATCACCTAATGACAAATAGATAGTGAAGTTCTTAAACCTACAATTTAAAGTTCAATGCTTATTATGTTGAGATTTATTTGAAAGAAGAATGATTTACAATTGACACAGCAGATATACCTTTTTTAAACTACTGTATATTATCGACACCCTATAAAAGTTGACACTATTGTTTATGAATGTAGGAGAGTTTAGACAATAAAACTTTGTGAATTTTTGGTGCTATTTTTACCAGATTCTCGTAAAAAAATATCTGCAAAACCAATAAATTTTAAAAATGCACAAATCAACCATTCCATAAATTCAGTGTAGCTTATAGGGGTGCATAAAAGTTAAAAATGAACAAAAACATTCTCAACATTTCGGTTCCATTAAAAATAGTTTCAAACTAACTTCGGTGATGCTGGTGGACCATCAAAAACTCATTGTCTTGAAAAATTAATTACGTTTCTGCGCAAAAAAAAAACAATGAGTTCTTACTGTTCCAAAACATTGAATGGTGGTATTCGGTGATCAAACAAAGGAATGATTGTAATGGTGGTGAGCAAAAAACTTACCACAAAAAATATCTTGGCTACTCACTCAAGGTTAGATTTTGTCGATATAGAAGTAACACTTACCGCGTCCTAGAATGCAAAACGACACCATCATGCAGTTTTAGAATAATAATTAACGTCAGGCTTTTACATTAATTAATCAGTTAATTACGTTTATGTTTATACTACCGGAGGATTAAATTATACTACGGAACAATTCAAGAAGTCAAATAACTTGAAAGACCATTTTTTGTGACTTATCCATACTGATGACTTTTTTTCCGTCATCGCAATTCGAATGCTACTTGATTATATATCATATATTATTCTGAATATAAAAGATCACTCGACTTCTCAGGTTGCTCCAAAATGAAAATACAATTTTAACAGTCATATACGAGTTCGAGCATGCGCAAATTAGACTGCTTTAAACTGTAAGGTGCATCGGGGAGCAAAATCGGAAGCATCTACATAAGCCTGCGAGAAAAAAATCAAAGTAAACTAAAAGTTATCGCGAAAAATTACTGCCGATAAGCGCGGTCAACGAAACTTTAATGGCTGGTGCAATTTTCCCATAACCCCAAATATACATCATAAAATCATTTTCATTTCCGCGATCAGCCAATGGCTTCGTGCTTAAAACACTCAAAAGCGATATTAAGCACTAAAAATAGCGCCAATTTTGTTCGCGTTATCAACATAAACGTGTGCAATTCGATATAGTCCGTGTGATGGAATTCGTAAACTACAAAGGGTGCGTTAACACTTTTATGGCTTACAGACTTAAACAAATCGCCGGATGTATTTTCAGTGAAATTAAAAGAATACGTGAGAAAGTTATAGTAAGTAATTTTGTAAATATTAGCCGCAAAATACTATCCAAACGGGAGTTTCATCTTTTAATTTCTGTTAATTGCCGTATTACTTTTTTAATTTTAACACGGTTTTAGTTTTAAGGAAAAAATTATTGTATGCAAAATTATTTTGATACGGTCTAAGCAAATAAGGCCTATTTCGCTTCCAAGATGTTATATTACTACGACGTTTCGACCCTAAGAAAGATCATCTACAGGTTAACAAAACTTAGAAACTGGAAGAATTGTTAAACGTAGTTTGTTAAAATTAATTTAATTTATTAATTAAAATTTTTGTAGTTAGTGATGTTTGCAGTTGCAAATTTTTCAGTTGATAGTTCAGATTTTTGATCTTCCTTCATTGGGCGTTGTCGTTGACCTGAAGATCTAACGCAAGATGATTTTATATGTTATTGGTAAATAAGGTTTTTTTGGTCTTGGTCTTATTGTCACAACCGGTAAAGCACCTAGTCTTATATATATATATATATATATATATATATATATATATATATATATATATATATATATATATATATATATATATATATATATATATATATATATATATATATATATATATATATATATATATATATATATATATGTATATTCATTCTATACTGTTAAAGTCATTTTATCTCAAACAGATCCGACAAAACAGACAAGTAGATATTTTACTCCAATGCGTAAACATTTTTTACTTTTTGATATGGATTTCATTTAATAAGAACATTTTACCACTGAAATACAAAATAAAATAAATGTCTTTCGCCGGCAGACTGTAAGCTAGATAACTCTTAGCCAAACCGGTAAGCGACACTTGCATCTCAAACTAATTTTTAATAGGTACCTTAAGAAATATATATTGCTGTATATTTTTTGAGAAATTAGTTTTTTTTGTATTTTAACATAAGAACGGGTTGTCTAAAATATTGGTGAAATTTTGTTAGCAAAACTAATAATAAGTACCTGAGTGACAATTAACGAAAAAGCGAACTACTGGTTTTTAAGAATTAGTATTAATAAAGTTTGTTGTTTTATTCATTAAAAAACTTATTTAATAACAAATCATTTTAAATTTTGATCCGGTACTGTTTTTTATTTACTTATTTTACTTATGTGGGTAACACATGCTTATTTAAAAAAACAATATTGTCTATTTCGCAAAACCAATAAAACAAAACATTATATATCCGCTAAGGGCGCACCCAGTCGGATAATGTTCTCATTTATTATTTATTAAATTTAGTAGATTACAGAGAACAGAGAAAAATAGCGAAGACGTCATTTTAAAAAAACTTATTTTTGGCGTTATTCAAAAGTTTGCGATGAATGACTTGACAAGTCTCCTTATCTGCTATAATTGTAAGCTCTGTACTCGACAAGGGAATGGAAATAAAAAAACTACTGTTCTTTTTATGAAAATAGTCAAGGTTTGTTTAAGTTTGTAGAATTACTGTAGTGCTTTTTTTATTTCTAACGTGCGGTGCAATTTTCGAATCGCCTTTAATGCCAATTCTGCAATTTGTCAGGACGCTAGTTGCACTGTGAATCAAATAAGGGAAGCCAACTTGGGATTCGGCCACGCGATAACTATTACTAAGAGCAATGCCAACAAATATTTAAAGAGTTAAAAAAATGAGAGGCATTTTAACTTAACTAAAATTGGTTTGAGGCGTGTTCTGCGTAGGACACGTAATATCGAACCCGCATTCATTTACAAATTTGCCAACATCTTCCAATTTGATGATCAATTCTGAAATATTGTTATATATCCATGCAGAAAAGGTGCTGGAAACAATTTTTGAAGATACGTGTTTCTCCCCCCTTTCTTGGATAGTATGCTTTACTATATTACTATAATATTATTAAGCTTATTTTACATAATAAATTGGTACACGGTAAAAAAAAAGTGGCGTATTTAAGCAATTTGAAGCAACGCATGATCCGTTGAGTCAGTTTATACAATGGTTGTATTATGTATTGTCAAATTTTTTGAAAGAAATGTGAAGTGCATGGCAAAATTGAATTTCAAAACTCATCATCAAATTTCGCACTACGCAACGGTTGACCTAATATCGTAAAGGCTTCACCAAAGATTCTTAAATGAAGAAACTGACCTTTCTGGTAGTGGTCGCCTTCAGGTCCGGTTGCAACGTCATATTGCTGAACGGCACCTCCATGGAGTATTTGATCGAGTGAAGTAGCTGGACCACGACGTTGGAGACGTTCTTGAAACTGAGTTTACGTCGCTGGGCAGCGCCGAGGGCGGACCGCACCTGCAGCGTGTTGAACAACAGTGGCTGGAAGAACATCGCCGGGGGCCGGAGGGCGGGGGCGGTAGGTTAGTCACATGGGGTTAGTAATGACGCGGGGGTAGTGTGTGTGTGCGTGTGTGAAATGGCTTTTGCTTCAGATTCGGATCCGGTCGCGATCCAGTTTGTCACGAACGTATTAACGTATTAACGTTATTTTTAAAAATATAAAAAAAAACGTTGAAACATGTAAAAAATAGGTATAACTTTTTACGTCTGGCAACTAGTCCCTAAAAATCTTAAATTGCGAATGATGCTCATTAGGGGACCAAAGATCAAAACTCAAAACCCAATATTTAATATTTCAAGTGGTGACACCCGGCCATTTCTTTTAGACGACACTAAACGCGCGGAAATCATCTTGACGTCATACCGCTGACTTTCGATCGATTCTCGGGTTACAGGCTGAGAATTATATTATTTACGTTTATTTTTGGCTCTTGTAAAGTGTGTTTGCATTTAATCTACGCCAATCTGTATTTGTACTTAGTGTGCTTTACATGATAATAATGGAAGCAATACAAAAAGAATATTACAAATCGTGCCACCGTGTTTGAGTACAACCCGTAAAACGTCAGATAAACTTTTCTGAAAATAAATGCCGTCGTTTTTTTTTAACATTATGTTCAGGTCTCACTTTAGCCTTAACCGTGCAAAAATTTTTAGTTCTTCGAACTTGCACCCATCTTACTGCAGTCTCCATAGGAATGGCTTTTTGATACTAAACACAAGAAAACAAAAGCAAGCGACAGGATCAAGATTAAAAGTAAAATTAACATGGCTTCTCTATGCTACCGTCCGGCTGGTGCTTAGTCTAACGGGTCAATTGACGTCACAACCGGTTGCAGCCAATGACAGCGCGTTTCAAAGATTTAAATTTTACAATTAATTGCTTATATTTATTACAAACAACTACGAAATTATTTTTTTGTGAACTGGAGTTCTTTTAAGATATATATAAGCTTACTTTATAAGCAATATTTTTTACTTTAAAATTTTCTCATGTTCCTTTCTTGCCACTTAACCGATGAAGCTCTACTATTCATCAACTAGTATAATGATTTAAGTTATGTAAACAAGACTAGAAAAAAAAGAAAACACATTTTCGATTTAAAGTGGCTATAACAAAGTAGTGTAGTTATTGCGAGTGAATTATTACAGAATATAAATTACTATCCATATAATTACTATATAGACTATCGCAATGCTCAGTCTACGATACATGTGTCCAAAAAAGGAATCCAACATAAAAATTTAAGAAGTAGTTTTTGATTTGATTCACTGCAGAACTAAACATTTAAACAATATTCCCAAAAAGGACGTTGTCAAAGCCAATATTGAAGACGTTCATTTATTTTTGATCATTAATGATTACTACCAAGCTATATCGCTCGATTTCTCCAAATTGAATACGATATTTTCGAAACAAAAACAAGGGCAAAACGCATCCCTACAGCGCAGGCAATTGCAAACCCAACGGGCAAATTTAAATTCGTCAAAGAAACAGAATCATATCCAAATTATACGAAGCAACTACAAAGCGGATTCGCCCATAAAGCGGAACACTGTGACTTACTCCGACCGCCAATTCATTAAGTTTCCATTTAACAAAGTCTCCAAATTGCATTAGAAATTAAAAGCCCAACGCGCCTTCAAATTAATGAAGCCATTTTTTGCATTTCGTTCATAGTTATCAGCTCGAAACGAATATTTGCTGATAAGTCAATTACGGGTGTGTGTCACTGCGATTTCACCAATGGGCGATGTTATTTTGTTTGTCTGAATAATAAATAATAATTATTATATATATAATGAAGAAAATGTGGGCTTTAGGCAAGATTTAATGAAAAACGATTTCTTATCTCACCGACTTATCGGAAAATGTCTTATTATTATTCTTATTAGTCTTCTTCAAGACTAATAAGAATTAAATACATATCCGACTGGAACTATAAATATCCGCGCGTTATGTGCGGGTGTATATGTATATATATTTCATGGCCCACCTTTTTCTTATAACGCGGAGAATAATTCTTATTTATCTCGTAGAAAAGAATAAATTTGTCTAAACTCCGGCAAGATTTAAGCGAACTTCATGATTAATTGAAGTTGTATTCAATCATATTTAAACGAAAAAACATAGATAGTCATAAATGGCGCCGAAGATTATTCTTGATGCACGGGTGTTAACGAAGAGGTTAAACAAGTAAAGGACGTAACGAACAGATTGATGAAAATGATGGTATTATACGGTAAAGCTTACCAGGAAATTATACAAGGTAGTGCTCAGTGGGATACAGACATGCGAGCAGTTACAATACATATTAAAATTAATACAATAGGAAACAACCGACAAAAACATTGGAATGTTGAAACTATAAAAAGAACTGTATTGGCTGAAAATTAGTCAGACACTTCTTAATTACTCTTCTTAAGTCCTCTACGAATGCTGAGATGTTGAGAAAAACGAAATCATTATAATATATCGTACAACAATGAAAAGTGCCTATAGTTCTCAAGGTACCAAAAAAAAAACAATACTAGACAAACCATATTAAAAATTGATTAAATACGTTACTAGGTTACAGTACTACTTTACGCACTGCAAACCTTAAGCAAATGGCCCTGATTTTTTTAAAGACATACCCAGAATATTTTATGTTTTGTTCTATTGAACGTTTTATGACTAAACGTAAAGACTTCGATTATTGTTATCAGTTTTTTCTGTTTTAGATGTCAAACTTGGCAAATACCTTCCTCCTCCTAGCGGGCGGAACTATAAAATATGTTGTGACGCAATGATCGCGCAGGTACTGATTCCTGGATGCTCCGTTACCCGATTCAACTTCGTATTCCCCTCCCAAATAGTCCAAAGTAGCTTGAGTTATATGCACCCTCCTGGAAAAAAAACATCGGCATTAAGGGATTTATTTTCTTGCAAAGTAAATAAATCCACAAAGGCCAAAAATACCGCAGACAGTATTTTCGTAGATCGCTCGAAATGGCAATAAATCATAAACTTTCGCGAAAAGTTAAATTCTGCAGAAAGAACAATACAAAAAGAAAACTACGGTTTTTCTACCAAATCACAGTTATGTAATATTAGGTTATGTTTTTCTGCTCCCTACTCTAAAAGGTAGAATAAGATTTCGTTCTATGCTTTATTAGTTTGTATGTGCTTTGTGTAGATTTAGGAGTAATGTTTGACATCTGTGGTTGGCGCCTCTGGATGGCAGACTGCTCTCGGTTTTTTTTACGTCTCGGTTTATTTTAAGCTTTTAGTATAACAATTTTAGATTACAAAAACATATACGTATACAGATATAAATCAAATATAAAACAAAAAAGACACACTGATGGTACACCCATATATATAATTGGACATTGTAAAAATACTTTTTATTTTAAGAGAAATCAGTGGCGTACTATCAGTGTTTGCCAAAATAGACAGGTGAAATTCTGTACGTCCGCCACTGGTACAATATAAAAAATCTGTAATTTTTGGTTGATATTTACGACCATACCGCGACAAGCAACTGCATCGAGCAGTGAAAAGAAATTTCACTCACCACCGTCACTATAGATTATGTTCCCGCTTGTAACTTTAATTGCAAAGATAAACTATCAATTATCTATATGAAACACGTATTAAAACGATCTTCTAGATTTAATGGATAGGTAATTATGGTGGTGGGTTGAAACGGTTAACGGTAATTTATCTGGTTGAACGCCAATTTTATGAGTGTTTTCAAGTGACTAATAATTTGCTCGATCTAGCGTTATATGGAATGCCGAAACATTGTATGTTTCGACATATTTAACTTAATTGAGTTTAATTAGAATTTACATTATCAAATCAAATTCCTAATAGTTTCTTTCTACTTAAGCAATCTCATGTTGCTGTCTTAACACACCATTCCTTCAAGTGTATGGCGATACTGAACTCGTCTAATTACAAACATGTTTTATACAATGCTATGACTAATAGTTTTATGAATTAAAAAAAAAAACAATATAAAATCAATCAAAAGTTATGCAGACGTCAGAGAACATCAATGGACAGCCATGGAGTGCTTGATCCCGTCCAACCAGCAGTTTCGTCCAAATGATTCTGAGAAACCCATTGCCGTTAAGTATATATTTTTTCTGTGGACTTCATTAAAGAAAACTTTTTCAAAACTAATACTAACTTCCTTTTTATCTTAATTACTTACGTATTGGTAATACGCCAATGTTTTATTTTAACACAATATAGTATATTATGCAGCAAGTTTGATAAACATCGCTTTAGCCACGAGTCTCATTTGGCAGGAGCGGAGCGAGTGTTTAATAAGCGAGTGTCTGAAGAAGTTTATCAACGCGTGTTCTATGACCAAATTTTGGGCACATTTTTGCAAAACAGCACGAATATATTCACTGAGGGTCTAGTGACTTAACCGTCATAATTGACAGATGTCAAAATATCATCCTTAAAGTAACGTGATTAAAGTAACGGAAACGGCCGAAGTGGCTCGTGAATGTGTATAATGACGTCTCAAAGTGACTCTTCATCAGTGCTTAATTAAAATTAAAAAATTGAATAAAAAGCATAAAAAATTCTATTCAACAGATTCGGAAATCGGCCAAGGATTTCTTGTTCGACTGAAATAGAGCCAAAATAAGAAAAACAGTTGAAAGTAGGATGTAAAATTTGTTTGCTTCAGCAATAATAAAATATGTTAAATTGTTTAAAATTTTTGATGATACGTTTAAGCTGAAGCTTGAGAGTTCTTGTCTTTAATGTTTCAAACTCCTTCCAGCAATGTTTATATAAATCCACGAATATAATAATACTCTGTTTAATTATCTTGTAACTGGGATTTTCGCGACAAAATTAAAAAGAAATCCAATAAAACTGCAAAAAGAACTCGTTTGCATACAATAGGTTACATTCGAAAGGTAAAATCACTAATTGAGCAAAATTTTCCTTCTGGTTCAACTCATATTATTATATTATTCTAATGCTAGACTAATTAAACCATAATTAATTAGTATTTATTTGGCAAATTTGTACCTAAATATTGCAGCTGAAAATATTCAATCCGATAACATTGGTAAATTCCATTACTGGGACGGTTTATATAGTTTTGAGATCGGCTCCGCAAACATTTATGACGCATAGAAAGGAATTCAGCAAGTAATCCTTATAAGGCCTGATCTGGTGTAAACACATCTGAAGGCGAATTAGGAACATTCGGGAAACGAACGAATGAACTCCAAACTGAATGAAATCCATATTGAATTGCGCGAAACAAAATATGGTACTGAAGTAGCCAGCCATCACTTAAATTACAATACATACCTATCATATAACCTCAAAGCTGAAAATGCGAAGTCCCGAACAAACGAAACGCAATAACAGAGGTTGCCTAATTTGGCTCCAGGGCCGATCAGAAAATTGCAAAGCATCTACCGATAGTACCATTACAGGATTGCAAGAAAATATAGAAACCACTGCCTTAAATCGTTGTTTTTTAAAGCAGGTTACAAGTGAGAACTGTCTTTTGATATAAAAAGTATGGGTTATATATCCGAAGACGAGAACGTAAAACACATTTATCGTAATATCCGTTCTTACCCAGGCTCTCCACCAGCCTCCATATTATTTGCCAAGGTGACATCGTTAGACCACACGTCATATTGCCACTTCCTAAGACCCAAAACGCCACACAGCACCCTCCCGGAATGTATCCCCACACGCATATTAAGTTGCACGTCGGTGGCTTCTACAACGCTCGCGATCGCATCGATCATATCTAAACCCATTTCCACGGTGCAATGGGCGTGATCAGAACGAGGCTCTGGCAAGCCGGACACGCAGTAGTAACAATCGCCTAGGATCTTAATACGAAGACAATGGTTATCCTGTAACAGCAATATTAGGGGTATTAATCCTTGAAATTAAAGTTGATACACCAACAAGACGCATGTGGCATCAACATCGTAATATCTAATTTCATTTAATTTAATGGATATCAACTATTAGACTACATCTGAAAAAAAAAGTGAAATACATAGATAATTTATACAACGCTTCTCAGAGTTTATAGAGTGTGTAGATTTTTGAAAGCTTACACCATTTAGCCACCTCCAACATTTTCCTGGCACACCTCTGGTTTTTCCCATGCTGTTTAATTAACCGACATATTTCTGCATTAGTAGCACGAAGTCAATCGATTAGTTTTAATAATGTAATTCCTATAGGTAGAATATATCTGCTTCGGTGCCATAAAAGAAAATATTTGAGTGATAAATTGACGCCTTTGGGGAAAATAGTCTGGCTGAAATTTATTTACGTTTTTGGTACATTTAAAAAAGAGGCGGAAAAAACTAATCAATTTTCTTTTGCGTCAAAGGCGGCGCAGAAACGAAAATCGTACAAAGTTGTTTCTTTTTGCTAGCTATTCAGAATCTGGGATCGCGGTTTAACGTTATATTCGGAGAAACACATTATACGGGAAAGATGTTTGAGGTATCAAGACTCGTTTCCGTACTTCCAGACAAAATTAATCTACATAATAGTATATTTTCTTTCATTGGCGCTGTTATATGGGTAGTTTTAAATCCTTTTATATTATGGAAGTCAGATGACATAATATGCCTTTTATGAAAATTTCTTTAATATTCTTTTATAACTCGTGTAAAAATAAAAGAAAGATAAAAAAGAAATAAAGGACTAATAAAAACATCATACAACAGAGCACTAATAATATTTTATTTCTGTGAGGGGTAGACAAGATACTTCTTATTCTCTTTTAATAAAATAGGGATGAAAAATGTATTAGGATTTATATTTATATTTCTTATTAGTAACGAATATGAAGGAAACTAAATTAATTAGTACACATGTAACTAAAGAACATTTCGTATTATAAAGTATTACCAATCTATGATTTTTAGTAGTTCATTGAATTTGGTAACGAGAAGTCATGTTGTTCTCTTGCCATTGGTGGCAATACATTGGTGGAGGTAAATTGTACGGTTGAACTTACTTAAGTAAAGCGTTAAAATTGGTATTTGACTCGCAGACGTCTTATAGTTTGTAATAAAGGTAGCCATCATTTATCTTAATTAAATGAAAGGAGGGCAACACAAACGGACAACTAAGCAACACTTAGTAACAATAAGTTTTTTGGAACATTTTAATGACGCTATATAAAGTAAACTCCGTAAAATAACGTACTTCACTCGTCCAACCAATGGATCAGGGAATAATAAAATGCCTTAAGACATATTACCGCAGATATATTTTGTATCGTTTGATCCAGTCATTTGAAAATAAGGAACATTTTAACATCACTATCCTAAAGAAGTACCAAGTTATTCTGAAGCGCTTTGTGCCGCTAAAATTGTTGCAAATTTTTTACATTCTACTGATAATGTAACTGATGATATGCGTCCTTGTAGGTTAAGAAGCATATCAAGAATATGAAATTTGTATTAGAAAAAACAAACAAACAAAAATAACGATTTTTTTTAATCAAGAATCAAAAAGAATAAAGTTTTTACTTGTATGTTGTAAAGTTTATATAGATGGATAAGTTTTTAGTTTAGGTAGTTTAGTTTCTTTCGTTTTTTAGTGTATTAGTTTTCTATTTTCATATAAAATAAAAATATGTACGTACCTACATAACTTTTTTGTGTTTTTTTATAGCGTATTTCCCATTATAGGGTACTCATTTTCTTGTCCCTAGAGGATACTTTATAATCGGACTTCACCTGCTTTAAAATGCTCGGTTGACGCGTATTTCGTAATCAATCCATATTTATTTCAATTAACCAAAACTATTAAACATAGCTAACATAGATAAAACCGCTTGAACGCAATGTTTTGTAAAATATTGAAAAAAAAAACATTTTTTTTGATGAACTGAATAAATTGAAATTCACTGACGAACCGTTTTTATTAATAAATGTGCTTATTAACTAAAAGCTTCTATTTCGTCAACTAATGTTTTATATACTAGGCCTCAACTCAAAGATCTCTAGCTCTCTTTCTTCCGCCACTGTGATTTAAAAGATCTATTGTGAGGCTCTCCCCAGATAGTTATATAGCTTCTACAGCTTCAATAGATTCCATTAACCCGATCTGCTTGTAATTTAAGTACTGCTAAAGGAAGTCCAATAGGACGTTTATAATATTTTACTCTATACGACGTATAAATGTGCTCAAGAAGTTACATCTCTTTACATCTAAACCACAATTAATATTTTCTTTCACAATTTTCAGTTATGCTAAAAATTGGCCATAATTATCTCGCCAATAGTCGCCCGAATACTCCTAAAACGTGGAATGTCCTAATTTCCAATGTTCGTGTGTGGACCACATGAACATAAATTCTAACGAACGCTTAAAACAATATTTTCTCAACTCGCATTGCTACACATGGCATAATTGATCCAATTGATGTATTCGCCATACTATATACCAGACAAATAATTTATCGCATTATTATGCAAAACACCGACTGAAATTATTTATATGGAAAATAAATTACGCTCGTAAATTAGGGAAATGTTTTCGATAATTCGTTTGGATCTGTCGCACGTTTTTTTTTATTTTTATGTACTGGGTGTCCCACTAAGAATTGCACCTCTCGGCTCTATCTCGGGAATTATTAATCGTATACCGTGGGGAAAAAAAATACCAAGGAGGATATGGAATTATTCAAAAACGGACGCTAGATTGCACAGCTTCTAGTCCGAACAAGAAAATGGAGTTTTCACAAAATTTTGAATAGGGACTCCTTCTGAATTTCTTCTTCATTGGGCACTATCTGAAACTACTACAATGTCAGTAAGATTCTTAGGGATGCGAACTTTTTCAGACGAATTTTTTAAAAATAATATAATAATAATATATGGTAAATAAATTTATTTACTTTTTTGACTTTTCATTACAAATTAGCTTTTTTTGCGTAAAAAGAACTTTCTGTTTGGTTCTGTTGTTTGATCTGTAAAAAACCGTTATGAGTTGTTCATCCTTCTCCTTCACAAATATTGCTAACTAAACCAGCACTGTAATTTTAGCCAATAGTAAAGACGAATGAAACCTAAAAAATATAATCGAAACACGAAAAAAAAAGTCACCTGTCTTATTTTTAAGACAAGGCGGTGTTGATATTGACATTCATAATAATACCAGAACAACATAATAATTAATAATAAGTAATAATTAAGATGCAAGGAACTGGTAGACGCTGGAAAAAAGTGTCTTTTGAAGTAATTACTAAAGCAAAGCAATGACACGTCCTTAAACTAAACGCTGCTGAGAATTATGATCTAATAACACTTTGATATTTGAAGTATTACTTCAAAAGTCCCATTTATCCAAAGCCTACCTGTTCTGACATCTTATACCTAGTAGCCAATGGCATTCTAATATTATTATCGATATTAATTCGATAATTGTTTCTTTCTGATATTTTCTGAGAATTGTTTTTTACTTTTGTCAATATCTTCGGTTTATAAGAAGAGATCAAGCTGCGGTTTTCGCTGACTTTTCAAGCTTTTATTTCTCTTAACTATTAGCTGAAATTATAGATTCTTGTATTTCAATTTTCAAAACGCGCAATATTTGTCAGGTTGTAAGACAACGCAGTGTTAAGTGCAGGATCTAGTGTCAAATACATATAATTATTTTTAATAAAGTAAAATATATCTAGAGTAGGCAATGTTCTTTTGAATAAGATATACCTTGTTTGAGTCGGACGATCCAATCCCAAAAACGAATTCAATCCAACGTCTGAATATCTCAATAACTCCATAATTTTCAAACAAAAAAATAAAATACATAGCCCCTTTGGTAACAATATTATTTTTTCAGGCTAAACGGCTAACATTTCCAAAGACACAGCCGAGAGTCATTCTTAGTGGAACATCCGGTACACCGGTGTGCCAAATAAAACGATCCATAGGAGATACGAAAAAAATTTTCGTTTCTCGGATTCTCCAGAAGATTTAAAATATTATAATTTTGTTGATACAGGGTGTCCCAAAAGTGTCCCCCGACATCAACATTGTTATTTTAAATTGAACAGCATGTATATTTCGAAATTTTTTGAATGCTTGGTTAAAATAAAAGCCATTTTCTTAAAATACTCCTATTCGAATGTTGCATAGTTCAGGCAGAAATTCAGGTTATGTGTTTTTTTTTATATTTTAATTGCCTGTTGTGTCGTGCCGCTATTGATCCAGGTATTGCAACGAAAATTTCACCAGAGACTAAGGAGATGATCCACTACTCAATTAGTTTGACTAATGCGCCTCAGCTTATACAGGGCGTGCCAAATAATTGATGCCGTTTTGGCGAATTCAATTAACAAAATCGCAAGAGTTTCAAATGGAACACCCCATAGTTTTATTCAGATATCAATTCCAGGACAAAAAATAAGTTTTGTAACTTATCTTATATTAAAATTTTACTTACTTTTTGAGATATTCCAGGTTTCAGATAACACCCGTATAAATGTATTTATTGTTTAAAACTCAAAGCGATGATACTATTTCTTTTAAAGATATAATACTCCAGATATACGAATAAAACCTGATAACAATACAGGGTCTCCATTAATACTTGGAAATTTTGAAAAAAAATCGACTCTATACTACACTTTAACATATTTAATAAAACTTCGGAATTCATATTAAAAGTATCGTTTAATAGTTATCTGGCTTGATTAAAAGTACCTAATAACAAAAATAAATAATTAAAGCTTATAGGTTAAAAAAAACTACAACTTGTTTAAAATACAAATAAAATATATACTAACAAAAAAATTGACAGCTATGAACTTTTTGAATAGAAATATGAAAAATAACAAAAACAAAATGTGTCGGTTTTAAATTCAACAAGAATTTATAAGTGTTTAATATTCAATTAACAAAATCTTGTTAATTGAATTCGCCAAAACGGCAGTATTTATTTGGGACACCCTGTATAAGCTGAGGCGCATCTGTCAAACTGATTGAGTAGCGCATCATCTCCTTAGTCTGTGGTTAAATTTTCGTTGCAATACCTGGATCAGTAGCGTCACAACACAATCTTATATGGGGCAATTAAGATATAAAAAAAAAACATTACATCAATTTCTGCCTACACTATGCAAAATTCGAATAGGAATTTCCTAAGAAAGTGATCTTTATTTTAAACAAGCATTCAAAAAATGTCGAAATATGCAGGGCGTTCCATTTAAAATAACAAAGATGGGGGAACACTTTTACGACATCCTGTATGAACCAAATTATAATATTTTAAATCTTCAGGGGAGTTCAACAAAGTGATGTACGAAACTTTTTCTCGTATTTCCTATGGGTTTCCATATCGTATAGTGGATCGTTTAATTTGGCACACGGTGTACAATAACCTCGTCTACTCGTTCCATATTCGCATCACACTTTCCAAAATCTACCCCGGATTCCGCTAAAAGCTTTATTAAATTCTGACGTCGCAACGAAAACAAAGTTTGATGTTCTATGGAAATCGAGCGGAAAACACATAAGGGAAGTCCTGCGGCATATCCTATCCGAACTTCCCAATGCACCGGATGAAATATTGAGATTAGATTCCGTTTAAGAATTGAACAAAGTGAAACGCTGAGGTTATTTCGATCGCAAGTTTGAGAGAAAACGTCAAACTTTTGAAACTTCGTCGGCGGTGCCCGAAAAATTAATTATTATTATTGTATTCTCATTTGAGCAACGGTGCGCAGCGTTTCGAGCCCGGAAAATTCGAGATACGAGTCCGCGACAGATGCGCAAAGCTCCTTATTTTAAATCCGCTTATTTAGAAAACAACTTATAGGATCGGCTAGAAAGTCGCCTTCCATTCTGAACAATAATGAACTCGTAAAGTATGAACCTAATCACCATATTACTGACGACGAATATGGGAGACCCGGCTGGACGGGGATAAGTTTAAACTTGGCGGCCTTTTTACTAATAGAGGGGAAGGTCGAGTATACTGTTACGAATGCCATCTAATATTTGTGTTCAAGTACTAAAGTACAGCTTAAGTGCGTCATAGTTAAAATACAACAGTCGCTTGTAACGGATAATAGCACTTTATTTATATTTTAATAAAAAAAAAATTAAACTATTTCGACATTTTTTTTTCGTGTACGCTTTTTACCATTGGCACTAATGGGAGCCTTCCCCTCTATCTTATACTCTTTGCGGTCAGCTTTATGTATTCATTAAAAAAAAAGGCTTTTCAATTTTTTCATTTACGACAATGATAAGTTTAATTTTGGTTAAGTTAGCTAATCATCCCATATTTAAATAAAAGAAAGACACTCGTTTGGTCATATACAGGGTTCCTCCTTATCGTGTTCGTAAAATAAAATTTATCCCATTTTCAGGAAGTGTTTGTGCATTTTCAAAAAGTTTTTCCTTTAAAAAACAAGGTTTTATTATTGAAGATAATTCTGTTAAAATTAAGTTAAAATGAAAATTCATCGACATGCATTTTTCAGTGCAAGTAGAAATTTACAAACGGCACCCTTTATTTTACAGTTAGAATGATTGGCCAATGCGGAGTCTAATTTTGCAGATATTCCGAAAAATCTAAATCCATACAAAAAAAGCGAAACAGCATTCTTGTAAGTTGCAAACAAAAATAGTAAATGTAGGGATTACTTTTTACCAGTATATCTGAAAAACTCATTTATACAGGTAGGTATGGGTATAGTTCATTTCGCGATTGTCCACTTTGACAAATGCAAAGTTTCAAAAATGGGCTGAATCAAAATTATGAGCTTATAAACGCTTCCCGTAACCAAAATATAAAATGAGCTATACAAATTATAAAATTTGTCAAAAAACGAACTCTATTCATTCTGAATTACAATAAAAAATTCATACTATTAGTGTGGAACTATTTTTTAAACGCAAAACATAATTAACTGTTAATTGAACACTTCTTAATTGATCGATCAATTGTCCAGACAAAAATGTTTTAAATAACATCTTGTAATTGTAGAATGTTATCTATCATCATTTAATAATAATATGTATTTTATAATAAATTATGATGCGATTCGGAGAATCCCATTTGCTTCCCAGAACGACGCTACGACAATGTAAAGCACAATGGAAATAAATATAAATAAATATGCATAAATTTCATGGTATATTTATAATTATTTCAGTCAATTGACAGAAAAAAATTTGACCGGCCAATTCCACAATCCTAAATATAACCGATGTCCTTATATTGATTTACCAAAATTTGGCTTAAATATGGCAGCATTTGTTAAGGTAAAACTTTCTTAGCCATATTTTTTTTTATTTAAGAATTACATGTGCGTATCGTAGGTGGAATAGATTTAAAATGCCACTTAATCCTTAATACCACCTAAAATTTAAAATATTGTAATTTTTAAATGGACCTGGCAATTCGGCCACAGTGAGAATAATTTTTAAATGTAGAACCAATACCTCTCTCAGTTCAGTAGATATTTCGAATAGAACATCGAGTTTGAACTACAATTTATATACAGGCAAGCGTTTTAATTAAATTGTTTGTAACCGCCGATATCACCGGTAATTAAAATTATTTTACAATTAAAACACATTTTCCAACGTAGTCGATATTTGACTGAAACTAAAAAGCACCAACTGATTTGTAGTTTTTTTTTTAGTAATAACCTGAGTATCAATCAAACAAATGTTACTTACATTTGCCAACTGATCAAATCTACCGAAGAGCTCATTCAAAAGACGAACCAATTCCTGAGCAGTACACTGGGATGCCAACACGGTGAATCCGACAATGTCAGCGAACAGTATACTGAAAGAGAACAGAAAGGTCATGAGCGAATAGTTAAAGAAAAATATTAACTTTTATAAAAATCCCCGGGTAGTTGTACCAATAGCTTCAACATTTCTTCAAACTGTTTGTTTGTTTGTTTGTATGGCCGATTACTTCCTCATGAAACGTAAAACTTTATCCGCCAAAGGATTTCTGCAAGTCTGGAATCAAGTTATATATCGATGAAAAGCGCCAAAATATTCTTAGAGTCGACGACACCATTACGTTTATTTTATATTGTGAGCAAACGCGCACAATTTTTCATATAAAATATACCTATGTACTATTTCGCACACTTTGAGTTGCCGATCATTTAAGACCATATCGTGAGTTTTGTTAGTTATTTGAGGGGCGTCCCAATTTGCATTCATCTTTTGGTGTAAACAGTTACAAACTCATTACTAGATATGCCACGAACTAAGTCCAACTCGTTTGTGAGTTCTTTCAAATACAAGTGTTTAATCACTGTTCCAAACTCACTTTTATCCATTTTTAAGCCTTAATAAATAAATAACCAAGTCCTTGCATACTGTTTATTACTCCAAAACCGCAGAACCTTATAGAACACCCTGCAGAGCAGACCCTTACTCGTAACCGTCTTAGGAATTTATCTACCTCCACTAACAAGCGGGATATAAGTATGTTTTCAATCTTGTTCGCCGAGCAATTCTTGAAACATGTACATAAAAAATTAATACAAAGTAACAATTTATTAAGTTCTATTTCATTGCATGTCTACATGGCATCATTATTAATATACAAAACATTAAATAAAATAATAATAAAGTATCAGAAAAAAACCGTCACTATCGCCTCTGTCGTCACATAGTTCAATGATCAACTCCGCCACTAATCGTACTTGATAAATACTTTCTACTTTAATTACTCGTTTTTCACCTGAACATTCAATGATGCGGGGGTAATCTCAAGATTTCATGTCCGTTTAATAATAAACTATAGTCTTAAAAAAGACTTGTTGTTTATAAATCGAAGAACTATGTAGAGAAGACACAAAAAAAAAGAAGAATGTTGTTGAAAATAGCCTCGGAGGGTCAAAGCTCGAGAATCAGGTACATAAATAAGTACTTACTGGAAGGATCCCATTCAAATACCTCCGTAATATATACGAAAATATTGCGATTTAGATTAATAAATAAATAAATTGATTAATTTAGATTAAACGTTTCTACTTATTCGAAAATACCCCGCAGCATCGATACTTAATAAATTTAAAACGGTCCAAATAAAACCTTCGAGTTTCTACAAATATTCATTACGGTCCATCTTAATGAAGAATAAACATCTGTTGGGGTGGGTTTTACCACGGTTCTGCGAAGGTCTGCGCTTAAGTTACTGTATAATACTTCAAACGACAAAGCAATAAATGCGCTATATTTTTGGTCGTACAATACCATCACAGCAAAACTGAGGTTTGTAAGTTTCAGATTAATTTAACCCGGGTACCATACTTATAAAAACTGGGTTTCGGTTCGTTTTGCAAAAAATTGACGAGCAGTTGACCATTTTTGTTACCATTGAGATTACTCGTTGGTGCATGTAGCCAAAATTTTCTACAGAATCTTACACAAAATAGTAATGGTAAAGAAACTACCACACTGGAAAATGTACGTTTTTATCTTTTATCAAATACTTTCTTTCAACACGTTCTACGCTTGCAAATATCAAAATTTCATCTCATGCTGTGCGATACCACCATAGATGTAACTTCTCTATGAAAACTGTAACAAATAATATTTGTCGTTGGGCAGGATCTGTCATTAGAAGCCAACAAAACTTCTTCATTCCTCCTGCGTCTATTTTTGCTGAGTCGAACTTGCTGACGTTGCGACTTTGGGTTCTTCAGAGCTTGACCGAAAGCTTTTCATTCAAGCTCTGAAAAAGCCAACAGGATGATTGGCGAAACGTCAGCGAGTTCGACTCAACAAAAACAGACGCACGAGGAATCCAGACGTTTTGTAAAAAGTATTACAGTAGCCTGTGGAAGTTTCTTTGAAAAATTAATGATTCAGTTCTTCTCGTATGACTTTATGTGCTCTCCGAAAAACAAATAAGAGAATAGGAGAATAGGTTGAATAATTGCTTCCAACTAAATCGTCGCTGTAATTCGTCTCCTATTCATCCAAAAGTCTACTCCATAAAAAAAAACGTCGGGCTTCTTTAGTAGTCTAAATAAAATTCAACAAATTAATTCGACTTAATTCAAGCTTGTAAAGTATGAATTAAAAAAAGGAGCGTTATGTGAAGTAGCGTAATCTAATCAATGAAAATATGCCACGTAAAAACGTATGAAACGCGCAAGTGAGCTCTTTAAGGAATGTCCGTATGTATTTATAATTCCCGTGGCGCTTTTTCTTTGTCGCGGACGGCCGTAAATTTCATAAAAACCCTTTAAATGAGTGGTTAAAATTAATTGCCGAGAAGCGCGGCAAAAGCTGCTTTAGAGGGACAAGTTTTTCCCGCATTTTCAAGGCAACGCCGCTCTAGCAAAAAACGGACACCTGTAAAAGGCGAGACAGTATGGGAATATGGGAAATCGGGGCTAATAATTATCGCCTAATAATTTGTTCAATAGGAAACTGGTCGCAATTCTAATTTATCTGTTATAACAATTAAATAAAGGATATTTTTTATTCAAAGGTCGACTTTTGGCATTGATAGTTTTGACTCCAGAAGGTGCCAAAATGGAAATACCATTTCGTTATATTTACAGAATTTCTGCTAGCATTTTATTGTGGATTACATAAATAAATATATTTTATGTACAGTGCTTCTATTCACTAAAAATTGCAATTATGATACCTGTAAATTTATTAATCAAAAATTTGCTTACAAAATTCTTCGTAAATCTAGTGTTGCTATATTTACAACTCACACAGGAGGAATGCAGAAGATTTGTATTATAATCTTTTTTGTTGAATGTTTCTTGCTCTATCTCGGGGGGGTGGGGGTGCCCAGCGGGTTTCGGAATTTGGTGTAGTCAGAAAGGGTTTTTCTAGGCTCTTAATTATTCCATGAGCGACGCGATCCATCAGATGCCGTTTTCTGTAATAACCGCTAAAATTATTAATTATTTAAAATGCCAAACGATATTTAAAATTAAAGAAAATTACAGTGCCTCGAAAAGACCTCCAATTACGATAAAGATATGGAGGTGCGGTTTCAAGTTAATGTCATTGCATTTGTTTTTTGTTCCAAAAACTCTTTTTTATGCGATTATGTCAGAAAGCGCCGTCTGGCGGTAACGTAAGGAATCGCAAATCACGTCACTCGTAGCACGATTGATAGCCTAGAAAAAAACCCAAGCTTATTAAAATGCGTTAAGCCTTTTGGGTGTTATCGACGTTTCTTTTTGAAAATATCTGCCAATTTCCTTACAGATAGGGCTTTAAAACAGTATGTACTGTAACGACGGTTAATATAAAAAAAAATTATTGTTTTTTTTTTCAAATTATTAGGATAATCCATCTGTTTTAATAATACAATACCCGGTACAATTAAAAAAAAGGACTTTAAAATAGTATGTTGTTATGTTCATCTAGCGTCCCTTCTTATAGACCTTAATATAAGTTACATATCTCAATTTCTAATCTGAAAAAAAGTAACGGATGCCAATTTTCATGGAGCCCCCGGTAAAATTATTAGTTAGAGCAATTTTTCAATTTTTGTAAAAACACCCTGTATCTCGCCAATTAGGAAGTTTATATAAGGTAAATTTTGCTTTATCATCACATAATAACGAGTAGTATTTTTAGATAAACTTTAGCATTGTGAGGCTCAAACAACTTTTGGAGGAATTGCTTTATTGATAGAAAAAAGTTTTTATTACAAAGACGAAAGCGAAAACATACATGGGAACATAAAAAAGGGGAGATACGAAGCATTTTGCTGGCCGACTATAGTCTGGCGCCACGATTCGAAGTCGTGTATCGTAAAGAAAAACGATCACTTGGCTTTAATTTGTCTGTTGTAGTTTTGAAAAGAAAACGGAGAAAGGACGGATCGTTTAAAGTTATGTAGGAAACAAAACAACCGCGAGACGGTCAGGCGTAATAATACATTTCACGACAAGAAAGGCATTAACCTATGCGGTTTTTCTGATCACTGTTTTATCGCATATGCTGTTCATGCTTTCGAGGTTCCGAAATTCTGCAAGTTTTTTACTTCCAGAAATTTTCGAAACTTGGATCAGACTATCTTGGAGGTTCTGCAGGGACTGGATTGGGATCACATCTACAGTGTTACTGAGTTCTTTAATGAAAGGATTGTTTAAAGCAAAGGATAATTGACATATTTGATATCCGTAACCTCTCTCGCACCATAAAAGTTACAAAACTACCTGAAATTAAACACGCAATGAGAATTAGAGATAATGTTTATGTCAAATTTAAACAGACAAGAACGGATGAGCAGTGGAAACACTACAAGACTCTCGGCCACCATGCTGCTAGCATTATGAAGAGAAGAAAAAAAAGTCTTGTCTCACAGTAACACTTGAAGTATGTTGCGCAGTATGCAAATTTTACGAGATTCGACTGGTACTACTTTACCTGAACGCCTCACTGATCTTGACTCTATTAACAGTTATTTTGTGAGTACTCCCACTACAGTCAAAAATTCTCAGCAGGAGACTCTGCTTGAGAAACATAAGTCATACAAATCTCTCAAACTCTAAATTTCACAGATAAACCAGTTGTAGGGCAATGCTGTTGGTTCGGATTATGTCGCCTTGCAAATGTTGATGTTGGTCAGTTACTATTTAATATATTTAATAGATAGATGGCTAACATTCTTAATTCCTGTATACTATCGACAAAGTTTCCAAGAGCATGGAAGGTAGCTATTGTTGGACCTTTGCCGAAAGTGCTGCAAGGAGTTCCTCAGGGATCTACACTTGGGTCCCTACTATTTTCCCTCTGATTTCCACACATACAGCTGCGCCACACACCATTATTTGTTATATCACGTTTTAGAAAGTCAATCTGCTGTGAGAGTTTAGTACTCTCTACTGTGACTCTGTGTATAGACCGGCAATGCTGCGGAGGGATTGCGATAAGCTACAGAAAATTCAGAACTCCTGCTATCGTTTCTCCTACGGCATCAGGAAGTTCGATAGAACCACTTACAAAATTGCCGAGTCGGGTAGATTAAAACTGAAACTCTTACGAAATTTTCACCACTTATGCTTGACCCACAAGGTTTTGATTTCGGCGGGAGCAACATACTTCTACCAGAAATTGCCCAGAATTATGTGGATCCTATTCTTTAAAATAAGTTGTCAGTGGACTATCATAACTACACAATCAAAACTTTTAAAGAGACTCAAGAATCAGTTGTTACCTTTTGATGGTGAATAAAGACGTTAATAATAAAAAAACATTCCCGCAGTATGGTATGCATGGCGATTTTGGAGTAGCCAGGTTTCCACATTAAACGATTTATTTAATTGCGATAAAGTAATTACAGCAAATGCATAGTAAAATGATTCAAAATGTTTTCCCAAACATTAATTTCCACGAAAACAGATTGACTGTCGAACATAAACAAACCCCAACGAGAAACAATGACTTCGTCTCCGTTGTTCACTTATGGACCCAATCTCAACATTGACGATTGGAATACTAATGGAAACTTTCCGAGCCGAAACAGACCTATTTTAGATAGGAAAATGGGGAATGTCAACAATAAACTAGATTAACAATAAACTTCGGTTGTGTAGGTGTGCCCTGCAAGGTTCGAAACAACTGGAAATGCTGAGCGTAGCTTAAAATTCACCTCCAATTTCGCTCCCCTATTGAATTCGATGCTCTAGAATTTCATGTTTTGCCTTTGTTTGGTGTAGATTCGCGCAAAATCAAAACGTCGCCAAAATATTAAATTCTAATATTAAACGTATGGAGATAAGTGTCTCCTTAACACTCATTTGCCTTTATTGAAAAACAAAATTCTGGCATCAGGGCAGAAAACGTTTTCTTTGAAGATAATATATGCAGGGCCTGAGTTTTAATTTATATGTTGAAATAGCAAGTTTTTTCTCTAACATTCTTTGTACAAATCAATCTTGCCTCGCAAAAATGTTTAAATAGTAAAATTCAGATTCTGAAAAACTACCTTTCAATTCGGAATAAAAAATTATTGTAGATTGTTGATTTATACATAAATGTATTTTAAACTCTACATGTAAAAACTCTGTACAGGGTTGCCAAATGAGTATACAAAGTACTGTATCTCGGAAACTATTTGTCGTTGCTGTAAAAATTTTATTACTAAAGTATTCAAAAAAAGACATTGTAAAATTACAAACTTTCAAAGTGATTTTGATGACTCATATTTGATTGTTAAATATATTAATTTTTTGAAAATCAAAAAATTTTATCAATCTTCACAAAAAAGATAAAAAAAAAACAATAAATACCGGTGTAATAGCGTCTTTTTAAATTTAAAGATAACTAAAATTTTATGCTCGGAACAAGATATCGAGATATAGTTTTCATTGGACTACTAGGTATGGTCTGTTCATAGATATAAGAAAGTGACCAATACTTTTGAACGGATTATCCAACGGTGGTCATTAACATACAATGCAACAAGATTATTATTATTAATTAAGATAATTATTAATTATTAATTAAGGTAATAATCTTGTTGAATTGTATGTTAATGACCACCCTTGGATAATCCGTTTAAAAGAAATTGGTCACACTCTTATATCTATGAACAGACCATATCTTTTCACTACGTCATTTAGCAATTTACTTCAAAAAACACACCACTTAACCTTAATAGTTAGGTCAAAAAGTGTTTAAAAAAATGGTCCAAACGAGGCTTAGCTTTAAAAAGAATATTATTTAGAGTATTAAGATATTCGCGTACCACGGCTCAATTCGCGCACCAAAGACATCTTTCACTGTGTTATTATTATTATTTATATTATTATTATTATTATTGTTGTTGTTGTTGTTGTTATTATTATTATTATTATTATTAGTACTATTATATATTTTGTTGATATCTTTACTGGACGAATTTCAGAAGAAAAACCCTTTAGAGTTGAAGATGACGGTTACGCCCCCTGGCGATCATCATGGAAATCTGAAAATATTTTCCAGGATCTGTTTTTTTTTACCCTGTATAGGATAGCACTTTGTTTATACTTTAGTTCCTCTTACGCAAGCAATCTATAAATTCGGTAGAGTCGGCGCCTAACACATACGTATATCTATATTCATTTTAGCGCTTCAACTTTCAATATTCGCGCTTTTACCGAAATAATATTACCCCGGACAAATCGAAATGAATCTTTTATACCTGCTTCTAGAATATTTCGTTGCTTGGTTACGAAGCGGCAAATTCCAATATGAATTTCCCGTGCTTTTAGAACATTTCCCATTTTAAACTCTCTTCGATATTTTTTCCTGAGCAATTTCTAGGCATTCGTCGGATCTTTTCAGCAAAATTCATTTTCTTCCGAGCAAAATTTTTCTAGATAAAATTTATTACGGCATTCCGCCGAGAGACTCATTTAATTATCTCCCCATTTGCAATTAATTATTGTTAATTATTAGCTTGTTAGCTCGCCGGTCGCGTAGTAAAAAATTTTTCAGCTTAAACAATTTCCGCTTTATTTTTTTTTATTCGTTTGGGAAAAAAATGGGAATTTACTTGATTAGCGGGTTTATTTTCGTAAGCTTTTTTAGTGACCACCATTATAATTATGAATCCACGCAAGATCTTATCCGTCGCATTGCGCATAATAAATTGAAACATTTTTTAATGAATATTATTCATCTAATTTGTATGCCTATCTCTTTTTCTCAATTTTTAAAGATTCCTTTAACGTGCCTTATAATCCCAATTTTGTTAATTCGTTATAATAAATAAAGAACGTTACCATATTTTGATGGTGTATTCGAACGTTAAACAAAAGAATTGCCACTGAAAGTGCGATTTATGCAGGAGTGTTCGGAAATAGAAATTTGCTGAAAATTTGGTCACTTAGGTTTTTGACTATGTGCTCTATCCATCTAAAATATTCTCAGTTATAGGATCATCAACTGAAAATGTTTTTAATTATGTGTCGGAATATTGGATATACAGGGCGTTCGATTTGAAAAAAATAACTTTTTGCCATGGTATAAGGCGGTAAACTGATTACTATTTACAAATCTTCTGGATTTCTTCTGCGTCGATTGTATTTAAATCAAACTTGCTGAGGTTTCGCCAATCATCCTGTCGACTTCTTTAGACAATAACTGAAGCTGAATAAGCCATACAGGATGACTGACGAATCGTCAGCAAGTTTAATTTATCAGATTTTTACTTTTTTAGATGCTTTAAGAGAGAAGCGGCAACATTGCGATACTTTCTTTAGATACTGATTTAGTTGTCACAAATTTTTTTTCCTACGAATATTACGAAATGTCAGTAAGTTCGATTCATCAACAATGCAGCGGGAATGCAGAAGATTTGTAAATAGTATCTATTAACGCTGTGGAAGTTTCTTTGAAAAACTAAAAAGATTTTTGGCTTTATTAGGGTATATCACTTAGTATCCGTTTTCATCGATACTATTTAGTTTTTTAGTTTAAATTAGTATTTAGTATATTTTAGACAAATATGTAAACAAAATATTGTTTGATCGCCAAATAAATAATACTTAACTAATTTTAGCAAATAAAGCAATCAAACAAGGAGAAACCCTCGTTCTCCCATTTACCTAAATGAGCCGCCCTTGTCGTTCCAGTTCAGATAAAGTTCCCTAATTCGTTAATTGTTAATAATAGGACTTAAATATATTAAAATTGTTAATAAATATCTTATTATACAAGAATAACGGCAGCAAACTAAGCAATGACTATCAAACTGCTAAAAATATCCGAACGTATTCTACGGATCAATCTGAAAAACCCTTAAGCCAGGCTCTCAAAAGAGAAACCTTTTGATAATAACATCCGGGATGATGATTGATAAACATATCTGACAGCCACAGAACTCACCTGACATTTTCATGCCTTTGAATGTAGATTTTGTGGAATTGGCCTTCTACCGGTGATATAATATCGTGCTTCATCTCCATTGCGACATGTTGGGGCAGCACCGATAAAAGAAGCCTTTCCTGAAAAATAACCCCCGATTGATATCCACTTTTAAATTGAATGGATGAATAGACGGGGACATATTGGATATCGGCGGATTTACTCTTTTTCTCTGAATCGGGCGAATATCCCCGAAAATGGGATTTGAGATATGGCGGAAATCGTTTATAATATAAACGATGCTTGTAGTCTCATTTTGTCAGCTCACCGTCAGGCTCTATGTGTTTTTGTTTCCGATTAACGGAAAATTTCGCAATAAAGTTTTATTTTGAATTAATTAGAATTCTTTAAGGCGGCGACCTCATTTTTGGACAACAATTTTAGGGTGATGTCATAGAAACAATACACACTCAATAGCATAATGTGCTTACATTTAAATAAATAAACTTTTCATGAGCGTAACTCGTCCCAAGGTTCGTAATAGCTATAATCATGCTTGTTTACGACTTTGGTTTTTAACAAGGTTGACAAGTTTTAGCCTTATCTTGCGGAAAAGTATGCTAATATTTTTAAATACTTTTTATGTTATTATTATGTTGTCTAATTGTAGACAACAAAACTACTTATTTGATAATTCGTTGTTAGTTTAAAATATGTTTCACATTATAATTGATCTAAAATGAGCAAAGTTTAATAAATAAACAAACAGTATTGTACTAAAGGTAAGACTATGGGAAAAGAGACGGAAAAGTGCTTACAAGTTTTTCGTTTTCATCCTCCATTTCCAGTCGCGCTGCGATGCAGTTTCTGGTATCCAAAAATGCCTTCCTCTGAGCATGTTCCATTAAATTGTGCATGAAAATACCCACGGCGTTAATGCATACAAAGACCACCACGTTGGCGCTAAACTGAAACCAATAAACACGTGAAAGAAAATAATATGATACAAAAAGTGTTCCGCAAACAATACAGCTTCTCGAATAAGTGAGGTGGTCCATATTTAGTTTTGGTTAGTTTTTTAATTTTAATTTAGAACAACTTTAGATTCTAGTTAAGTTTGTCGTGTTTAAATTTCATGTATAATTTTTTATTTATTACCGAAAATTAGAAAAGTTTCAATCAAATCTGTCGATGCATTTTTTAGATATTTATAAATTACGGTATATATCTTATACTAAAGTATATGTCCAACACTCACATTATTATATCAATTTTATCCCCTCGAGCAATAGGCAAGTGGGAGCGTTCATTTAAGGCCAGACGTGTTCATAAACTAACTTCGAGAAGCAAATTTAAGCGGATTTTGCTCATTTTGAACCATTCTTATATAACGAATCGATAAAAACTTAAAAGCATACTCGAAATCTGTTCGATTCAAATTTTACAGAAAAATTAGAGACGTCTAGATTTGATTAAACCTTCCTCAAGTATCACGTATTAGACTCATTTTTTGACAAATGGTGGAGGCATATATTACGTCTCATTCGAATTTTATCCATTTTTAATTCGCAAGATATTATAAATGGTTGCCGCCTGCAAAATAAATTACACGTTATATTATCTACCCGTTCCCGATATAGCTAATAGAGATAGCCAAATAGAGATTTCAATCGCGTTTTCCGATTGCATTAATTTAATAGCTACTGTCCATATTAGTTTGCAACGAATGTAATTATTCACTGAAACTTTTATTTTGCGGTTCGGATATTATTGCAGAGAAATTTTTAAAGTAATTAAATTTAATATTAGTGGATATTGATTCATATGAAACTTATATACTTGTTCGCGTATCGGAACATACCAAACCTTTTCTTATTCGAAATAAAAATTTGGATATACTTTTATAAACCACTTTTTATTTTATGTCATATTGGCATTTGATTTCATACCTTTAACGAATTGTTCTTGTAATCCACACAATTACATTACACATGGTTCAAATATTATTTTGAAAAAAAGAAATACAATTACCATCGTGTTATTACCAGTGTTATCAATGTCGATATTTATTTATTTTATATATCATTATAACATGTCAATTACGCTGATTCCTATTGAAACTAACCAAACCGCTCTACCTGCTTTGGTTCGTTTTATTAGTCTATTATTTATGTGTATATGGTTTTATTGTATTAGTGGATAACGAACTACAGAAACTTCACGTATTTAAGGAACCATATCTGACTGACTGATTTTCCTAGTGTTCTTTTTGTTTATGTTTTTCGAAAAGCCAAACTTATGTTGTCACAAGATCAATACCACATTGTTTAGCCGTGGAATAGCATTCAATTTTATCACGAAGTCATCTAAGGATTGAAGAAAACCATAAAAAAAGCGAATTATCATATAAATCATCGAAAGGGGAGGCTGGACGGGATATCAATTCCGCATGATGAGGGATCCTCGACGCTGGTTTGGAAGAGATAACTGCATTGCGCGTCGTAAATAAATACCCCCAGACCGTGATGGTATAGACGGCGAACGAACATTTTACATAAACCAGATTTTGTTATAAATTCGTATTTTTTATAATAACTTGCCTATTTACAAATTTTTATTTTCTTATTCTGTCAATTCATTTTTTATTTTCAATAGTGTGTAAATTTTGTTAAAGAGTTAAAATTGTAAGTTATGCACAATTTGGCAGAGACGTTAATATGTACATGAAATGTCAAAAGTCCCTTTCGAATGGATTTGTGCAAAAAAAAAAGTTATTCAATTCTCGAAAACTGTAAGTTTTATCGTGAAAATAGGTCTGACAAAAATTGTAGATCATAAAATTCTCTACAAAAATTGTTCAGACACTTTTTTTTACGACTTACCATTCGGAAGATTTCGCGTTTTCCACTATAAGAAAAATTATATTTTACAGAGTATGCACTTAAACGCAGCCTATACACGTCATCAGACGTTCAATATAAATAAAAAGAGAGGATGGATGGATTTGCTTTACTTACAGAATAAAACTTGTATAATTCCCTTTGTCTGTAACTTTAAGTAACATCTGCTAGATAAGTCATTGTTCGCGTGTGGAGGGTCGTATGCCTGCCTATTTTTGAAGGAAGTAAACGAGATAATTCAGTATATACTGTTAGTTTTGAAAATTTCACGCGAAAGAGTAGCATTAGTACAGCCAAAAGACAACGCGAGACAGAACAAGATAGTACATCCAGGATAAGTCCGAGTGAGTGAGTCAAATTTCAACTTAAAAAGATGTTTATTTTGTGGCCATGAAGCAAATGAAGAAGCTGATGCTATAGCAAAAGCTGTTATTGCCCGCATTGGATATGAATTCGACTTAGTTGCTGCTGAAGCTAAGTATCACAATAATTGTTATAATATCTTTTTAAAGTCCATTACGGAGTCTAAAGTCGGTCGTCCTGAAGATGATTCAGTGAACTTGGCTATGGAGAAAATATTTCAATACATTGAAAACAGTGATGATTGTCAGTTGTCTTGCCTAACTCCAACATCTCCTTCTGCCTCTCAGCATTTGTATCGTGTGGATTAACAAGTTCAAGTGTGGCTAGGCAATGAGCTGCACACAGAAGAATGGGGTTGGAAATCAACAGATAATTTTTACTTTTTACAAAACTGGATTCCTCCTGCGTCGGTTTTTGTTGAGTCAAACTTGTTGCAGTGATGTTTTGAATGTAAGGAAGGACCACAGTGTCAAGGGTAGGATTGCTTTCGGCCTCATAGCTATTGGAAGGTTGTGGTGGAGTGTTTTTTTTGCAATAGCAATAAGGTCGAAAGCAATTCTACACTTGCCACTGTCATTGTGTTTACAGAAAACCTACGCACACAGACCGATACCTTCATGCATTGTCACATCACCATCCGGACCAAAAATCATCGGTTATCAACTCGCCGTAAAACTATCTCAGCCCGAGTCACTGAAAACAGAATTAAAACCCCTTACCTCTGCCCTTCCAAATTAAAGATATTAAGCGTTCCATCAAAAAAATTCACTTCACCACAACCTTCCATCCAATAGCAATGAGGCCGAAAGCAATTGCCACTGTGGTTCTTTCTTACATTCAAAACATCACTGACTACATATCAAAAGATTTAAAGAAATATAACGCCAAAACCAGAATTACCACAATTACCAAAAATCTCCCAACATCTTTGATCTATCAAAGACAAAACTCAATTTGAGATGCCAGGAGCTTAGAGCATTCCATGCATATGCGGCAAAGAATACATTGGAGAGACCGGACGAAAAATATCAACTAGGCTCAAAGAATATGAAAGAGCCTTACGACTAAGACAAATAAACTCATCAGCAGATACCGAACACAATCACGAAACCGGACATCAATAAAACTAAAACTAAAATTCTTGCATGTAATCAGTTCTTCTACCAATGAAAAATCTGAGAGTCTATAGAAATCTATAACCACCCTAACAATCTCAAGCGCGACTCAGGTCTTTATATGTCACCAAAATGGGAATCAGTTATCCGAGACGGTGTTTATGTCCGTCATATAGCTCCGACCCCCTCCAACGATATATAAGCAAGTACAGAGTAAAATGCGAGCCAGTTTCACTGAACCTCCGAAGAAGCCAACAGGATGATTGGAGAAACTTCAGCCAAAACCGACGCAGGAGGAATCCAGAAGTTTTGTAAAAAGTATTACAGCAGCCTGTGGACGTTTGTTTGAAAAATCAACAGATAATTTTTTGGAGCAATTTAAACTCCACTCCCGCCTGTTCCAGAAAAACTGCTCAATACTATGCAAGACGCGTTTTAGCAAGAGTTGTGGCTGTCAAAAAGTGGATTATTTTGTTCGCCAGTATGCAGAATTGCTTCAATATTTAATCAAGTACAACAGAATTATTTATGATTATAATGAGAGAAGAGAGAACAGAAATTCTGCAACAAGAGGAAAATGAAGATCAAGAAATAATTATTGAAGTAGAAAATTATCTATTGTAACAAAATTTAGAAGAAAACTTCCAATCAATAGGATACGATCTGATCAAATTTTCTTCATTACAATAGATCGTGGAGTGTAACTACGTAAAAAAAAATACGCCCAGGACATTTTTACGATAAAACTTACCGTTTTCGAGAAAAATGGAAAAAACCTCAATTTTGTACGTTTCAGCTCTATGCGAATTTTGCCTAAGCTTTGACTTATTTTTCTCTATTTTGACTGGATTATTTATGTTTTAATTTATTGATATCACAGTAGTTTATCTTAACAAATTTGGCAAATATTAGTGTACAGTTCGGTAATTAATATTAGCTCTAAAAACAGCTGTTGACAAGCGTTTGCAAGCCCGTAATTTTCTTTTAGTCCATTTTTGAATTTTTTCGTATGTCAGAAAATAAATAAATAAACAAATAAAAGTATGGGTTCGTGTATTAGGGATAAAACGTTTAAAAATTCACCATAACTTTAGGCACAACTTTGATTCCATAGAACCATTAACGTGTAAACTACTTGCTTGAACGTACATATAATGATATTACATTACCAGCGAAACTTTATAGAAAAAAGAAACAAAAGCAGCAAAGTTAAAACTAAAACATTTATAATGTTACCTTTCGTTTTGAATAGTCTATTAGCCATAACTTCTCGTTTGGCAGGAACTCTTTATTTCCAGTACTTTCCCACCCCTATTTTCATTATAAATTGCCGATATCTTCAGAGTTTTGGCTTTAAACCGGAAAGTATTTCAACATTTTCAGTTGCCATTTGGCACTCTGCCACAAATGACTTATGGGTTACATAAATAAGGATAGTTTCTATGATTTTTCTCCTCGTTTACATGGCCGAAACTTTAGCTTACGTAGCGATAAAAATCATTCCTAATGAATCCAACTAAAGACAATTCCTTACTTCGCAATAGGCATTTTGAAATGTTTTGCTACTATTTAGATATTTAATAAACAATAGAACCAAAATGGGATAAGGAATGCAATTATGGCGAGATAGACTACTAATGCTTATTAAAATTTCGGAATGTTGATTTTTTAAATGCTTGTTTTCGATAGCAAAAGTTATGAAAAACTGACTTTTTTTTAGACACCCAGTGTTAACATTAACATTTTTGTAAACGAGTCTTGGCAGCGTTCCAAATGCGAACCAACAATCTTGAATAGTTTTCGATTAATAGAGCAGTAAAATGTATTATTGTTACGCGTGTGAATTTTGTGTTTGAATCGGATAGAATTCGACAACAGACATTCATTCTGGTATTGAAAAACATTTTATTTTTTCCTATAGTAAAAGAGAGTAAGCGGGAGAGTTAAGAAGTATAAAATGCAATCTCCTCAGTCTGTTTCACAGCTTTTACATACTTCTTAGCGGGTTCTTTGCCTCCGCCAGTAAAATAATATACAGGGTGGTTCGTAATAAACGCGCCAGAACACAATCCTAGATTGAACTCGTGAAGCTAAACATGCCTTACACACAAAATGTTAAAGATTAGTTGTCGAAATTTTATTTCTCTATGGCTGAAGCAGTTTTTGAAATATCGATATGAAAACTTGGAGCAATATCAATATTTTCATGACTTTAATCCAGTTTTACTTTTTGGTGCATTCATTACGGATCGACCTGTATTTCAGATGGATCACAGATACATGGATGGATCCCTTTAGCTTTCGAAAATTATTTAAACTTTGTCCCGTATTACATAAATTGCGCATTTATAAACAATTCCATTGACAGATATGTAATTCCCGACTGGTAGTTTTAATGAACAGGCGTAGAAGAGCATTCACCGACAAACTGACGTTTAAACAGAATTATCTTACAGAAGCGTCGTCTCTGGGTTAAGCGTATGCATATATGGAAATAAGGGTAATGTCGGGGATTAGCGGTATGCGCGGCATTTGCATTTCCTCCTTCGAATGACAGATAGCGAGCAACTTCAAGCGGCAAACATTTGTAATAAGCGTTTCCGAGATTATGGAAGAATTTCCTCTGTGACACGGCCATACTATTTTGTCGACGAAACAACATGATCGCATTCGTAATGTAATTATTAGCGAGTTTTTGAACAAAGATAAAAACACAAAAAATATAAATATACAATTTAAACAAGACATTGGACGCAAAATAACATATTTTTGCTATCAAATATCAAAATTTTGGTTAGTTTTGCGTATAAAATCTGAACACTGAAACATTGCCTGAGTCTGCAGTCCGTGGCGACGGCGTTTTCGTTTAACATTAATTATTTAAACGAAAGCATTTTCCTGATTTCGTCGAAAATAAAAACAAAAATGGCAACACATTTCCCAGGTTTCAGAAAAATTTCGTTTACAGTAGGTTTCTCGGTAACGCAAAAAAATATATAACTATAAAATATAAATATATCTTTATGTTTTTGAGTTTCATTTCTCACCATTTTATTGGGATAATATATTTTTGCTAGTTTACTATATTATTTTCGCCGTTAATTCTCAAAATACTATATTTCATCTGTCAAAAGCAACGCTTCACTAGACTGCAACAACTACGTAACGTTGTCCCTTCTAAAAATAACATATGGCGACCATTATGATCGTATTATTGTTTTTAATTCAATGTTTTATTAAGATGCTTTGCTATACTTTTATAGCACACTATTTTCTTAACTTAGTCATTTGAACCTACAGCAAACTAAAAAACTGGTCAAAACTTTCTTTTTACAAATGGAACACCCTGTATATTAATTGAAATGTACATAAAGAGTCAAAAAAGAGGGGTGAATCCAAAGATGAATTAAGTACTTATTATTTACAATTTAACGTACGATTATCTCGTTAGGTTCGACAAGTCAACACATTCAAATAAAGCAATGCATCAATGCAGATAAAAATGTCAAGACTAAGCGTTATCAAACAAAATCCATTTCGACTTTGGGCGACCTATGGATTTATTAAATAAGTTCAGCAACTGATCAAGAATTTCGCAAGAGTAAATACGAAATCAATGAAATCATATACGAATTATTAGTAAAATCTGTGAAATGGTGAATAGAATCTATAAAATTGTACTATACTTTACACATATGGTACTGCTGTTCTCAAACTTAAGAGGCAATATTGTAAAATTATTATAGGAATTAAAGATGATATCAGCAGTTGAGAATTACTTCGTTATCTTATATGGGAAACTCTATAAAAGTAGGCATTAGTTTATTTAATTTTAATTAATTCTGCTGAAAATTCTAAGAGAAAATGTTGTTTTAAAAATATTAACAGTTTTATCTGAAAAAAACAACAAGCAATTAAAATTTAAAAATTTCGAATAGAGTAATCTGCGAAACTTTTGTATGGAGCATTATTCAGGGCATGTAAAAGATCAAGAGAAATTCCGATATGCAAAGCACGTAATATTTAATAAAATGTAAAAAATATTGGCAATATTTTGGAAGATATTTCTAAAAACCTTAAACAATTACGATTTTTAGCTTTGGCTATCTGCTTGGGTACTTGTGGCCCTTGTATTTACAAGAATTGGTAAAAACCGAACTTCATATTTGTCTTTGCGAAATTAGTATCATTGTAAATTCGACAATTTTAAAAATTGTATTTTTTACGGCTTCCATTACGCATAAAACGCGCGTAAGTGTAACCTAAAAACCGATTAAAACAAAAGTTTTAACAAAATGCACGAAATACGCATTATTCCTGCCATCATCAATCCCAACAACGTAAACTTTAAATTTGTATCCGTTTATTTAGAGCCGCGATAAAACGCTAAGTGGCACTTTGCCGCTGTGCAGGTGTTTTGAATATTAAATTTAGTAAAATGCGTAATTTGTATATATAGGAATAAACATTTGAGTGTAACAGCAGATTTGAATTTTTGCGTTAAAATAATGTCTCGCACAGTCCCAATAGTTTAACATTCGTTTTAAAATTGGTAATTTTTTTTATTAAATAGCAAAATTTAATTTTTTCATTTCCCATGTACATATATTAAACATAAAATTAGAGAATATCGATTAACAAAAACGGTAAATTAGTCACTTAAACACTTAAAAGATACACTAAAACATATAAATTTGCTTTGGTTTTCTCTTTGGCTGGTTTCTTTTTTTATTTTGGTTTTGGTACATGTTCGGTATTTTTAAATCCTTTCACTATTCACACAAAAAGTTGTTTTTGTTTTATTTAAATAAAAATTACATTTGTACCTTGTGAACAGTTCACGGATAAAAACAAAATAATATTAAAAATATAACCTTTTAGATGAAAAAAAATTACAAATATCTTGATAACCAAACAGATTTCAGTAACACTGAATCAAAATTTTAATCAAATTTTAATTTATTATTTAATATTATTATCCATTTCTGCTTGCCATTTATACTAAATAGGCTAAAGATTTGCACATACCTGTTGCCATTTGAGGTGCGGAAAATCTGTTGCGAATATAGTTGCAACCGATAAGTGTGCAGCACATAGTAGCAGACCAAAAACGGCTGCTATCCAGGATTTAAGGGGCATCATGGCGTACGCCAGGAATAAAACAAACACAACCTGAAACGAACACATTCGTCGTTACAGCACTACCAAAGAGCCGAATTTTGAAAGTGGTACCTGCCACGTTCCCTCGGCAGCCACTCGAGTGTGCGAACTCGCTGGATACAGAGGCAATGCTAGCGCACAAAACGTAGCCAAGAAGAAGAGCACCACGTAGCACACCCACAGAAGGTAGGCGTCCTGCATGAACCTGGTATGCAGAAACCCAAGTAGCAACGCGAAAAGAATGCAATGAGCCGTGTGGTATACATTCTGAGTTGTAGCCGCTTGAGAGTATACCTGAAAATAAAAGAAAAACTGATGTATTATAATATTTAAATAAATAAATAATCAAACAAAAACATTTTGTTAGTTTCCTTCATCAACTATGGTCCAAAAATTAATATGAAAGTTAAAAAGTCTCGTACTTAATTAATATAAAAAAAGCATTATCTGTTTTTTTAAGGCTTTTTATAAAGTTTTTTTATTTAAAGTTTAACTTTACAGCAAACATTTAAAATTATTGTACACGTGTTGCTGGAAACCACACAAGAGAACTGCCAACTTTGCAAAAATGGTTTATTAAAATACAATTTATGCCAGAATAAAAATAATTAATATCAACTTGAACATGAGTTCAAAAAAAGCAACGCCCTTGCACTTAAAACGGTTACCCATAAAACGAAATACGAAATTAAAGTCTTAACTAATCAAAAAACGTTTAACATCAAAACTAAATTATGGGTATTCAATAAGGAGAAATAATTTTTTAACAATTTAATAGATCTAAATTACTTAGAATAAAAAGGATCTCTAAAAATTTTCTTTACATCAGCGATTTATTTAAACCTAAAATTAAATCAATCAAATAAAGACATAGTATCATATTTGACTAAGCTAAGTGTTTCCGTGGTTACTAGCAATGTTTATGTATTTGTAAAGCTTGTCCAATTTTTATTTTCATTTTGTAATATAATTTTTTGAATAAACGTTCGTCTAATATATTCACATTGAACAGAATAAACATTTTGTTATTGAAAAACCAAAATTTCGTTTTGCTTTCTCATTGTTGAGAAACATTGTCACAGCATTTTATTATTACAAATTTCACACAGAGACAAGAAAAAACATTTGCGTCAGCATTTTAACCTTTTACGTTACGGTTAATCGGCAGACCTTTTCAGTTTTGTATCAAGCTTCGCTCTTCGCCGGCCGTTAAATAGAAACAATAGCGTGGCATGATGCACAAAGCTATTTATCATTTTCCTTTGGCGGACGAAGTCACCCAAGAAACAAATGAAAGTTTTATTTCTTCGCAATTACTCAAAATCTTAACCTAGTTATTTTTATATGTATACCGTATAAAAGTGAGAAAAAGTAGGTAGTAAACACACAAGGCGACATCTATAAGTGCAATGATTAGAGCTGACAGGGTACGATTTAATAATAAGTGGGAAAAACCAATTTTATAAACTATAACAACAACCCATAACCCAAAAACCCTGGCCATGTTAAAACGAAAGGATTTGAAATATAATATAATATCATAAGTAGTATTGGGGCTGGTCAATTGAGCGTGGTCACTTCTTAATTGACTAGTCAAATTGGACAAAAATAACATAACAATTGCAATTGTAGAGTTTTATCTATCATTTTTTAATAATAATATGTATTTTATAATAAATCATTATGCGTTTGTGATGTCCAATTTACATAAAACCCTCTTCAAGAAATATCCGAATACGATACTACCGATTCGGGGAATCCCACTAAAAATATCGAGGGCGCTGCAACGCACAATATAAATAAATAAATATAAATTCTACTTTTAAAATTATTTCAGTCAATTGACTGGTCAATTGACACAAAAAAATTGACCGCTCAATTCCACAACGGTTAATCATAATTATGAATTTTTCAAAGAAACTTCCACAGGCTACTGTAATACTTTTTACAAAATTTCTGGATTCCTCCTGCGTCAGTTTTTGCTGAGTCGAACTTGCTGACGTTTCGCCAATAATCCTGTTGGCTTCTTCAGAACTTGACTGAAACTATTGATAAGATAGATAGAAAATAGATAGATAGATAAAAAATAGAAAATCAGACCTAACATTGGGTCATTGTGTTTACACAAAAACCATCACCATCCGGCCCAAAAATCATCGGTTATCAACTCTCAGAGTTGTAAAACTATCTCAGCCCGAGTCACTGAACCCAGAATTAAAACAGCGTAGCATTAGTGCAGCCAAAAGACAACGCGAGACAGAACAAGATAGTACATCCAGGATAAGTCCGAGTGAGTGAGTCAAATTTCAACTTAAAAAGATGTTGTTTATTTTGTGGCCATGAAGCAAATGAAGAAGCTGATGCTATAGCAAAAGCTGTTATTGCCCGCATTGGATATGAATTCGACTTAGTTGCTGCTGAAGCTAAGTATCACAATAATTGTTATAATATCTTTTTAAGGTCCATTACGGAGTCTAAAGTCGGTCGTCCTGAAGATGATTCAGTGAATTTGGCTATGGAGAAAATATTTCAATACATTGAAAATATAGTGATGATTGTCAGTTGTCTTGCCTAACTCCAACATCTGCTTCTGAAGAATGGGGTTGGAAATCAACAGATAATTTTTACTTTTTACAAAACTGGATTCCTCCTGCGTCGGTTTTTGTTGAGTCAAACTTGTTGCAGTGATGTTTTGAATGTAAGGAAGGACCACAGTGTCAAGGGTAGGATTGCTTTCGGCCTCGTAGCTATTGGAAGGTTGTGGTGGAGTGTTTTATTTTGCAATAGCAAGGTCGAAAGCAATTCTACACTTGCCACTGTCATTGTGTTTACAGAAAACCTACGCACACAGACCGATACCTTGTCACCGTACCATTGTCACATCACCATCCGGACCAAAAATCATCGGTTATCAACTCGCCGTAAAACTATCTCAGCCCGAGTCACTGAAAACAGAATTAAAACCCCTTACCTCTGCCCTTCCAAATTAAAGATATTAAGCGTTCCATAAAAAAAAATCACTTCATCACAACCATCCAATAGCAACGAGGCCGAAAGCAATCCGACACTTGCCACCGTGGTCCTTCCTTACATTCAAAACATTACCGACGACATATCAAAAGTTCTAAAGAAGTATAACGTCAAAACCGGATTTACCACTTTACCAAAAATCTCTCAACATCTTCGGTCCGTCAAGGATAAAATTCCATTTGAGATGCCAGAAGTTTACAGCATTCCATGCATATGCGGAAAAGAATACATTGGAGAAACCGGACAAAAAATATCAACTAGGCACAAAGAACACGAAAGAGCCTTACGACTAAGACAAATAAACTCATCAACTGTTGCCGAACACACTCATGAAACCGGACATAAAATTTTATTCGATAAAACTAAAATTCTTTCATGTAATCAGTTGTTCTACCAACGAAAAATCCGAGAGTCTATAGAAATCTACAAACAACCTAACAATCTTAACCGCGACTCAGGTCTCTACCTGTCACCAATATGGGAATCGATCATCCGAGATGGTGTTTATGCCCCTTATTTAGCTCCGTCCCCCTCAAATAAGCGGGTACAGAGTAAAATACGAGCCAGTCAGTCAAGCTCTCGAGAAGCCAACAGGATGATTGGGGAAACGTCAGCAAGTTCGACTCAGCAAAAACCGACGCAGGAGGAATCCAGAAGTTTTGTAAAAAGTACAAAGTATGAAAATTTCAAAATGACCTTAAGACCAAATTGGTAAACTACAACTATCTTTTTAAATCTGAACAATCATTAATGCCAATTAATTATGTATTATGTTCTTGCTGCTACGCTACAGTCTATAGCAGAAGTTTGATATGAATGATGGTTACCTTTAAATAATATTTTCAATAATAAATACATTCGGATGTGGACAAATTAATATTAGTAAATTGTCATTATAACGGACGGTCTTATTTCTACCTCATTATAATTGAATTGATTAGACCAGATCATAAAAAAAAAATCTTGGATGCTCTCCAACTGTCTAAAAACAAGTGAAACGGTGCTCGTACGGAATCGATTGACTGGCGATCCGCAATTACTATGCCCGATATCGAGATTTATTAAGCTATTGAAAGTAAACAGACCGCCAGTAATATTTTCATTTGTCAAGTTCTCGTTAAATCGCCATATTTCAATGTCGCCGGTAATTCGACAAGACAAGTTAAAAACTTTGGATAATACATTCATGTAAACATACTCGTTCTTGGAAATCTGAATAGCCATTAAAATTTTTATTTAAAGCAAATAAGCAAATCAATTATTTACTCCGCTGATGCCTTGATCCTACATTATGGTCGTTAGTATTTATTCAGTTTTGACTGACTGGTTTTTGAGTGATTTACCGCTCGCTGTGTACCAATTTATCGGAAAAAGGGCCGTTTATTTTGTAGCCTTGCGTTCTGATATGTCCGTGAACTTAATATTAATTGAATTTTTTTCTTTGCATGTAAACCAAAACCAAAAATCTTTCCGCTAACAAGTTTAGGAAAGTTAATACCATGACGTCTCAAAAAAATGACAGTGACCATAGGAATGACATGATGACTATAGGAAAATTTACATAAATCACCCCAATCGGCAGCGCCCAATTAAAATGATTGTTGATAATTTTAATCCGTCAAACATTTTAAGTCATCTAACATAAAACTAAGAAATATTTAAATTCATTTATTCATTGAAAATTTAAGTCATCATTTTGTGATGCCGAAATTTTGGTTAAAAATTTCATTTTAAACATAATTTTATTTAATAGGAACATTTTATTTGTTGTACTTAAAATGTGTGTTGACATAGATAGATAGATAGATTAATTTATTGACTACGTTTCGTACAAAAGGGACGTACAATTGTAGCAAGAAAGAAGTGATATTCAAGGGCAATAAAATCAAATTAATAAATAACATAAAAACACACATCTAATACAAACAAAATTAGACAGTACTATACAGTTTTATAGCGCATCGATACCAGTGACGGTGTCAATGTATGCTCGCAGGGAGTAAAAACAATGACGTTGCAGGAATTCTTTAATAGTATGTTTAAATTTTCTATTGCTCATCTTTTTCACGGTACCTGGCAAAACATTATACAATTTCAGGTTCAATAAGTTGTTCTCAGACTTCCTCAGTCTAAACCTAGGCCGTCTAAGGAGATCCCCCGATAGAGTTGAATAGGCATGGCGATCGGAATTAGCGCTAAAGTTTCCTTTCGTTCTCTGTATCACTAATAACTGGTAGTAGATATAGATGCAAGGAAGGGGCATCACTTTGAATTTTTTAAAATAAGGTTGACAATGGTCCCTATATTCTATATTAGCAACGACTCGAATGGCCCTTTTCTGCATTCTAAAAATCTCCACAGCAGCGGAGGAATCACCCCACAGTACCGTGCCATAGCATAAGTGTGAATGTAACAAAGAAAAATAGACCATAAGCAGAGTCCTTGTTCCTATCAGGCCTCTCCGTCGTCGAAGAACGAATATGTTGATGGACAATCTATTTTTCAGGTCTGAGATATGTTGTTTCCAATTTAGACTATCATCGATCCTAATGCCAAGCAACTTGACGGACTGTCCACTATTTACCAAGCAATTGGAGGAAAACACAATACTCTGGGTCTTGTCTAAATTTAATTTAAGATGATTATTTTCGAACCAGACATTAGCCCTGTCCTCCAACATGCCAACCCTAACGGACAACTCCTCGATACTCTTAGCAGATGTAGTGAAGGATGTATCGTCGGCAAACTCACGCACTGATTGGGGGCCAAGAAATGATAAAGGTCATTTATATAGATTGTAAATAGTAGCGGGCCCAGGACGGAACCCTGGGGCACCCCGCTTACTACTGATTCAAGTGATGAACGGTCATCCTGGTATTCTACAAACAAGCAAGTAGGACGCTATAAGATCTAAGGGCAGACCTCGTATACCATATCTGTATAGCTTTTTAATAAGAAGCTGGTGAGAAACACAGTCGAAGGCCCTGGAGAGATCACTCAAGGTCAAACCAACTAATTCACCCCCCTCGAGGCCCTCAACTATCATACTCACAACTTTAGACACTGCTTGGATCGTCGAACACCCTCCCCTAAATCCAAACTGACCAGCACAAAGACATTCGATCTTATTAATATAAGAAGTTAGCTGATCTTTTAGTAAGATCTCAAAAACTTTCCCGAACAAAGGCACGATTGAAATCGGCCTGTAGTTGTTAGCATCATTTATATCACCTGCCTTATGGATTGGAACTACTCTCAAAATCTTAAACAGCGACGGAAATACACCTGTGTCAATAGATTTATTAAATAAAGTGGTTAATGGCAGTGTAATGTACTCAACCAGTCCCTTCACCAAGACACTATTGATATCATAAGCATCGCTAGAATAAGATTTTTTTAATCTTAGTATGGCTCGGTACGTATCCTCACAAGTTATCGGATGCAAAAAAAAGTAGTTTCCTCCAGTGGAATCCCTTCAACACATGCACTCTGTATATTGTGATTTACCGTTAAGATCTTTATAATATTACTCGAGACAGAACTAAAAAAACTGTTAAGATCGTTTGCTGATAAATCAGATTCTTTATCACATCTCCCAAGACAATTTCTTTCATAGTTAACGATTTTCCAGACATCTTTGTTTTTATTGGTTGATTTTTGGATAAAGCCATCAAAAGCAGCTTTTTTGGTTTGTTGAATTTTTTGTTTATATTCCCTATTTAGCGATTTATACACTTATTATTACTAGTCATTTATTTAGATGTAACTACTAAAAGAAGTTAAAAACATATGCGAATATACGCATATGGAAGCATGTCCAATTTATGTAATTGAAAATTGTCGAATAGTTTTCAACAAAAAAATGGAAGGGCTATTTAAAATAAGATACTAAACAGTTACATTAAAATGATTAAATTCGGAGGAGAAAACGAATTTAAGTTTACTATTGAAACTCAAACCAGTTTTTGACAATTAATTTTTACCATGTTGAAGAAAGTCATGGTATTAAAAATTAAAAGAAAATAATACTATAGAATATAAGAAGGTAATAAAAATTTAAATTTTCGAATAAAAAATAGATCCAAAACTTGTAAATTCTTAGTATACAATATGGCCAGAAAGAAAGGACTTTTATATTTCGTAATTCCTGTCCAAACATCTGTTTTGGTTTTGCATACATTTTTGGTTGCAGTCCGCAATATTTGTTTGCTCGTTCCGAGTGTCTAGTAGTTTAGTGCTCAATTTTACCATAACTGACTATATCAAATTTTCCTGATCTGTTGCACTTTTTATTAAAATTAAAATCCGAGTCAACAAGAGTTGAAAATGTAGACCTACGGGTTAAAGGGTTATGTTCCGCAACTGAGATCCGTGTTGCGTGCTCCACAAGTGTAACATTATAATCCAACTAATCTAGAAATCTAATGGATCAAACTTGCAAGCTGCGTGTCAAGCAATAGTTTTTGAATTTCCCGTAACGCCCAAATATCCAACGATATTATCGTATGAGCCTAAAGTGTATGAAAAATCGATTAACCTATCAGATGTTACGTTGGAACAGTCAGATATTTAGATTTAACTCACTATATTATGCAAAAGTTGCCGAAACCCTGATACGATTTAACCCTCATCTCGGAATCTAAAGTCCAATCGACCCTGCGAAAGCTTTTTTGATCGCATCAAATCCGGAGGACACACAAAGGTCGACCTATTCTTAGTATTAGCGTTTATTTATCTATTACACAGGCTCAGTTTTGGTTAGTAGGGCGTCAACTTCGTTCAATATAATACACAAATTTGGTAAAGCACTGACAAAGGCTTGATTTGTGGAAAATCAATTTTTAGAAAATCCTACTTAACCAACCAAAATTATCACTGGTCACTACGAAAACTGACACACAAGACCATATTTCATTTTTATATACCTATATTTGCTTGACGAGCACTAGAAATATTTTCATATTCTCCCATTGTAGTACTATTGTATGTTGTATGTTATATGTTCAACTTTTAGGTTGTTTTATTTAATTTTTCTATCTACGCCTATGGGACGATCCTTAAATTTTATTTCTACTTCCTTAGAAACAGACTTTAAAACGATTTTGGTATAACTTTTCAAAATCGGTTATGGTAAAAATCAAATCCTTTCCAAAAAATATCATTTCGTGTATGCCCATTATCATATTGACGCTGGTACCATCGGTCTTCCATATTTTTTTTGTCATACCCAATGAATAACTAGACCTCGGCCCAGGCCTTGCTCATTAACTAAATTTATAATTCAACATCCATACTAATGGCGGCGGATGACATTTCCAAGAGGAAAATTTTTTCTAATCCTTTCCCGGTCATCAGTTATCATGCTCCTCAAATCTCTAACAGTATAAGAGGTGTAAAAGAGGATTAATTACCAAACTGAGATTAGCCAATAGAAAGGTAAGCACAACGAACAGGGCTACGACCGCCGCAACACTCGAATGCTGCAGTTTGCAGATGTATCGCTGATACAGTTGCTCGAGTTCGTCGTTCTCGAACCGATGAGGATTGAAAGCGCGCGCCAGCACGCGCGGTGACGTCATCGCCTTGACGCTGTGGTCCATGGCTCACGTTTACTAAGAACGGGTGAGGAAGACGGGGGTTTCAGGACACTTTCGTCGGCCGATGAACGGCAGCTGGGTGCTGGTGACACCGCCGGCCTGCCATCACTGCAAAAAGTACAAATCACATAACAATTTCATTATATTTGATAAATAAGATTTATTTCACTTTTACAGATTACGAAACGTTAAGGTATATCAACAACAATGTTAATAATAATAAAAGATGAATATATGTATGCAGTATATGTGCCATAGAAATTGCTATACGCAATACATGCTTAGCTATATTCATCATGTTATTGTTCTAGGGTTGTGGAATTGGCCGGTCCATTGTTTTTAATTTTAATATTATATTTATATTATGTTAAATTATATTTTATATTATATTTTTTATATTGTGCGTTAAGTCGTCGTCGGGTCGTTCTTCGAACCAAATGGAGTCGTATTATTATTGGGATTCCCCGAACCGCTAAACATCGTTTTCTTATATTCCATGAAGAGGGTTTATAGCTAAATTGGAATCACAAACGAATAATAAGTTATTATAAAATACATATTATCATTAAATAATGGTAGATAACACTCTACACTTGCAAGATGTTATTTAAACTTTTGTTCGACCAGTGAATTAACACCGGTCAATTAAGAAGTTGTCAATTGACCAGGGTCCCAACACTGTATTGTTGATTGACTGCTGACTATTTAAAAATAACCACACGTTTTTTTATTTCACAAAAAAATACACTTTTATTGGTTTTGAAGTATTGGCAATGCCTTTTCTCAAATTTGGATGGTGCATATCAATTAGAGGATTGGAAAGAGGTGTGACAGTAGACCTTTAGGGCTTAGAAGAAGTAGTCAACCAATCGACAGTTAGGTCGGGCTTAATGTCAAGAACGAGCTTCTTTTCAATACATTTGTTTGAAAATGTAATGGATTTTATTTGTATGTATCCCAAATAACTTCCCACACACTGTGTGACAACAGTGTACAAGGGCATATTACACATATATAATAGAAAATGCTCAAAAAAATGACGACAAATAACCCGGAACAAGCAAGCAAGCATGCTTAGTTTTTCATTATATGTAGTTATAAAGAGCTTTATTTTGGAAATAAAAACGATTTTTTAGAAAATTTGTCACGGCCGAAATAATGATAAATGTTTTTTTAACCGTTCTAGTTCAATATAATGTGCTTATTATATTTTTATCACTAATATATGCTTGAAAGGTTTGTTATTAATATTTTCTCAAACTGACTAGAAATTTTCAAACAAGGGAAACAATTCAAAAGAAAAAAGACTCCCCAATTTCATATATCATTCGTATAACATATTTTTCATAACAGAATAGTGATCCTGTATCGCGAAACGTTAAGCTCAGCCGAAACTAATTTTTAAACTGTCAGAAACACTATGCTGGCCTGCTATTCAGCTGCCAGATGATCAAATCAGAATTCGCAACTTTGTAAAGCGTACAAAGGTTTTCCGCCACATGCAGCTGTATTTCCATTTAATCCGGCAACTGTTTTAACGCAATTAAATGAACTTTTTAATCGCCGGTTGTTTTTGCATTCTTACAAACGGTTACCTAGGATATCAAAAATAATTGAAATGGGAAAAAATACTACCCGAACTTTAGTGATTTTGGGTTATTAAGTATTTTCTACCATCGTCCAAATAGTCAAGCTGCTGTGTCTTATGACGAATCACGTTACCGATGGCATTTTTTCCCATGCTTCTTTTGGTATTGCAGGTAACTTGCACAATCGCCAAAAAACATTATTTGCAGGATGACTTCACGAAAATTGCTTACCGGTTGTGCAAAATTTGTAGAATGCTGGCAGCTATTCTGATCTACCAAGAAAATAATTTTCCACCACTCAAACATAAAAGCAATAAGCAACAACCAAGGTGTGATTGACCTAAGTACGTATGGTTGTTAAGAGGGGAGTTTCTATATTACGACAGGCCGTTTACTTTATTACAATGTACCATATCTTAATTCATTTTACGGTAAATGATTTCGTGCTTTTCGAGCCTTCCTAATTGCGAAGTTTCCAACCGATAACGTCATGTAATTTACGTTTGATGGACCGACAATTCTCCGTAGCAAAGACAGAGTACTAGAGAATTGCATATTGCAAACAGTAATGCAAAACCGAACCTCAACATTTTCAATGTAACGCCTTGTATAAAATATAAATAGAATGAACCGAGGAGTAAACCACATCTATTCAATTAAGGACTAAATGTGGACCGAATCTTTAATATCAAATTCTAAATACACACACCCACACACACACAAACACACACAAATTAAATTTAACGTTTTTATCTTGAAAATAATATTACATTTTTTAGAAATAGTAGGGGGGATTGAATTAGACTACCCTTATCAATCTATTTAACTGAAATTAAGGAACAAATAAAAGAAAAAAATAAATACTGACAATCAGGTTTACTTAGAGAAATCTCCTATATATTTGCATAAAACTTTCCGTTACCGAATAAAAAAACTAAAATGAAAAAAAGGAAATGTGTTTTGAATAAATACCGTTTGTACGATAAAATGAAACTTCATTTGTCCAATATATTCATTGCTCCATATATCCCTAATCAGTGTTTGGCAAACTTTGATTTTTAATAAAAAAAACCATGATGTTTTATTTATTTTACATCTACGTGTAGAAGGATTTGTAAAATCTGCAGGAAAGAGATTCAAGGGGCAGTTCAAAGACTTAAAGTACACCATGATGTTTGTGACATTTTGCAATCCAATAAACTCTTTACTAATTTTTTAAAGGAAAATTGGGGGCGTATTTGGTTTACCATTTATTAACAAAAATTTATAAATTATGTTTTTAATGTTTTTATTTTCTTTTGTTTTTTCTTCGAATGTCGCTTGACAGTTCCGTAGATCTTGCAACTGCATCGTCGTTATCAACAAGCCTTTTAGATGACATCTACGAGGAGGAAAAGGCAAAATGTTTTTCTTCTCTGTCAGGACAATGTGTGAATATGTGTGGTGGGTGTTCAAACGTCCACAATGAGCAACAATCACAATTGACGATGGACGAGCGCTTCTTTACGAAATTACTGATACTTCGGGAAAACCTCATACTTCACAATATTTGACTGAAGTAGTTTGTGACCTAATTCCTTCATGTAAGTCACAATATGAACGCGAGGTAAAATCTTTTGTGACAGATAATGGTATGGCCCTCATAAGACAAACTTTGGAGGAAAAGATGGACTCAAAAGTTATCTTATGGCTACTCTGCACATATTTTGAATTTACTGCGCAAAGATTAACAAATACCAATTGTTAAGTATTTTCGGGATGGAATAGTGTTGCTGATTGTTTAAAGATGTACGTCACTCAATCGGATATATTATTAAAAATCTGCGAAGAAAACAAAAACCAAATTGATTCGACCATTTACCAGAAGGTGTCAAATATTGGTGTTAAACATGCAGCATTAAGCATTTTACAATCAATATCAGTTGCTCTGGATATTTTACAGACGAAAAACGCTACTATCTCCGATTCTGTAGAGCATTGGAAACATTTAGAATATATCTTCGAGAATGTTGTAGAATTACCTTTATCAAAAATACAAAAAAATCAGGATCGATATAAGCAGGCACTCACGCCATATCATTTTATAGCCTATATGTTGAACCCTCAATAGGAAAAATATGAGTTAACATTCGAAAAAAAGAATCTGGCTTTAGAAAGAATTAATAATTTATTTTGAATGCCCGCAGTTGCCCATTTAAAAGTATACATATTTTCGAATGAAATAATAAAAAAAGTAAAGGTGGTGGGCATCACAAAAAGATTTACCAAAAATTGCGAAATTTCAGCACTTTTGGTTTTGTACACTCAGACATAAGGAACGGCATGGAGATAGAAAAAGGAAGAAAATTAGTATGTTTGTTCAAACTATACAACTAAAATCCAGAAGCATTATAACCATATTAATATGTTATTTGTCTTATTTTTTTAAAGAGTTGTGTTTTACTTATTATTTGTGGTAATATTTTTACGTTGTGCTCTTTGTGTCGATCACAATAATAATAATAATAATAATAGTAATCAACTTTATTTCACATTGTGTCATAAATACATTACCTAAACATAATATACCAAACACAAAGGAAATCGGCGTCAAAAAAGGAAAAGCACCAGATATAGTTACAAATTTCAATTACATCGTATTTACAATTATTTAAATTTTACAGAAAAAATCTTCTATGGAGTAAGGTTCTAACTCTATCAATAAGTTTTTTATTGTATATTTAAAGATTTTTAGAGTTGCAATTGTTTTTACCTCATTTGGTAATTTATTATACAATCTCAGGCACATATAATAAGGACTCCTTTCAGTTAAGGTTAAACGGTGAATAGGGTAATTTACATTTAGGGTTCTGGTATTATATCTATGAAATATCTGTGGTTCGAAGTCCTTTCGATTTTTAAAGAAGAATATCAATGCTTCATAAATATATAAAGCATATACAGTAAAAATCCCTTCAGTCTTGAACGCCCCTCTACAGCTCTCTCTAAATTGCATTTTTTTGACAGTCCGAAGAGTTCTCTTTTGAACCACGAAAATTTTCTGTAGTTGACCACTACCCCCCCAAAAGATAATTCCATACCTCATGCGCGACTGAAAGTTTGCAAAGTACATAATTCTTAAAGTTTCCTTATTCATATAATTTGCAACAACTCGAATTCCATAAAAAATTGAATTTAATTTATTTAGCAGATAATCAATATGTTCAGACCAATCAAGAAATTCGTCAATTTGTAAACCTAAGAATTTAGTGTTATTTACAATAGTAATATTTTCTTTACCTAACCGTATTCTTAATGGTATTTCAACTCTACATAATTTAGTTCTAAACATAATTAACTTCGTTTTCTCTTTGTTTAATATCATTTTATTTCCTAGAAACCAGTCATATGCCCTTGTAAAAATATCGTTGCCTTTATCACTAACGTCAGTGAGATTATTTCCACCTACAAGCAGGTTGGTATCATCCGCATAGCATATTATGCTCTCTTCTTCTGACTGTGTTACTAAATACAAGTCAT